TATTTTAGCCGTTGCAAAGTACGGTTAATAATGCAGTTATACAAAACTAACCTGGCCCAAGGACGCCCAGAGTATCGAGTACGAAGGAAAACATAAATTAATCGTAGACGCCAAGTAACGTATCCTGAGATTGAAGACCAGCCTCCTCGTCCCTATGGAAATTGCTTCGAACCAATTACTCGAAAGGCGTTAAAAGTTGTCGCGGGAAAGCTAAAAATAGACCGGGGCAGTAAAGTTCCCAAACAACGACGTTTCAATCGCGCCGTATTTGTTGCACGCGCGTAGTAATCGACGATCACGACTTCCGTTCTCCGCGACGCGGGACCAGCTAACCATTAAATGAATCTCGTCGGGCTTAAAAGGCAATGTTCGCACGTAACTATTTATAGATAGAGCGCGAGCGATGGAAAAGAAAGCGGGCGTGAATTACAGTGTGAACAATTTGCACGCAGGATGACTTCCGTGGCCCGTGGCTAGTGGCTCACCGACAGTTTTTTTAATTAGATTCGTTAGCCATGCACGCTCCAAGGACTCTGCTCGACACCTGCTCGACTCCTCCCTCGGCTGCGTCGCGAAACACCTACAAAAATATAATCCATGTTAAATATTGTCCCGAGGCAACAGTCTCGAACAGTAGCGTCGATTCCGAGGACAACCCGAGAGACAGGCCAGATTGTACTTCATAAAGTTAACGGATGAACGTTTGCTTGTTTGTTAAATGTCTACGCGGATAAGATTTTTGTCCCCATCGTTGGTCGACGGGAAGAAACAGCAACGGTCAGCGAGACATTTGGCACAGAGATTTATCGTGCTCGTTGCATCAAGTTGATTACGCGGCGACGTAATTGTCACGAGAGGAATCAAAGGATGACGGCATGCCTGGTCACCTAGCTCACGCTTATTCCGTCGTACCTCCTACACGGTGCTTCATAATTAAACGTCCGCCCGTTTCGTTCAATCGTCATCCACCCTCGCGGATGTTCCGAGCGGTCAGCAGCCGTCTTCGTAGCGACCTTAATGCCTTCGAGAAGGAAACGCGAATTACCGTCAACGGCCGCGCGGTTTTAACGATTCCGGTTCCCACTGCTCCCGGAGCCACTCAAGCACCGACCCCTTAGCTACAGCTATAGTGGACGGACATTTTTTGCCTCGGAACTTGTTCTCCGTTAATACCTTTTCCCGGCTGTTATTAAGGGCAGTTTCCGGTCACGTTAATCGAGAAACGCATCATCCTTATAAATTTCTCTGAAAGATACATTCTTGGGCTCTATCCTGCCCCAATCATTAAAAATTAAAAATTAATTTCTAAAATTGTCGTTGACTTGCTATTGATTTTATAAAATTAGAGCCCGTTAATAATTTCGTTTTATGAAAAGAGGTCGCGAGTAAAAAAAGGTTCAAGAAGCGCCGGGCCACGATACACTTAATTTTAAATAAGTTTGCTCGTCGATAATTTCAAAACCATAAACTTAATAATAAGAAATTTATTTACAAATCTTAAAATCGTTTTTAAAACTTTCAGTTAGACGCTTCTCAAATTTCCCGCTATTTTTTTACCGTATATTCCTCTATGCTATTGCTCGTTACGAACTGGAATAATTGCACGGGAATTCGCGTAAATTAAAGTCGGCTTTCTGTTCGTTACAGCTGTGTTCTCGTTATTACATAGTTCGTCTTAATATAGGTTACGTATTAGTATCTAACGAGTACATCTTAGGTACTTGCTAATACTGTACAGTCAGGTTAGGTATTAGTACCTAACCTAACTTAGTCGTTTTTTTTTATTGACGTTAGATATTAGTAGATTCCCTAACCTAACCTACCAATGATCCAATTTAAATTAAAAAAATATGGAAACGATATTGTCCTCGAGTTTCAAAAGGGCGATAATAAAATATCAGTGCCTCTTTTAAAGTCACTTTGGTGCTCGGGAACTTCTACGAAAAAAATAAACAAAATACGATAGATGTCGTGCACGTAGCAGGAAGAAGTAGCGAACAGCAACTTCCTGCGTTTGTATAGGATCGATAAAGTATATAGCGCGTAAATAAGAAAAAAATTATGCCACGATCGATGTACCGTTCGAAACTCCTCTTTCGACACTTTTATTTGATTATGCTCGAAGGTCCTAATTATGAAAATTCAGTATCATAGATCGGACCAAAGTTTCCCGGATTCGATCTTAAAATATTGTTTAGTTTGAAGGGAGGGTGATGACTGTACAAGTTTCCGTTGGATATCGAGTGAAAAGTTCTCTTAAAACCGAGTTCTTGGGCGATCTGTGTCAGACGGTTTCCAAAATGCACGACAATGTACGGAGAATTGATGAGCGCGCATTATGAATGAGCGGTTCGATTGTTACATATGCAGCCGATGAATACGCGCCTAAGAACGAGGCGTTAAATGTTCGACAGGAATGAATTATTCACGCGTTATCGAGCAGCTCGTTAGACAATTCACGGAGAGGAGACGCGAATGAAATATTACCCGGACTGTCGCGTCGTTTTGTCAGACAGAATTCGCTTTTATATCCGACCGCGCTCGATTATTAAACTGCGCGAAGCTAGAGGCTATTTTCACTCTTTTTCCCCCTCTCGTCCATGGGGATGTACGACCGTTGTATCCCTACGAGCGACATTAGGCTTGAATTTACACTATTTTACACGACGCTCGAGACTGTTGTCTGTCTCTGGAGACGTTCAGAAATCGTTAAATTGACCAAAGTGAGGCATGCAAGGATTCTGTTAGCATCATTAATAAAGTAAACATACGCGTAATGGCCGTCGAAGTGTTATAAGATATTACTTAACGGAACGAGGATGGAAAATATTGGATGGGATTTAATCCTGTACGATTGGACTGCTATTGTTAAATATTCAAGTTAAATAAAATTCGAATATCGATAGAGTTTCAATAACCGCTATCATAAAAGAGTTTGACAAAAATTCCAGTGCACTTTACTCGGGTACTCGATTCGTAATATTGTCCTTCGTAATGTTTTAAATGGGACTCCTGTGCTCGATTAACTTTCCTGCGATACCGATCCATCGAATTAACACAGATTTCCAGCGGAGAGATCACCGACGTATCGTCGACTCTAACACAGATATTCACTTAACGAATCATCGTTATCCTTCCTACGCTCAACAGTCTCGAGTAGTATCGTCGATACGAAGTGGTCGGGCGTCGAAGACGACGAGTCTACGCGCTCCAGTTTGCTTTGTCACGATTCCGAGACGCAGTCCGCTTTTCGATTATCTCGCAATCAGCCATCGAGTATGGAATAAACGCGCCAGAGGCTGCAACCGACGGGTGCGTGCGATGGAATGGCAACCCTAACTGGGTTAACGACAGGTCACGGAAGCCTCGAATGTTTTCGCTCGGCGCGATGCAGAGAACCGCCTATCGTATTTTCTGTCCGCGCGCAAAACGTGCACCGTGAAATTTCCAGGCTGTTGCCCGTCGAATTCACGATCTTGATAAGAATAAAAATTGCTCGATCGAACAAACCGTTCCGTGTACCGATCATAATCGTCGTTAGGTCGTCCTGCAGGCAGCGTTCCTGGGCAATAAAACCGCCCGGCGATGTACGCTCCGATATAAATACCATTACCCGGATAAACTGAAACGCATCAACGCGATGGAATATTTCAACTGTCGTAAAATTAATTAAATCAATTTACAACGCGACAATTAAACCGTGGGCCTGTTTTTCTAGATCAAGGAAGAACGAAACGTGTCTTACGCTTTTTGAATATTTAAAATTGCCCGCCGTTTTCCACGCGACGCGCGATATTAGAACGGAGCACCGATCGTCGAGATTACGTTGTCGACAATTTAACCGAGGGAACTTAACAAGTTGTAAACGCGAACGCGCGGTAGTTGGCCAATCTTGTGTGTGGCTGTTTGATATTGCACCCCCATCCCCTTAGAGCAGACTCGACGCTCGAACACGAGGGGTTGGAGACACATTAAGCGCGTATGAAACACTCGAGCCACTTGCGCCAGCAGATACGTTTCCCCGATCTTCCTCGCGAAATTACGCTGAATCAGTCGTAACGTAATTTCTAAAAGAAAACGCTTCTTACGGTCGGCGAAGAGTCAAGATGCTTTTCAGGGAAATAAACTTCCTCCCGGTTGCGAAACTTTTCACAAATTAAACCGTAAATACTTTAAGAAGAAGCTTGTCCACCGCGAGATGAGTGTGCTCGACAATCGTAAAGTAAATTGAACTAGTCGTAAAGGGTCTACCATATTTAACAGTATTTTCTATGGCAGTAATTTGCAATCTCTATGGAAAGATTATCAAATTAACGAGGACTCTGATCAACCTTGAAACTTGTCACGAATAAACTGCTCTAATTAATCGTGCGCAACTAATTCCGAAATTAAAATATTAATCGCGAATTGGGTCCATTAATAGTCAGAGGCTCAAAGTGGGCAAAATCTGGTTTGTCCGCGTAACCATTCGGCGCGAATAATTTAACGCAATAGACGCAGTATGGTCCGTGGATTTATGACAAATTGATGTGCATCTGCGCCGTGTACGTCTCCCGAGTGCATCGGATTGCTCCGCGAATGCAATATGATAGATCGATTCGGTGACACTTGCACATCCTTCCTGCGTTCCTATTTACCTTGGCATAAATTCTCGGGATCGTGAGATTCCTAGAACTTAATGAACCCCTATTTGAAAATGACGACCGTCTCCAACAGGGCAATGACGAACGACCGTGTCATTCTTCGAAATTAGAGAGAAAATTGCACTCGTTTCTCTACGACGAACGAATATTCACGGTAGAATGGAAGACGGGGGTAATTTGTCACGACAAAACGAATTTTTTATCGAAACTATTCTTAGAAATAGCGTGAACTATCGTACGTCCACCTCGGAATATTGTAAACAAAACCCACGTGATCGCGTAAGAAACTCGTTGGTCCCGTTAAATACTGCCTTCTTTCCTCGTTTATTTATTAATATACGATTCTTCTGCTTGCAGCGTCCGGAGTCGCCATTAGAAAAACAGCAGGAAGTCGATAGTTATAACGGACTGTGCGGACCTATCTCAACGCAGATGGAGTGAGTCGAGTTTTAAATCAATAATTATCCTTCGTTCGTTTCCAAGTTATCACGATAATTTGTATAATTGTGCTATTATTAGAAGGAACGAAAAACTGTGAGGCTATTCGCTTTTTGGAAATCACTTGGCGTACCAAAATTGGATCAAAATTGAAATTGCGACAAAAACGCTTGGTTGTGTGTTGGATGTAGGTAGAAGTGGAACAAAATGATGGAGATAGGAGGAGGACCATTGGTGTAATAGACGACCGTAGGTCGTCCGGAATTCCTGGATCATCCGTACCCGCCTTCGATAAAGACTTCCCGATATATTCAAGATGACGATAACGGCGTCCACCGAGAAGATGGAGACGACGAAGGACTTGCCGAGAAAGAAGTTTATCAATACTAATCTCCTATCGCTGAAGCTCTTATTATTCCTCTTTTTCGGAGGTACGTGTCAACCATCTTCGAACGCGGTACAATAGTACAATACTTATCCGGTTCAAAAGGTGAAACGAATCGACTTGCAAACTCTATTCTCAAGCGGCTTTTTGCTCTCCGATAATATCATAGTTTCCGGGTCCTCTCTTGCTACAGCCGTTTAAGAATTCCTTCATGCACTATGAATTCTTACGACAGTTATTGCACGAGAGTTATGATTCACGATTTAAACTTCGCTTGAAGTATTTACGGTTTATTGGCGCAGGAATGGGCTGCCTCTTCCCGTTTCTACCATTGCACATGATGGAAATGGGCCTGAGCATCGACCAGATACGAATGATCTCGATGATCTCGCCGGCGGTGGCCATATTGGGACCCTTGATCGCTGGACCGATCGCGGACAAGCTGGCTGGCCATCAGGGACGAAACGACAAGTCGTCGACGGGTCGTTACCTCAGGGTGATGATCGCCATCGCCTGCGTTTTGTCCGCCATTTTCTACGCTTTCCTATTAATAATACCGGCCGTCGATCGCGTCGAACACCCGAGGGAACGGAAACCACATCTCCAGTTCAACTGCGATCAAATAGGCGCGGTCGTGGTGCAAGAGGGATGCAAGGATCGCGGAACGTGTCACAGATGGTCCGACGAGACCAGGGTCGGACCCTTGCTTCTCAAGGGTTGCAACTACGCTTGCCATCCCGTAGGGTCCAAACTATGGCGAACCGAGGATTCGGGGGGTTCCCTCGCCTTTGGGACCACCGATTCCGATATCGGTGTTCTCGATGGCAGCGGAGAATCCGCGGTTATCCCTCTCGAGAGCGAAATGTACGCGCAGGTGAATATCCAGGCCAACTCGCCACGCCATTAAAGTTTTAGAGGTCCCTGAGGGGTCGAGGGAACGTTTGGAAGGAGAGGCTCGAAAAGTTGCGGGCGTCGATAGGCTCCTAAAAGTTTAAACAATTTGTTACTCAACCACCATAGATTTAGAAATAATTTACTACTGTGGATAGCCGCGTACAGAGGCCCGATAGGATCTAGTATGCGATATTGAACATTTTTTCAGGAACCGGAGGATACCAGGAAGATGCAAAGGTTCGCGATGGATGAAAACGAACCGCCACACCTGTGCTTCAAAGAGGGTGATAACGTAGTGTGTCACGTCTACACAGAGTACTCGGGCACATTGGCCGTAAACGCCACACTGGGACAGGCTTTAAACAAAAACGGCAGCGATCAAGGATTGTGTGTATACCCCGTGGTCGAGTACTTTACTTGTCGAATACCCCCAGAACTGAACGCCAGAATGGCAGATGTCTATGAGACCTGCTCCATCAAATGCGACTTGGTTGATCCGTACACTCTTCCAGGTAATATTATACACGTGTATACATTTATATTTATAAATTTTAATCCCTTGGCTCAAACAAGAACTTAACTTTCATGGCCTTCCAACTCCATTATTCTTCTCTTCTCATCTATCCACTTTAACCTACTTCAGTTTTGAACTATAAACGTCCTTCTTCTATTGTTTTCTTCCTCATCTATCACTCTTGACCACCTAACTATTCCTAACATTTGTTCCTTCCGTTTCTAACATTATCAGTAAATTGATCTTGCAAGTTAGTGTACCTTGAAACTCCGTTTACCTCAGCAACTTTGTTTCCAGACAGCGTTCTGGTAGAGAGCCAGTGTCAGAAAGCGGACGAGGACTGGTCGCACCTGGTGTTCTGGACGTACTTGGCCATTCGATCAGCCGCTGATATATTCCCAACGACAGCCGTGGCTTTGATCGACGCTGCTGTGGTGATAGCCACCAGGGAAACTTCCTGCGGACGCGGCGACGTGGGTCGTCAGCTGGCCTTTGGTTCTCTTGGCTTCGCAATCTTCGGCCCTCTGACTGGCTACCTGTGCACATTGATAGATAACTTGAATTCCTTCTACTATCTGCCAATCGGTTTGCACGCCGGTTTTATGCTCCTGGCGGCTCTGGTCGCCCTATGCGCCAATGGGATGCCTCTAAGTCCGCCGGAATGGTGGTGGCACACCAGAAGCGGCATGCTAGCGCTTCCCATGAGCGCCATCAAGAGATACGGCAGCGAAACTGCCGCTTTGGTGATCGTCCTGATAGTCATGGGAACCTTCTGGAGCGCCATGGACAGCTATCTCCCATTGTAAGAGTCCTTCTTTGATTATATGCCTCTGCTAGTCCAGGATCCGATCCAATTTCTCAGCACGTTACCGTCATTCTATTGGAAAACTACCAGAACACATTACATTTGCAGTACTTTTGGTCATTACACGAATTCGACGAATAATTTTTCAGTTTTAAATCAATACTTGATTTGATATCGAAAGCAATGGGTGTCCTGTTCGTTGATCTGAATTTCCATTGTTCCGCTTAGACACTTGCAGAAATTGGGAGGCAACGAGCTTCCTATTGGCGTGGCCATGACCGTGGGGGCGGTCCCAGCATTCTTATTCCTCTGGAAATCCGAACATCTCGTCGATTATTGTGGCCACAGTAATCTCCTTATCACTGCCTTCACTGTGTATATTATTAGGTAGGTAAGTTATATTATTGTTACGCGAAGATTGAAGATTCTGTTCCTGATGGTGTTTTCTACAACTCTTGACACTGCGGTTTCCAGGTTTACTGGACTGAGTCTCGTCGCGGGAGCTTGGTGGTCCTTAATTTCCGAGGCTCTCGAGGTCTTCACTCTAGGAATTATGTGGGTCACTGCCATTCTTTATCTCAGACACTTGGTCCCGCGTCACTTGACCGTGACTGCTCAAGCGCTACCTGTGATTGCGCACTTCTGCGTCGGTATGCATCCCAAATAAAGAGATTGCGTCTAACTTTTTTTCTAGAAATTTGAAAAAAGAAGTCAAACGTTATTCACGATGATGTTTAACATTTAATTTTTTTAACTTCCGCGTAGAGAGTGGTTTCGAAATGTGCGTAAACGCTTGACAAATGTTTCAAATTTTACACAGGTCGATGTATCGGAGCCGTGATCGGTGCTTACATAAATGTCGACGACACTGACATCGTCGACTCGTTGCGATTCGTTTATCGTTGCATGGCAGTCGCGGCCGCGGGAGTATCTGCCTTGTATTTCGTCTTATATCACGGCCTATTGAAGCCACGGTGTCATGCACACACTATACAGGGTCCACGACAACCACCCACCGTTGTGCAAGGTAAGAAAGTGTGTTTATAAAGTAAATCATCGAGTTACGTAACTTTAACTTTTCCAACAAATTTCTACACCATTTGAATCAAGGACATATCAAATATTCAGCCTACCCGTAACTAACACAAACCCTATTCCTCACACAAGCTGCCATTAAGGAGTACGAACTGAGTGAGTATTCTAAAACCGTTTTTTGACAAACAATTGTTCATCGCGTAAGAAACCAAATTCGTTTGCTCTCCAATAATTTATTTATTCTCCATTATCCTTACATTATATTACATTTTTCTTTTGTTATCAACCTGTTTTTACGTTTTTGCATTGTTTCTTTAATACCCTCTGTTTTCTTTTGTGCACAGCGATGAACGGAAACGGGAATTACACGCCGCTCAGGGTCTACCACAACGGAATGGGCAGGAAAGGTCAATTCCGCTATTGAAGATTAGGAGAAAGGTCAATTCTATTATCGAAGATTAGGAAAGAAAAAGAGACGGATCGTTGAACGACAGTTTAAATGTCACGTTACGGTGCTAGCGATTAGGGTGTCGCTGTTGTTACGATTTGAAAGAAAATGAAAATGGTTAGGCGAACACGCTGTAAAATTTCCAATGGCGCCTTTAGCGTTAACTTCTAACAATTTTCACTGGCGTCGACGATAGTCGTAGTCTTTGATACTATCATCATTTCTTCGTACAAACAGTCACTAAGGATTTATTTTGCTCAGGTGTACTTTAAAGCGTCGACACGAGCCTCTACATTTACCAGTACCGAAATGAGATTACGAGCCAAGAAGGTGGAAGTACTCGAATTTCGAACCAAGCTCGCGCAAATTTTTTTTAATTATTCTCAATCGTCTCGAAGCGACCGTCGTAGTTGTAGATGTCGATCATTAATGATAATAAAATAATGAAATCGATGATATCGCGAGTGCAATGACTGATCACAAGCAAACGTCTATTATAAGTATACGAATATTGATAGAAATCAACGACGACAACGTAGACATTGGTCAATTTTTAACCTGTCTGGCAAAGAGAAATTTTTTAATACGAAATCGTTTACCCCGGAGACCATATTACTATTATTTTTCAAACAGATATTTCTGCTTATCTTTCCCAACTTTACCATTATCTCTAGAATAAATAATCGTGCACTTTGGATTCCTTAAGAGCTGTAAAAAAATTCCGTCGCCAGCCAGGCCCAAAGTTGAGTAATCTTTACCACAGTTCTTTGCTACTTTGTTTATTTTGTTTGTACACGATGATTCGAATATTCAAACATTTGCGTTCTTGGATGTTGTACTTTCAGATACTCCTCGATGAGAAAATAAGAAAAAAAAAAAAGACAAGAGACAATGAGTGGCAAAGGATCGAAGATCTTTGCTTGGCTCATCATTCCTGAGTACTTGTACCTATGTTTGTAACGATAGCAACGTTGTACTACACGATCACTACAACGATTCTAAATGTAACATATTTGTAATGCTTTTTCATTCTCATAGTCTTTGTATTCTTTGTAAGTGTACAAGTATTATTTTCGAACTTGCGAAACGGTACGAACCTGTTTCGTAACTGTTTGATTTTTTTTTTTTTTTTTTTTGTATATTAGACTGCGATCACGTAAGCGTTGCGTATTCATACTGTTTTTAAGAAAAAGAATTTCTACGGGCCTGTTGTATCGTATCTGTACAGAGTGTTCCACGCAATTGGGAACAATTGTGTCTTTAGAATGATTAGAAAGAATCTCTGATCGTTTCAAAGACACGATTATCTCCCATTTTGCGTGGGTCAGCCTGTACACTGAGGAATAATCGTCTCTCTATGTAGGATAAGACTTTACCTGACAGATAAGAGAAAGTAATATATTGAATTGTGGGATCGATGTGTATACACGAAGGAAAAAAAGAGAAATAAATAAAACTGAACAACAAAAAATAGGGTTTGGATACAATGTTACAATTTATGGTATATTATACGTAATAAACACCTATAACGCTAACAAAAATTAATATTCAACGAACATGGATAATGGAAAAGAACACTTGGATGTTTCATAGAACGGTTGTCACTGTCTTTGCATTTTAAAAATAATCGTAAACGCGACCGACTCTCTACAAAATTATCTCCCTTTTCAAATTTCTATTCGACGATTTTTAATAAGCTAACGACCCGCCGAATTTTCAGTCGAAACAGTTAGACATCTGCTCGTAAAGTCTACGTGTACAAAAAAATAATGACTGTGTTCTCGACAGTTTGTAATAAATTTATTGGAGTAGATTTCGATTCACCTGATATCAACAGACGAACATGCGACTATCATGGAAATGTTCGCTTGCTACAGTTCGAAATACATTGTTAGGCTAAAAGTAAATTATCATGGACCATAGAAAACAGCGACCATCAACGTACCTTTAGGGCCATCTTTACCATTTCATGGACATTCGTTCATTCACACCTATTTATACATAATATTACCTAGACGATTGTAGGTATTAATATTCGATAGTCGTATTTAACATATTTATATAAACTTCAGAATCGTATCGTTCTTAATCCGCGCGTTAAACGTCCCTATTTTTCTGATCAACGCCCCGCTCGAATGCACCGCGAGACTCTTCGTTTCAGGAAATACTTTTCTTTTCTTTTCTTCTTCCAAAGTGTGTGCAGTCTTACAAGAATAACATTAAATGACGGATGAATCATGAGCATAAAAAATTGTATCGATGACAAATCGGGCGAGGGGCCTCTTCGTCCCGTGAAACGACCACTAATTAATGTCAAACGCTTACCTAAAATTATCGAAAGAAGTTACTAAAGCTTAATATCTTTTTACATCATTCTACATTACACAATGCACTGTACAGACAAGGAGGTCGTTGGGCAAACTTCATATTTGCACGTAGAAAAAAAAAAGAAAAAAAAAAGAAACCTCGTCGACATTCTTACGCTGACTATCAATATATGTATACGTAATGCTTTATAGTTACTTCCAATAAGTATTACTTAGTCGATTAACAAGTACGTTTCAATAATCGTGAAACGTACGTGTCGAAGAACCGTCGCGTGGTCGATTGGAAATCTTTTGTAACGTGACCACCCGTGCGATACAGTTACTTCACTAAATCTGAAATATCCATAGGTGTTTTTCGCAAGGACGTACACCGAAATTATATTTATATACCGGTAGCTTTCAGAAATAACGGTACGCTTTTTAGATTTCATTGTAATTTTCAATATCCTTTTCAAACGATGGTCAAAAACCGGTATCATTTCCCTATCGTTATTATATTTACTGACAGTCCCTAAAAATCAAATTAATTATAACTATGATTCTTTCAACTTAATAATCTTGTTCAATTGAACATAGACTTGTCACTTTGTTAGTCCGACTGAGCATGGATAAAACACGACGCAGATAAAAAGAATGATTTATCTATCCACTCGCTTCGTTAAATTCGCCACTGTCGCAACGGAAAACAGAATATATCGGACGGTCAATCTTGAAACGAGACAAACACAACACAATAAAGAATCTATGGAATTTAGTGTGTATCCTAGAAGTATAGTTTTCTTATAACAACATCGGTATGAAGTCCCTGGTTGCTCGTTATGAATTAATGCGCTATTATACCGGTTCTTTCTATTCGTCATACACACAGAAATTTAAAAAAACGCATTGCAGCCAAATAGTCCTAGAAACAACAAAACTAAGCATACAATGAATGATTACGACAAACGTTTGTGTCGGTAACGATCTCGGCTTCTATTTAATTAGCGATCCTTTCGCTGCGACGCCTATCAGTTCTAATTAAACTCGCGACATTCATCGACGATCGTCGTTTCATTAATCGTCGATGATGGTACACTCGTCCTCTATATTACTATCCGAGTTTATCGCGTTGCAATTGTTACTCCTGCTCGAATCCTGCTTGTCCTCTTTATCCTGCGATACGTTCGCCGCACCAATTTTATCACTAGTAGAAAAACGCGTACCTTTCGATTTACTTTCCTTCTGCGTGTCACTAACGATCGCGGGCGGGGGGCTCTTTAAATTTTTCTTCTTATCTAAATTATTCGTCATGTCGTTGACCATTTTCACGAAATCGTCCTCGGCCACGTCGACGACCGAGTTCGTTTCCTGCGGCTTCGGAGATTTCGAGTCGCTGTCCTCCTTGTTCGCGTCGTTTAAACTATTAGTATCGTGCGAGGCGGCGACCGATTTGTCCATGGTCTCCAGCATCTCCGAAATGAACGGCGAGTTCGCCTCTATCAGATCCTTCAAAGGCGTCTCGTTCGGATCGGGCAGGTCCTTGGACTCGTCCGACTGAACGATCTCGAACTCCGTGCGCGTCTGCAGGTAATTAATAAACTGTTCCTCGTAATTGTCGGACTGTTTGTTGTCCCCGTTACCGGCGGACGTCGACGCGTCGTCCCGCGTCTCGGACGTCTCTTCAGACTTCTGCAACGACGATTGTCTTATGCACTTATCGTAATCGCGTAACTCGACGTCGTATATCTGCACAGACTTGTCCACCAACAACGCCGGATCCTCGCCCACGGCTCGCGATACGGTGATCCGTTTCTTAAACGACTTTATACCCCCGACCACGTTCGTGGTACCGACGAACTCCGACGGTTTTATGAAGCTGTTCTCCGGCTCGCTGTTGTTCTCGGTCTCCGGGTCCGACTCGTTCACGCATACCATCTCCAGAGTAATGTCTTCGTTCTTCGCGTCCTTCGCGGCGTTGTTGCTGTCACCGGTTTGGGTGGCGCCAGTCTTCAGCTGGTACCTTTTCCACCGATTGTACTCGCGCACTATTCTGTCGTTGATACACGCCAGCTGGCTGACCGTGTCGCGTATCTCGCGATGAAACTGCTTGATCATGACGCGCGCGTCGTTCAGCTCGTACTTCTTCAGCTCCTCCTGCTTCGACGACTCGAACAGCCCCTGAAGCTTGAGCTTAAGGTTTATCAGGATATTGTCCACCTCTTGACCGTGAGGTAGCAGCCTCTGGTTAAGGGTTTTCGCGTAACGCCTCTCCGCTGGCGGTTCTAGCTTCCTGAAACCACCGCTGTGACTATTTTTCGAGCTCACCAGCGCCACGGGCACGGCTTTATTGTTGTCGACGTGATCCTTGAAGGAACGCGAATTACGGGAGGGACCGACCACCGCCACGTCCTCGGAATCGCTGTCGATCTCGATCACGCTCGGGCTGGTCGACACCGGCGGCGGTACCTGGGGCTCCGGCAACGAGAAACGCAACCGTTTCATCATGTCGGCGCTCTGATTCGGTATGGTCACCATGGGCGTGGACGTGCAATGCATCGCCTGGTACAGATTTATCGGATTCAAAGGATTCAACTGATTCATCTGTCCCATTTGATTAATTGAGTTTATAGGGGTCATCGGTGTCACCGGTGTCATTTGATTTATAGGACTCGGTACGTGGCGTATAGGTAATACCGGGGCCGCGGGCGTTATGAAATTCGAGCTCGATACCATGTTCATGAACGTGTTGTACAACGGTGGCTGAACCACGCTGGTTTCCCCTCTGGATGGCAAAGAGTTTTGCGGAGTCTGAGAGATGATCGTACCGTCCGTGTTCACGGTCGCGTTCTCGCACTCGACCATCGTTTGCTCGCACGAGAGCAACGACGGCAGTATCTCGGTGTGATCTATCGAGCTGTCTTCCGATGCGGCGCCGTACGATCTACTAGTGGACATCGATATATTGCTACCGTTCGAATACCGACCTCTGCCGCGACCCCTTCTTCTACGTTTCGTCACTACGGGCGGCGCTATCGGTTTCGGTATATACGTTTCGTCCTCTTCCTCCGAATTCGAACCGGTTCTTCGACGCTTCCGTTTTCTTCTACGCGCGCAACAATTCGACTCGTCTAAACTCAGTTTCTCCTCCACTTCCTGCGGGGTGAACTTGCAATTGTGCTGCAGCAATCTGAAAATATTAAAAGTTGCATGTACTCAAAGCAAAAGTCTCCCAACGGGAGGAAATTTAGCTTTAGGAGAGGGCTTCCGGACTCCGTGACCAGCGTAGCCGAAAAAATAAGCTGAATCCTATGTTCGAGGGGAACGAAGGAAGCCAGCATTCGGCTGCCTCGCACGGTGCAGTGGAGTGATAAAAACAACGGGTGTACCTATTGTATTGTTTTTGAAAGAAACACGAGGCGAAGAAAATTATTTAGTCACTTTATTAGATAACTTAATAATATTTATACTATAATTATACTAATTACCTACATGTTTACAGAATATGTTACAACAAATACGATGAATACAATTATTAAAAGTTATCAGTACAATACGTACTCATTTTCTGTACTTTTCACGGAGCTCTTGGAGTCTGGAATAGCCTCCACGTTGTCACTGTTGGTTTTGACTTTGTTTCTTGCTGCAGCCACTAGCACACGGTGTATTATACTTCTTCGATGTTGCAAAAGGTCACTCTTCTTTGCACGGAGTACCCTTTTGCATACAAGACATTCGGCTTCATGGGGGTTTACTGATTTAGCCAACCACCATGAGAAATCAGGTTCTTTCAACCATGCTTCTCTGAACTTTTGAAAATACGGTCTTTTGGCTAGTGGATCCATACTCTCGTGACCAACGTAGCCGGAAAAATAAGCTGAATCCAATTTTTGAGGAGTGGGGGGTTACCAGTAATTTGCGCCGTGTGAAATGGTGGGAAAAGCAACGAGCGTTCCTATTGTCCCGTTACTTCTCCCACCACTTCGTAACGGGACAATGAGAACGCTCGTTGCTTCTCCTACCACGTCTCATGATGTGAGGTAACGAAGGCCCCTACGTCACGTTACCTTCTCCCACTCCTCAAACATTGGATTTAGCTTATTCGTGTGGCCACGATGCTCGTTACAGATGTCGCTGTCTGTTAATAATACAATAAATCGTACAATATATGAAAAAGAAACCCAAACAAATTAAAAAAAAAAAGTAGTATTAATAATATATCTTACCTGATTTCACAATAACTTTTAAATACACAGAATATAAAATACTTCACAAGACGTCTTTCTTTTACGTTCACTGCACTGTAACCGTTTAAATTGCATTTACCGCGTTGCCTTAGCTAAACTTACTCTGTCAGATATAAGGAATAGCAATATACCTAACTATAATAAAATAGGAACACCCGTTATTTCCCCCACTCCGCCGCACAGTGCGACACAGTGGAGGCTGTAGCGACATGCTGTCTTCCCTCACTCCTTAGACATGGGGTTTAGCTTACTTTTCTGTTTACGTTACTCGTGGCCCGCGGGCCACGCGATGCTCTTTCCCTTACCACCCTTAACCAAAATTAAAAAAAAAAAACCATACAACTACCCTACCCCCTCTTCTATTTTACTAAATATTGATCTTAATCTTTTGTTTTGTCCCTCCTTCGTTACAATGGTTTTTGATTGACTCACAACCATTAAGGAGTTTCGATTGTTTCTAAACCATATGAAATTAAATTTGAAATTTCTATACCTTTCATTATATTCGCAGGAAAGCATTACCAACCAATTGACCAGGTTTCTCTGATGAAAACGAGTACAAACATGACCACTTTTGGAATTACTTTTAATACTCGTTCCTCAATTTTGAAAATATATAAAATATTTCAAAGAAGGTCGTATGTGGGCTCATATTCATCAGAGAAATCAAGCCAACCTATTAATAATATTTTGATAAGAATACAAAGAAATTTTGATGAAATTCAATCCCGTGCGCGGGTGTTATCGTTCTCTGATGTCTACTGCTAAACACAAATAGGCCGAGGCTCGCTCGTCGATGCTCTATCTCGCTCACTCCCGATATATCCAGTCGCTTTCATCGTTCACTGTCCCCGCACAATCCTCCATATTGGCTGGCGAAGCCACGCCAACTTGCCGCCATATTTAAAACAGAGATAGTGTGACTACAGGTTTGGGGCTTTCTATCTTTCGAATGAAACAAAGAGACGAGAAATATAGCGGCGACATGGCTTTCATTCTACAGGATCTATTAAAATTGACGGTCCAAACTTTGTATGCACGCATGACCCGCTTCCGCGAAAATTTGAAATTTGTTGACGTTCGTTTGACTACAATCGTTTGAAAATTATTTTTGTATAATCTGATGTTAACTGTGCAAACGCAATAATCTTTCTTCCTTGAAAATCTACAATTTTCGAGTAGTAAGGGGACATTTTATTTTCGTCGAAGTCATTTCAACCCAGCTTAGCTGTTGCTGTTTTCTTTGTTCAATCTCTGTTTACGAAATCAGACGGTTTAAGTTACATATTTGGCCGTAGCCTTCGTATATGTATATAAATGTAAATGGCCCTGTATTCGTTCATCGCGTTCGATGAGAAATAAGTAATTAGCAATTAACTTTTAGTCTAGCATTTTTGCCCCTTCCTAGACAAAGTTCTATTTACGCCTTCGACGAATACTATGCGCACCCGAAGATGGAGGTTATCAATTTTAACGCGCCCGGTACGTCTACGTCTCAATAACCGCGAACAATGAAAATATTTGGCACGAACTTTTGTTACCTGTTCATTCTTTGAACGTATTCGAGTAAAGCCCAGCAAATTGCTCTTGCGGGATACAAGTCCTTGGGGTCGCAAACGAAGCATTTCCACTTTTCGTCCGCCTCGATCTTTTTCCTCAATACGGGATCGATATTTCTCTTAATACATTTGCAACAAAACGTGTTGCTGCAAAACGAACAACAATACAAATTGCCGCCATTCGCGCACCATCTACAAAACATATCCGTGGCATCGTCGCCTGCAAAATAAACGTGAAAAAGAATCGTAAAAACGCGACTCCACTCCTCATTAGCTCACTCAACAATTATTCAGGTACCTTGCTCGAAGGTGCCATCTCCATAAAATTCACGACATTTGGAACACAATAACGTACGCAGCACAGGATGCTCAAACATATTACCAACATCCGCTGGTGCTGATCCAATGTGTATATCACATGCCGTGCAATGTAGTTTTTGAAATCGTACATTAGAAACATCTGGAAAATATAAAACATGTGCTGGATATCTTTGCAATACCAAGAAGTTCAATTGGATGCAATTGGAAAGTGAAAAAACTATTTATAATTCTTTTAAATAATATCAATAACGATGTTCTAATCATACAGTCTGGTTTCTTTCTCTATACTTTTGATTTATGCAGCCTCACATCTCCGCAGAACTCACTACATTCGGTAAATGTATTACAAAACCATGATAAATAAAAAATATTAACCGTGTATGATATTTCATCTATAATTCCAACAGAGATGAAAAATGGAATAATACAAGACATAGAGAGCACAGTAAAATTGATAAATCACTTTAGAATTGTAATCTGCAAAGTACATAACTTGCAGCTACTAAACTTGGACCAGTACGGCTTAACCAAATCAATATTTATTTATTTATGTACTGACATACATAGAATTAAAAATTATGCGCGATAGAAGTTGTTTTTTAATGTATTTATTTGTTCCATTCTGTTGATTCGCACAATGTTTCTCGCATAGAATTTAACGTACATTAAAAAACGAAGCTCAGCACCATGCCATATAATATCATGAAAGTTTCGTTAGGAAACAGCTAAACTAAGGGTGAACAGGAGTGAACGAAAAGTGAAAAGCTCACCACTGCCGAACACGAGTTTATAATAATTGCTTTCCTCCGGGGAAATCGGTAATGAGGTATGTGTGGTGCTCGGAAGCAGAACCCTGGGAGTCACTGAAACACGAAATAGGGTTAGGTGCGACGGCTAGCGACGATTTCCGCGAAACTGTCTGAAAAGATTCCGGAATCTCACCGTTTTCTTTGCTGTCCACCTCCTTCACCTCGTTCACCTGCACCTCGAGCATACTAGAGATATCCATTGTCAACGTGCGCTCAGGCCGCGATTGCGTTCAACGAAACGTTTCAAAACACAGATTATCGCGCCGCCATTTTCCTGCAAGCGCGTCAACCTGAAATTTCGGCACGCAATCGTTCGAACATTCAAAAAAAAATGTACACCGAAGAAAATCCCCTATTTGCATGGCCCTGAACCAACAAAAGCAAACGAATACAACGAAGAACCGAAAAATATATTCAAAAAACATTGCGCCTAAAACTATCAAAAAATCAACTCCGTTTCATTCCCATGGGAATTTTCTTTTACAATTCTCTATATTTCCATCGAATCTCGTTGATTACCTCGGCTATCGAAGGAAAAACCAGACTAAATAAAATTGTATGAGATGTTTTGAATCTTTTAACGTATAAACGAAGGGGTTGAAGGAGGGCGATTTGTACGTTGAATCGTTCGAATGCTTTGCCAACATATTCGTTAATCGTCGCCGCGGCTGCGGGAACAAATTTATTTACAAATGGCGTTCGCTTATCGGAATCGCTGCGGAAACATTTCGAATCGTTCGGAAATATTTGGGAATCGTTTACGATGTCGGGGAAGACGGATGAATCGAAGGAAACCGTGCTGAAGAAGTCAGCGGAGAGACTGACGGACGAAATGCAAGGCATGGCTAATTATAAAAGTCTTTATTCCGAAATTCAGGTAAACGGAAAATGTTCTACGATAATGCACGGTTAACTTTCACTAAAATCTGCACGGGTGACTTTCCACGACTCGTTCCCCCCTAATCCCTTCCACTCAGCGTCTCGAGCTCAACGAAACCCGATCCAACAGAAAAGGAAAGAGAATGGGTAAAACGAAACACACGCGAAATCCCTTTAATTTGGAATTTTGAAAATTATAATAAACTACGATAATTAAGAACGATAGAAGTATGTTCGTTGCGTTATTTAATAATGTAGATAGAGGGCCACGAATGTTCTCGATCCATCCGTGGCTTAGAGCCGACAGTACACGATGCTCATAAAATTCAAAACGCGACTGATCGTTAACAAATAATTTCTATTTTTGCAGAAACTCGTTGCTTCTGCCGCTGTGAAGAGGGAAGACTTCAAAAACACTTTGATGGACGCATTAAAAAGCAACGGTTTAGAAACAGAAATCAGAAACACGGTGTTTCACTGGGCGAGGTCGCAAGTTCGTAATTTGAATTACGGACACACGATGTTTGAAAAACATTTTCCATTTTCGAATTTTTTTCTCGAAACTGCGTAGGATTTCGGGTATATGTGTATTCACGAAAAATGCTTGTAATTAACCCCTGCAACTAAAAATAATTTTTCCAAGACGATTCGAAATTCTTTTTTTCACCCAAAATTTTTAGCACATACTCGAATTTTTTTCTCGAAACTGCGTAGGATTTTTGGGGTATGGGTATTCACCAAAAATGCTTGTAATTGACCCCTGCAATCAAAACAATTTTTTCAGAATGATTTGAAATTTTGTAATTTAATTTTTTAATAACTTTTTAATGAAACCTCTGTCAAGAAATTGATATTCTTAATTTTCGTCTTATTTTGGCCTCCAGAATCTCCCATTACAATTTTTCCCAGGGGTGACCGAACACCCTGTATAATTATGTAATTAAATATACATATAAGAAACTTATACGATTACTCAGGGTTCCTTATCTACGACATCGGTCCTATCCACTGAAGAAGTTGATCTAAGCTACTTGAAAAAGGCTCAGATTCAATGGGAACGTCGGATACAAAAATCATTGAACTCCACGTGTAACGAGTTGAACGTCCCGCTGGCACGCATAAGGCCCAGCGCGGATCGCGAAGAACTTGCTGAAAAATGGAACGAATTAAGCACTTACGACATTGGTAAAACATAATCTTTTTAGCGTCTCTAATATCCTTTAAGAAAATAATCTGTAACACTACAGAGGTCTTCTAGATTTGTCACAATACAGGCCCCTTTACGCTCCAAAGGACTTTCTGGACGTGCTGTTCGCTATACGGAATCCCTCCTTCAAGAAACAACCGTACATACACATTATTATTATCATTAAGCAATCTTTTACATTAATAATTTGGGTAGATGCCTGATAGTTGTATCGCTTACTTTACACTCACAACGATGTTTCAGAGATGAATTGAATTGGGAGTTCAGTCACATACAGATTCGCGTAAAGACGCTCACGCAATTGGTACGAGCTCAACACTCATACAAATTATGATTGCATTCTTTTAAGGAAATATTCTAGACTATACACAATGTTTTTTTATGTAAAAATATACAGGGTGTTCGGCCACCCCTGGGGAAAAATTTTAATGGCAGATTCTAGAAGCCAAAATAAGAATATCAATTTCTTGACTGAGGTTTCGTTAAAAAGTTATTAACAATTAAATTAAAAAATTTCAAATCATTCTAAAAAAATTATTTTTGATCGCAGGAGTCAATTACAATCTTTTTTGGTCGATAAGCATACTCTCAAAATCGTAACCATTTTTGAGAAAAAAATTCAGGAAGGTGGACTTTTTCGTTGAAATTAAAAAAATTCAAATTGTTCTAAAAAAATTACTTTTGGTTGCAAGGGTCAATTACAATCATTTTTGGTCAATAGACATACCCCCGAAATCCTAACCATTTTCAATAACTTTGTAACGAAGCCTCCATCAACATATTGGTATTCTTGATTTCCGTCCTATTTTTACCTCTAGAATCTCTCATTACAATTTTTCCCATTTTAAAGTAAAAAAATAGAATCAATTTTCTGACAGAGAAAATAGAATTATTATTTTGTGACAGAGACGCTTGTACGTGGAATTGGCAAAGGGATTGCCGCTGTTAGGCGTGAATCCAGACATGCCCAGTTCAGAGAACTTTGCGACTCTGGAGGAGGAGCGGATCCATCTGGGCGAGAAAGTGTTTAAGTCGAATCACGCTCCGATCGCGCAAGAATTTTTAAAGCGCGGAGTTCCTCGATCGCTTCGAGGACGCCTTTGGTCCCTTGTGCTGGGATCTAATGTAAAAGAGAATGTAAAAACCCGTATCTTACGCTTTTAAATCACGCATCACTCGTCAATTGTCAGAGCGGAGGCGATTTTCTTCGATCGATTTTGATTCGTTGCTTGGTCGAACGTCGTTCATAACGCGTTGAATAATTGAAATTTCTTAGACTATCCGGAGCAGTGTTTTCCAAAGTATCGAGGAGCGAACAAATTTTTTTTAAATTATAAATTAAGCTTCGATACAAGTTTCTATCAGTTCAAGAAATTAATATTTTCTCAGGACGTTGAATACTACGAGGAATTAAAGACCATGGTGCTCCAGTATGATATCGTAGTGGACAAGTTAATAATAAAGGTAGCAAAGTAGATTTCACGTTGTATGGATAACTCACAGTACTCTGTAACGTTTCATAGTTTTCTGTTCTTAGGACGTGCAGTTGACAGCGAGGAACGACGATCAGTATTTCGTGTTCGAGGACGTTTTGTACAAAACGATGTTATGCTTTTCGCGCGATTCGGAGGTGTTGGCACCTGTGACCACCGACAGGAGCGCGGGCGGTCAGGTGATACACGCGGTTTTGCAAGGAAAACCAGCCACGTTGGAGAACACTTTGGTATTCCCACCGAGCGGAGTGATTCCGTTTCACGGTTTCACCATGTATGGTACAAATTCTAAAAAAACAAAATCAAGTATAAATTATTTGTCACGATGCAAATGATTGTTCAAGAATTTAACGGACCCGTTGTTTTGCAGCTACACCGTTTTGTTATCTCTACGACGATCCCTGCGCAATGTATTATACCTTTCGAGCCTTTTATTTGCGATATTGGTTCAGATTACACACAGTGTCCAGTCACGAACAGGGTATCGTCGCGCTGTGCTTGCTTTTCGAAAGGTTGCTCCAGTGCCACGAACCTCTTCTTTGGATTCACTTTAGGAACATCCACATACAACCGTAATTTCAATTTACCCTTGTAATTTGCACGATCGTACGGTTAACAAAATTATTTATTTTCCAGAGTGAAAGTGGTTTTCAAGTGGATCATGAGAGGTTTCAGTGGTCATCTACCCCCGGAACAGCTACTCTATCTTTGGGATTTGATTCTGGGCTACGATTCCTTAGAAATCATTCCTTTACTCGCGGTTACTATTTTAACTTTCAGAAAGGAGAATTTGATGCAAGTCAATAATCTGCAAAGCGTCGAGGTAGCAAAATTATTTTAAAAATAATTGTTTCATTGTACTACATATGTACTACTTATGTACTTTTAGGCTGTACTGGCGGACTTGTCTTCGTTGAAAGTGATTCCACTGTTGCAACTGGCTTTATTAAAAGAATGACCAAAAGACTCGTTTCTTCAATTTAAACAAAAATTCTGAAATCATTCAACTTTTGTTAAAAAATTTATATTAATGATAACTACAACTTTACAAAATTTCTTTCGTATCGAATGTTGATAAAATTGCATGAATGAAACAATAAAAATGCGTCAAATGATCAAACCTCCTAAGATTTCATATTAGATTGTTCCGCCATTTTATAGATTCGAAGCGCTGCAAATCCCATCGCCGAGAACTTGCATGCTGTCATTTTGCAAAAGCTCGACGAAATCGAAGTCGTCCTTCCCCTATCGGCTATTAAAAGAAAAATAATAATATCAGATTTGTATGTTCCCGCGAAATGAACGAGTTCCATTTGATTTTAAATTCAAAATTCTACGCAGAGGCCGTCCTTCCGCGTTTGCGCAAATTAACACGAGTCTCTTTCGATTCGCAAATTATTAATGCGAAAATTCTAACGAACTGCTGGACAAATGATACCGTATCAACGAACAGCTGCTAAAAAAAATCGCTGGATACGATGGCCACGTAAAACAATTAACATTGTCAATGTTTTGCGAACGTTAAAATCATATTCGCCATTTCGTCTACGTATGGCTGGAACGGAGACAACCAATATTGTCTATACTCGCAGCTGATTTCGGAACGTAGCCGCGCATATACAGGGTGATTTAAAGATACGAGTGTAGTTGCTCATTGGAAAACATCCTGCGAATAACTACCACGAAAAGCAGAATCCTTCGATGCAATCCGTGCACTGATTTTTTTAAAGAAAAATAATTTCTTCGAAAATGTATTTAAGATACAGCCAAAAATATTAACTTTTACATTTTAGTCTACTGCGTCCTTTAAACACAAAATAGACTGAATTTTTAACTACATACGTTAATCGACTCGTCTATAAATATCATTAAGTACCGAAGTACAATCCTCAAGGTTCTACTATTTTCGAATAAAACGATTAACTTCATTGCAATACCATAAGTAAGAAAACAATGTAACAAACGAACCGAATCTTCAAAGTTTCGTTCGAATAATATAGATTACGGATCAAAACAATGTTTCATCCGATCGTAAGGTTATTCGTTCGCCCTAAAATGTAATTTAATCCCATAAGCTAAGCAATCTAAAACCCTATACTTTATATAGAATCTAAATCTAACATTCTATAAGCTAAAATCGAATTTATATTTCTACGAGCGGCGTAAAAAACGTTTACCTTTTGTTAATTATTCGAAATCTTCGTACGGACAAACAATTTCCACATTTCTGTGGAAGAAAGCGTCTTATCTCTTTGTGAACACACTGTATGATGCAGCTTGTGATCGACAAAGATAGAAGAGACCCCTTGGAGGGGGACTTTCCTGTTTCCGCCTGTCAGCCGTCGAGATCAGAGACGCCTACCTGCCATCGTAGTTGTGTTTATACTGGCTGATCATTTTCGTTCGATTTAATCCCCTGACAATATTTCGTGAAAAGCGTGCCGAGTCACGCCGAACAGCGGCACGTGAGTAATACGATCCTTCTCTCTCGTTTTTTCTTACCGGAGAGATTCCATTCGACTGTCATTGTTATTACTTACGTACGTACGACGATTAAGGGTGGGGTGGTTCTCACCCCCAAATTATTAGTCATGCACAGCTTTGCACCAGTGTCGATACCCTTTCCCAGCGTTGTCCTCGCACACGCTCGCTAGATATCGGTGTACTCGTATTATTACGTAAATTCGGTTCACGATAGGAAACAAAGAAATCCTCAATTTGTGCCATTCTGCAAATTATTCATCGAAATATTCACAAAAAACTCTATATTTGTTAATTTTTTATTCAGAGGTTTTTTAATCAGAGCAATAAAGATCGAATAGTTGATGGAAATTTGGTGATATTTTTTATCAGATTACATGGTTTAAGAGGAAATTGACCCAGAAACTGTACTGTTGGCAACGTCAAAATGGCTTGGCGTTTCAAAGCGTCTAAGTATAAAAATGCAGCTCCCATTGTTCCTAAACCGGAGGCATGTATCAGAGATATTTCAGTTGGTTCTTATCAGACATATGGCAACAACATTGCGGCATCTGCTGCATTCATGGCATTCAATGTAGATCACAATGGTACATTTTAACACCTAAACATATTACACGTTTTTTATAAAGCCGATGTCATCCAATCTTTCTCATATTTTGTTAGGATCTAGCCTTGCTGTACTACCGCTGGAAGACTGCGGCAGAAAAAGTAAAACTATGCCTTTGCTACATGCTCATGCTGACACAGTAACAGATATGGACTTTTCTCCATTTCATGATGGTTTACTAGCTACCGGTTCACAGGATTGTCTTGTGAGTTCTAATTACTTTAAAATATCTAAATTTCCTATACTTTGACAATTTTTACTTATGACTATATTGATATCTGATTTCAGGTCAAGCTATGGCACATTCCAGAAACAGGTTTAGAAGAGTCTTTATGCAATCCTGAATGTACATTTTCCCACCGTCAGAGAAGAGTAGAAGCAGTGTGTTGGCATCCTGCGGCTGAACACCTCCTTACTACAGTGTCGTACACAAATTTATCTTTGTGGGACGTGATTTCGCAACAAGAGCTATTTTGTAATGAAAAAAAAAACAAACACATTTTCTTATTCTGGGCGAACGACATAATTCAGGCGCCTTAATTCTTTCCATCAGTATTAGACCAGTTTAACTTATTATTTTATCGGTACTTTGCTTTCGCGATGGCCATTATACGGGTCCGCTTGTTCCTATCCATTTGTCACCGAAATTATTATTTGAAAATCTTTTTACTTCTTTTGGTTACTCAAACCTATCATAAAATATAACGAAAATTATAGAATCTAATTTACAGAAAAAACGTAACATTTTCATTCCGCGACCACCATTACGAATTTTAAAAACTTGACTATATCATTTCGTTGCCTATAAAAAATGGGGAAACTTTTTCCTCTGTTTCTTTTCTAAACTCTACGAGCATAATTATATAATATGTAAAATGAAGCACGTGAACACGAATTTGATTGAACAAATGTTTATCGTGTCGCTATTAAGAACGACATAAGCCAAGATATAACTGTATCGGAAATAATAAGGTGATCAAGTTATATTGTTCGCCTGGTACACTAATTGCTTAATAATAATATTTCAAAGTTATTCAATATCGATTTATCGCATTACAGCCAATAGCGAGCACACGGAAGTGATCCAGTCGCTAAGCTGGAAACAAGATGGAGTGCTTTTAGCAACATCTTGTAAAGATAAACAAGTGAGAATTATAGATCCCCGTGCCTCCGCTTGCGTCGTTAACTCCTGCTCGAGTCACCAAAGTATCAAAGACTCTAGAATTGTCTGGCTTAATAATAGCGAGAGGATACTCACTACCGGATTCGATGCCGCGAGACTTCGCCAGGTTTATATAAGGGACTTGAGACACCTGAACGAACCCGTGAAAACGTTGGAATTGGATTGCAGCACCGGGTAAAAATCGATCGGTATTACTTTTATTTATTGGGAGTTGAAAAAGACAATGATCAACGTGAAATACGTTTTACAGAATTCTAATGCCTCTCTTTGATCCCGATACAAACATGCTTTTCCTTGCTGGAAAAGGGGACACTACTATCATATACATGGAAGTTATGGATAAGGATCCGTTCCTAGTCGAAGGAATTCGTCATAGCGGAGAGCAAACTAAAGGAGTGTGTTTAGTACCAAAACGAGCATTGAACGTCATGCAGGCGGAAGTTAATAGATTACTGCAGCTCACTTCGAACATGGTGATACCGATTATGTACCAGGTTCCGAGAAAAGTAAATACATTTGCTCATATCCGATCGTGCATAGACTACGATAAAATATGATTTTTAATTTCCAAAACTGTACATTTGTTCGATCCTAGACGTACAGAGATTTCCATGCAGACATATATCCGGATACAACAGGTTGCGTTGCACAAAATAATGCAGCGGCGTGGATTAAAGGCCATAATATGCCTGTTCCGAAAATATCGTTAGACCCGGCCAAGAGAAATAAAGGGGAGGAACCCATTACGGTAAGTAAAGAATTTCGTTATAGGTATCGTACATCTTGAAGCTTTGAAAGCCTCGTATAGTACAGTAACGTACAAGAAAGATATAAAAAATTATCAAATGGTTTTGATAAAAGTAATTATAAAATGCATTTTGATAGATTTTTTTTTTTTATCCTTTATCGATACATGACTTTTGAAATCGCACGCTTATCATCATCATTATTACGTTTCATTATTTTTTGGTGTTCGTTTGTCAACCCCGAGGTCAGTTATTAGAAATCGTTTCTTTAAATGTGTTGTGTGACGTTTAAACTATTATTTTGCATATAACAATTGTTTAGTTGTGTCTAGTTTTTGTTTATCAATGAAGACGTTAAACCAAAGATAGCAATATATTAGAAAACAATAACGAGCGCTGCAATATACGCCAATTGATCGAAAATATACGTAAAGAGTATCCTACAGTTTCTGATATATTGCTATCCGTGAAATATCCTGTACATTGAGAAGTAATATAGAAGTAGAACATAATTTAACTGTTCCCAACAATTTATACCGTGAATCTATTATACAGAACATTCACGCGTTAGAAGAATATTAAGTTTTGTCCAATAGCGTATTTTCTTTTATTTTGCATCATTTGATTTTTTTTGTTTCATGTTCTGTGTATATTTTTTCACGTTTCAGATACCCAATGTATGTTTTATAGTTTATACATTAGCACCGTTCAAAGTGTTATTCCTGGCACGTGTAATTTAAATGGCAATTGATGTTCTGTAGCTTATTCTATCAGCGTAAGTAATCATAAGTATGAAGCGTGAACAATAGATCTATCCGTACGTGTTTAGAAAAGCGCTTTGATGGCTCCCCCCTTTTTTTTTTGTGTACATATTTTTAGATCTTTTTTTCTCGTCCTTAAAAGTAAAATAGGTTTTCGAGAGTGTTACGTGCTCGTATCGTGTTTTTTAGATCCCTTAAAACTTTCGAATGGCATTGTAGGGTGTTCGTTTACATTCGTTCTATACGATCCAAGACATTCTCAGTTTCTATAGAAGATTAAAAGTATGTAAGAAAATAGATTTACGTTTTTAGTATCTTTTATACTGATGCCATTTTCCACCGTACAACGCCATTTATGTACGTAAAAAGTCACGACATCGTTTAAGGGTTGAAAGATACGAGCTGCAAACAGAATTGGCAAAATTTTATTCCAATAATAAATGACAAATGACGCCCGTGTATGCATAGCAATTTATTAATGAAAAGTTAATGTGTTCGTTGTTGGACATTTTTATCCAGATAAAAATATTGCCCACTCTGCCTGCAAATTATGTGTATGTTGGCGTGAAAAGCTTGTAGAGGTTGCATGGTATTAAAGGAGTAAACGAAGCCTCAGAGTTTTAAATATAAACCTTAGGAAATGAACAAAGCTAATCGATAAACACATTACCCAGTTCATTATTTTTATAGTGTTACATGATTTCCAAACTCGCGAGAAATCTTAGAAACGGTTTATCGAACATTCTCAGGCCAGACTGCACCTTTAATGCCATAACAATGCAAATCGAACCATGTAGAAATGAAATTTTTAAAAGCGAAACTCGGACCTCGATAATTCAGATTAAGCAGTTCGCGACATTAAGGAATTTACCGTACCTCCAGGTACACAAGGGAAACTTAACAACGCTCAAAGAGAATGAGCGCGAAATAAAAATGGAACAGAAGCAACCGAAGCCTGTATCTATCGCCGTGCCGAAAGGTTACGCGAAAGGTCAGGCGAACGAGAAAGAATCATCGCCAGAAAACGACGCCGAGAAGATAGAAGAAACGAAGAAATTGGACTTCGATGAAGATAAGTGTAAAGTTCAAAACGGAGGGCAGACGATCCCGCCGAAGCCTTTGCCCAGAACCTCAAGAACCAACAGCATATCCGAGGACGAAGTACTGGTGAAGCCAGTCGCACGACCCCGGTCCTCGCTGAACCCGGGCTGTGTAGTAACGTCTGTGAACCCCAATGCGATCGGGGGATACAAGGTTGTAATATCTGGCTAATAGCGTTAACGAAAAAAATGTTCTACTTCTGTATGCGTGATGATACACCGTGTGCACTAATATTCCGTTTCATTAATCTCATTACGATCATAATACATCACGACAAATAACTTAGCACAGGGTGTCCCGGGCTTCAATGGCTAAACTTTGTCAGCATATTATATGGGACTAAATAAGAAAATAATTTTTTCTTTCTTAATCCTATAGAATGTACCGACAAAGTTTGGCTGTTAAAACCTGGGACAGATTCTATAGATAGAATTTGTTCAGCGTAAAAGACGTTTATAATATTTCTCGTGATTTTAGCCTCGATTGGGACCGAAACCGTTTCAAGCGAAGCCCACGAGCCAAGAGTTCTCCTTCGACAAGATTTTCTCGGTTCCTATCGCACCGAACAGCGACACGAACGGTTATCAGAACGACGTGATTAACCAGATAGAGAATAATACGGAGCCAGAGAAGTCGCCGTCGTTTAACAACGAGCGTATCAAGGAAGCTGAGAATGGAAAAAGCGATTCCAGTTCTCTGGAGGAGGACGCGAATTCCAGCGATTCCGGGTACAAGCCGAAAACCCCGAGCACGGCGGAAAGGCGCAGAGTGTTCGAGACGAAGGTCAAGGACGAGTCGCCGGAGAACGAGGACCTAGGGAATTTCGAGCGCGGTGGCGCGAACAGAAACTCGATCGCCGAAAGACGACGGCTTTACGAGAGCCGTTCCGTCTCCGTGACCGACGGAAATTTGGCGGAGAAAGCGATGGGCTCGCCAACAATGTTGAGACGAAGGGATTCGTTCAAGACGAAAAGCGAAGTGATTAAGGAGGACGAGGTGAAGAAAGTCATCCCCATGTTGCGTCAGCAGAGCATGGACCCGCGTTTAGAAAAAGTAGACACTATAACGCCAACTGCTAAAAGGACGTCGACTGTGTTCGGTAAGATATAGCTCGGGCCACAATATTGCGAGGTCGTAAACTAAACTCTTGAGAGTTGGGACCTACTCCTGCTGCGGCACTTAGAGCCGTACATGACATCTTGCTTGAGGGTGCCTTTCTGAATGTCTTTCTATGTCCATAACTGCACTATCTTTTTTCATTTTCTACATGAGTATATTATAAGCAGGTAAATTAAGATATTAAGGACTTGAGTAAGACCTTTACCTGTTACGATACCTCTAAAAATGGCGACACTAGATAAAACATTTCTTCGTACGGCCCTGACTGTAAACTTTGACACCTACTCGAGTTTACGACCTCGCTACATTGTGGCCCGAACTATACTAAATACAAATGTACCAGCTCACCTCATAGCTTGAATACTGTTTCGCGATGCTCCCGTGACACTGTTGATATCCTTGAAACGCTTGTCGTGTTTTGGTATCGAAGAAGGATCACGTCTCGTTCGTAATATTTTTAACTTTCACGGTAGAAGAACGCGTGCGTTAGGTTCGACCGTAATTACAATACTGACAAACGGAAACGAAGGAACCAAGATTCCCTCACTCTTGGTAAGCTAGAATACGTCTGCGAACTAATGGAAGAATTGTAATTGGTGGCTTGGAACGCAGGCACTGTGGAGAAACGTTTTCACCAATTAAATTCTATCAACAAAGGAAAGGTCCTCGGTGTCTACTGGCCGTAATGCAAACAATTTTTTATTGTAGAGAGTTACGCTTGATTCTTGTCCTTAATGCGGGCGACAGACGACCCTTTGCAACAATGGCAGGTATAGCCACCGAGTACCTGAGAACTGCGCCAATTTTAAAATATCTCCATCTCTGAAAATTTACCCGCAAAGGGAGCAAATGTTTCGTTGCGCCTATACCCAATGTTTTTTACGAAATAAGAAAACGAATAAACTTTTTACTAAAAATGTCCTTTTTGCTATATGCAGGCAGGGTATCGAAATTCAGACACTTGAAAGGGACACCTGGTCATAAATCCACACACATTGAAAACATACGGAACATCAGTCGGCAGATATCTGGGGAATGCGATGGTTTTCATGGTAATTAAAGTGTATAGAGAATGATTGTTATAAATGATATAGATTAACTTTATATGATCGCGATTGTTAATGCAATTGTAGCTAATTCTGATCGCGTCGCTGTACCATTGAGCGGGCCAGGCGGTAAAATAGCAGTTTTAGAACTGAAAAAGGTCGGAAGACTACCGGACGGTGTAATGCCAGCATTAGTGCATGGCACCACTGTAATGGATTTCCAATGGAATCCGTTCGATAATCAACAATTAGCAGTTGGTGAGAAAATGGACAATATTTATTCAGTAAAAATAAGTTTGATTATATCAAAGCATGGGAGAGCAATAACCATTATTTATTAACAGCCTGCGACGATGGAATGATACGATTATGGGAGATACCGGAATCCGGATTGTCAGAGCCAACAAACGAACCAAAGCACATGATAAACGCTCACAGCGACAAAATATATTTAATTAAATTTCACCCGTTGGCGTCGGACATACTAGCGTCGGCATCTTACGACATGACCGTAAAAATTTGGGATCTGACGCTTCTCTGGTCCTGCGAGGTGGCTGTCGCAAGAATAACATTAATTGGTCACGTCGATCAGATCGTCAGCCTAGCATGGTCGCCTTGCGGACAGTATCTTGCGAGTGCATGCAAGGATGGAAAGTTACGAATTTATAAGCCAAGATCTAGCGACGTGCCGGTGAAATGCGGGAAAGGACCTGTTGGTACCAGAGGCGCACGAGTCGTATGGGCGTTGAAAGGACAGTTTCTCGTTGTGATGGGATTCGACAAGTACGTGAAACTTTGAGATTAGGCACATACTATCAACGTTTGAAACACGAATTTCATTTAATTGTTAATCGATGCGTGGCTACGTACGTTTCATTTTAGAGTATCCGAGAGGCAAATATACGTGTTTAAAACAGACAATCTGAATAATCCATTGACCACGGTCGGGTTAGACGTGTCGCCTGCCATATTGATGCCATATTACGACGAGGATAGCTCGACCCTTTTCTTAACCGGACGCGTGAGTTCTAATTTTCACAAGTAGCCACGGGGCCAAACTAATAAGGAATTTTATACCGAGCGTTTACGATACTTTTGCAGGGTGATTCAACGATATATGCTTTCGAGGTAACGGAAGAAGCTCCCTACTGCTGTCCACTCAGTCATCATCGATGTAGCAGTTTACATCAAGGTTTATCGTTTCTTCCCAAGAACAAATGCGACGTTGCTAGCGTAGAATTTGCCTCTGCTTTAAGATTAACAAACAACACAATAGAACCCTTGAGTTTCACTGTCCCACGTATAAAGGTACGTTTAACATACGCAAGATATGAAAAGTTGTATACGACATATTTATTGTTTATTTCAGAGTGAACTTTTCCAAGACGATTTATTCCCACCCACGAAAGTCACATGGAAACCGACCATGACCGCTACCGAATGGTTCAACGGAGCCAACAAACAAGCCTACAGAATAAGCCTAAAGCCACCCGGTATGGATAATTGTAAGTACAATTAAAATCTAATCAAACGATATTCCTTCTAGTTCTGTACACGATCCTGAAAATGGAATTTATTCTTTATTTATAGTAACTGAAAGTCAAGGCCAAGGGGTAGTTACTGCACCAGTCACAGCGAAACAACAACCACCCCCAGTCCCGTTCTCTGTGTCTTCGCAACCCTTCAGCAGACTCGGATGGAATCCCGATGTGAAAGCCAGGCAAGAAGAGGTACGTTACGTTTGAACGTTTTTGGCATCGGTTATATGAACTAATAAACGCTACTATCGATACATAAATTATTCTAAGAGCACAGCTTCATCAGGATATTTCCATGAAGCTGTATCAAAACATTCTACCATAATTTACAAATTCTGTTTCATCTGAACACGGACCTCTTTAGTCTGCAAATTAAATTATTTGTTGTTCAGTATATTTTGTCCGAGTGTACCGTTTAATGTGTATGCGACAGATCCAAAAAGCTATGAGCAACTTCGTGGGGGATGTAATACAGTGCACGTTGGAACAGGATCACATGGAGGGTGTGGAGGAGCACGAATGGGTGAGTAACTTCCAAATGAATACCGTAACATATCCGAAGAAGAAGAACAATGATATAGCCGAAACATTGATTGAAAAAAAAAAAAATTAGAAAATTCACAGTTAACAAAAAGAATTTTTCCACTCTCTGTTCAAGTAAATCTTAAAACTGGTTGACTTTAATTCCAGGACGAGTGAAGATTAAGCAGCGTCGATAGGTCATTGAAATAAAGCAGTAAGATAAAATGAATTTAAATGTAGCTGTTCGAACCGTAATTTATTTCTAAGTTAAAAGCCACGGCATAAGCGGAAGGTATTTCGGTATTAATGTGTACGTGGCGAGAGATATTTATAGTTGGAATTAATACTTCCAAAAAAAATTTCCCCTCAGAAAGAACAAACGGTACGCGTGCGATTACTTGAATTGTGGTAACTTTTTAACATAGGGTATAATTACACGGATTATTGTACCAAATTAATATAAGGGAGGAAAAAAAAACGAACGGGAGAGTAAGAAAATTTCAAATAGAGAAGACGAGATCCCGTAATTGCATTTCTTATCCATAGTCGATTTCCGTTAACCTGCCATTCTATCATTCAATCGATATTAAGAATAATTATATAAAATAATTATCAACAGGCAGCTGTACTAGAGATTTAGAATTACAGATATTCACGGAAACCTATCAGAATTTGACAATAGTTTTTGAGTATATAATTAAGGTGTGTCACGTAAACGAGTAATTTCGAATATGATGGTACTATATCAAAGTGTGTCTAACGCAGATTTAAATGAAACGAATTTAACGAATAATTTCGTTTCTTTGCTCCCGAGACGTGTCTCAAAATATATTATTTATTACGTTAGAAGCGTGCAAAGGGTACGTGCCATTTACGATTATGGAACACAGGAAAATTTAGCGTATTGTTAATCGGAAATGGGCGTTGCTTGAACGTATACTTACGTAACCTAGATCGGGTAATTTTATTTTTTATCATTTATGTACTAATTTATTTACTATGCTTATTTACTCTCGCTTCTTGAACGAAATAAAGTTTTATTGAAACGGAAAGTTTATTTCCAGATAAACAGTTTGCTGTTATTATTTATTATCTGGCCAAGTATTCGAACAAGCATTGCTCGTTTCTACTGTTAAACAACAGTATTTATGATCCGTAAAAATTAGTCTTGATGAAGTAATATTATATAATTTATATATAATAAATATCTGTTAGTGCCACGTATCTTTCTTTAAACGACAGATCATCACCAATGATAGTTTCAGTGTATACACTATCGTAATATAATCATCATACGTGTGATATTAGCGATCGCGATCTTTTTTTTTTTCGTGAAACAAGGATAGAAATTTGTACGATACCTCGTAATACCCACACGCACATACTATATGAGATAAAACAAATAGATAAAAGGTACACCACGTTACATCGTAAGTCGATAATTAAGTTGTATGGCGAAGTATACAGAAAATGACTGATTCAGCACTTTCCAAGATCTATAAACAATGATCGTATAATAATTCTCTCGAACGTAGTGAATAAACCACTTTTATACTCTTCAAATTACGCCAAGATATTTGTAAAAACAGCAATGTTGAAGGTTCACCGAATGTATCATAAACGTGAAACAGATTTTTTTTTTTTTTCTTTTTTTTTTCTCCTATTCATTGTACTTCGGTGATTGAAACGTTAAAATGCGAATTCCATGTTTATCGATGGCCAGCGAACGAGCAAGAATTATTTAAGTACGAAAGAAATGTTTTAGATCGCAACGTAATTACAAAGATGCGTATTTTTTCTATGTAATATACTATAAATTTATACTTTTAGTGCTCCGATAGGGATTAAGCGTAATTTTAGCAATGATTTACTATTTAACGATGTCCACAAAATATTCGTTCGTAAAAGTTTCTGTAATCGGTAAGGTGCGTCAGCGTTTAGTCGAAATGTGCAAAACGATTCTGTACAAATGCATTTTTACTCGATTTAGGGTTTATTGCGACAACGTAGTCTAACTGTCCGTAATGATAGTTTTCTTGTTACTGCTAAGAATATGCTCGTGTTCCTATTTCTACGATCGAAAGCAATTTTTGTATGGATACAGATCCCTCCAGTTTAGTATATTGAATTCGTAACGTGTTTCCATCCGTAAACATGGGATTCGCTACTTGATACGGGAACCGTGCACACTTTATACTTTTATATTCGAATGTCATAATTTATTCTTCGTATGTAAAAAATTGAACTTATGGTGCTATGCCCTTTTGACAAACCCTAGCGAGTACGTAGTTGCTGATGAAAGTACGACAAACCGCACGAATAATTCTCGATAGGACACGAACGATCGCAGTTTTGCTCAACGGTCCAAAATGACATTCCACTTTTGTACTTTGCCATATTTGTGGACAGGGTTGGGCATTTGATCGACCGATTAATCGGAAATTGATCCCGATTAACGTCAGTCGGTTGCTGAAATTAATCACTCGTAGCAATTAACAATTAAATCAATCGCAAATCGCTCGTTACGATTAACAAGTAAAGTAAATTAATGGTAATGGTCCTTCGGTAGCGTCTAATCGAAATCATTAAAACTTTCTTGTCACATATGTACAAATTTAACGATTCAAACATACAAGGTATGGCCAAACCCGGGGAAAATTTTAATGGGGTATTTTAGAGGCCAAAATAAGACGAAAATCAAGAATACCAATTTGTTGATTGAGGCTTCGTTAAAAAGTTATTAAAGTTTACAGTTCTACCTGTACTGAATTTTTTTCTCGAAAATGCGCACGATTTCGGGGATATGTCTGCTCACCAAAAATGATTGTAATTGACCCTTGCAACTGAAAATATTTTTTCCAGAACGATTTGAAATTTTTTTTTTCGTCCTAAAATTTCACATCTCGAATTTTTTTCTAGAAAGTGGGTAGGATTTCGGGGGTATGTGTAATGATCAAAAATAATTGTAATTGACCCCCGCAACCGATAGTCATTTTTTTAAAACGATTTGACAAATTTTTTTTTATCGAAAAATTTCACAGCTTCTCGAATTTTTTTCTGGAAAGTGAGTAGGAATTCGGAGGTATGTTTATTCACCAAAAATTATTGTAATTGACCCCCGCAACCGAAAATAATTTTTCCGCGAATGATTTGAAATTTTTTAATTTAATTTTATAATAACTTTTTAACGAAGCTTCAATCAACAAATTGATATTCTTGATTTTCGTCTTATTTTTGCCTCTAGAATCTTCCATTAAAATTTTTCCCAGGATTGACCGAACACCCTGTATAGGGTGGGTTGGGAAAATTTTTAATAGGAGATTCTAGAGACCAAAATAAAACGAAATTCAAGAATAGCAATTTGTCGATTGAGGCTTCGTTAAAAAGTTATTAACGTTTAAATTTCCGCCTGTAGATAGGCAACCTGCATACAGCTGCGTGTGAGCGATAGTGGTTGTCACTCAGCATAAGAAATTCTACTTAGTGACGTATCGACAGCCTCACAGTTTTCTGTGTGATAACTTTAAACGTTAATAACTTTTTTCACACACCCTGTATATTCCTAAAGATATTCAGGATCATATTCTTAAATCTGTTAATTTTGTACGTATGCAAAGAAGAAACTTTTGATGTTTTCGAATGCCTAGAACAAACAAACCCTAACACTTGCTATCCTCTCGATAATGTTAGTTTTGTTAGAAACATAAAATAACGAATGCACCGATAAACTACTGAATGTTTTTCACACTGAAATCTGAAAAAATGTCGAGGACATTGCTAGTCGTAAAAACCAAGCGTGGTAGTTAACGATAATCTAATCAATAAAGGTTGCAAACGAACAACAATTGAATAGTTCCGTGGGAAAAGGACCGTATGTTATATTTCACAAATTTCAAAGGACAACATACGCCTTTTATCAACTACAAAACCACATCGCGCAGACCACAATTCCACAATAAAATGAAGTTGGAACGTTCGTGACACGCTCCATTTTTTCCACGAAACTATTCAACCACTTTAATCGTCGGCCATAATGAACGATTTATGATTAATTTAATGGTAAATGAATGGTGAATCGTTGCTTCGATTAAGATTTGCCCGATGCTGTGTTTCTGGGCACAAAATCGTAAGCTACAAGAAGTCGAGGAGGTGCCAAAGAGTTTCATGAGAATTGAAACAAACAGAAAAAGCTCATGAATCAAGTTCCGTATACAGTGGGCCGAAACAACACCTCAAAGCACTACAATTCAGAAAAGTCGTGCATATTTTCTCTACGCTGATCATACTTTTTTGTAACTTTTTTAGAACCATAAGGTTACCAATCGCATAGGTCACAAGTATCGACTAAACTTTTATACGCATCAAGAGTAGAAAGATGAAACAAAGAGGAACAAGGTAATACTTCGCTATGAAAAAAAAAAAAGAGGAAAAATAATATAGCTGCCATTTGCATCGTCCGCACTATAATTCACATTTCTATGTCTAACTAATCATCCGTCGGATATTCTAGAACTGAGAAACATCATTGTTGCATATTTCATAGGCATCCATTTTTTTCTATCCTGTTTTCCTGTAACCTCGTACATGATCCGCTGATTGACAAGCTATATGTATGTATAGTATCACGCAAAAGCAATATCCCGAAAAGTTATCATAAGTTGCACGAAAAGAAATGTTTTCTTGCTTTGTATTTAATTTTTTTCCATTGCCTCTTGATCCAAGAGACCAATAGAAAAAAAGGAAATAAATGGTAAACCGGATGATCGTTAGATAAAAAAAAAAAAAAATTTGTAACTTATGATGCTTCTTATCAATACTATGTCGCGTGTAAAACATTCTACACTGCAAGTTTTTTCCTTCTATCGCAACAGTAGATTTGTAATCACTCCCAATAATTATACGCGATCTTTCGTAGCACACGATTTGAAAGTTCTCAATCGTAAAATATTATTTTAATTGCAACAGGAAGTTTCTTAATGTTCAATATTGCGCTATGACTGATCGCTAAGTAATTTTATCATGTAATAACATACCTTTGTATCGACCTTATACCTCTTATATGTATTTCACCTATAAAAACTTTTTATCAAACATGTATACGCAGTGTTCTTGTTACATTTCACCCTCGTAATTATTTATTATTTACAATCCTAATGTACATAAGGACTCTAGCTACGAGACTTTATCCCCACTTATGTTCTCACACATATTGCATCAAATTTTCATTTATTCACCTTTTTTTTTTTGTACAGAAAGTACATTTGATCCTGTTCAACTTCAATTATCTTTCGGAATTAAGGTATCAAAAATTCAGTTTACGCGAAAAGTTTTTAAACAAAGTGGACCCTCCCTTTTATTACATACAGGGTGTTCGACCACCCCTGGGAAAAATTGTAATGGGAGATTCTAGAGGTCAAAATAGGACGAAAATCAAAAATACCAATTTGTTGATGGAGGCTTCGTTAAAAAGTAATTAACGTTTAAAGTTCCGCCAGTACTGAATTTTTTTCTCGAAAATGCGCAGGAATTCGGGGGTATGTCTATTCACCAAAAATGATTGTAATTGATCCCTGAAACCAAAAGTAATTTTTTTAGAACGATTCGAAATTTTTTAATTTCGACGAATAAGTCCAGCTTCCAGAATTTTTTTCTCGAAAATGGTTAGGATTTCGGGGGTATGTCTATAGACCAAAAATGATTGTAATTGATCTCTGCAACCAAAAGTAATTTTTTTAAAACGATTTGAAATTTATTAATTTCAACGAAAAATTTCACATATTCTCGAATTTTTTTCTAGAAAGAGGATAGGAATTCGGGGGTATGTCTATTGACCAAAAATGTTTGTAATTGATCCCTGTAACTAAATATAATTTTTCAAAGTGATTTGAAATTTTTCAATTTAATTTTTTAATAACTTTTCAACGAAGCCACAGTCAAGGAATTGATATTCTTGATTTTCGTTTCATTTTGGCCTCCAGAATCTCCCACTAAAATTTTTACACCCTGTGTAGTGAAAACATCGAGAAAAATTCTGAGCCATTTAATGATAATCTCCATGGTCCGGTAAGAACGATTTATAAAATTTTTAAATTATTTTTTTAATTAATTTCATCAACCGTAATGAGTAACAAATTTTACACGATAAAGTAGCAGCGTCGTTATACTTATTAATGAAAACTATAATATCTTAGGGAATAATTTATACACAGATATACAGTTTAAGAATTAAATGCATTTTTTTTTTTAACAACTTCCGTAAATCATCTACCGTATCCAACTCGGTCTCTGGGAATTAATCTAAGTTCGGATCCGTGTTTGAGAAAAACGTTCCCTGAAATAATTAAATTACATGTATAGCGTTCATCGAAGGTTTCCTGGGCGTTGAAATCTGTTTTATTCACCTGCCGTTTGCTGTGGATTGATACCTATTCCATCATCCGTAATAATCGCGGACGTGGCTGGCGACACTTTAAATTCTTCTGCAGCATATTTCAATACAGCGGTAAAAGGCGTATTATCTGGCACGCTAAGTCTACGATCACAAGTACACCGTGTCTATAACTATTCTACAAATTTTAAGGTCTAAAATAATTAAATAGCAATGACTTATACGTGTAAAGTGAGTATATATCCGGCATGTATATGTATTTCAATTATAATTCTTTATGATCAGGTTCCATGATTGTACTAGGATTATGCTATTTACCATCCGATATCTTTTTCAATGTTATGCCATATCGTACCATTGGGATGCATTTTAACTAAATTCACTCTGCTGTATATGATTTCCGAAATTCCTGCAGGACCATTTACTAATATCCGTACTACTCTGAGAAGGTGATCATACTCGAATACGCAGTTCGACGTCCAACGATTTTCAACTTGTTTCATGTGACGCGCAAAATAGAACACAGCGTCAAGGAAGTTCGCATAAAGCTCCGAATCGCTTTGCATTAATTTACAAAGCAACTTCTTTTCTACGTTCACGAGCGTTAAACAAACGTTTGGATCGTTCTCAACGAGTTTGTTCGATAGCAGTCGAACGATTAATTGCTTAATTTTACTTTTATCGTCCAAGCTAACAGCAAATTGTACGAGCTTCGAATGCAAACCATCGTTATACATTTCGCGAATGCATTCCGAAACCTCGTACTGATTACCGTTACCGATTAACATTTCCCAAGACACGATCAATGCCTCGTCCTGTATATCGGAATCGGATACGCCTAAATTCTCTAACGATTCTACGACGACATTTGCACACACTCCGTTAATTACCACGCGTCTAAGAAAATCGTTTAGCCTGTCGCTGCCGCAATATTGGACGTACAATTTCAAAAACTCGTCCACGACGTCGGTCGAAATAGCAGCGTCTTTCAAATAGACTTCTAACAGTTTGTCGCAAGCTTTTTTCAATTCAGAGCATGTATATAACTTCGTTCTATTCTCGTCTAACCAACGATTATGTAGATGATTCTCGAGAACATTTTCCTTGCCAATTTCGTAAGCTTTAGCAATCGCAGATTCAATGAATTGAGCACATTTAAAGGCTTTGACAACATTTTCAGTGTTCGTGTCTTCGCTGAGACTGGAATTCTCTAACAGCGCAAGAAATATATCAAACATTTTTAGTATCTCGAGAAAATCTAACTCCGACATATTTGCGTTATGGTATAAACAAAAATTGTGATAAACATTGGTCCCTTTCTAATTGATAATAAACTACTAAGTCGCATAGAATCACTGAACTTACACTTTAAATGGCAGTTTTGGATCAGAGGTGAGAGTTATTTTAAAAGTAACTTTGGACCTGCAACAAATCAACGTTCTTGTCACCAATTGATATACATTCTCCACTCGGATTGTAAATATTGACAAAACATATGGTTAACGAAATGTATACACTGGTTCGTAAAGGTTATATGTTGACTTATGTATACACAGGTTTCTTTAGTATATTGACAATAATATTATCGGATGAAATACGTACGCCATACTTTGTTAATATCGTTTTATCAATGAATGATTCAGCTTGCAACGTAAACAAATCTTTAGAAAATGAAAAGTTAACCTCAACTGATTGTGACACAGTCGACCGTATGGCGTCGTTAGCGAGACTGTGGATAAGAGAGGGGACACCTAACAAGGAACACAGAATCCTGCAACGCGCATGCGCATAAACTGAACGATTCGCAGCATTTACGAAGCATTCCTAAGTAAAGGTTAACAAGATTCTACATTAATTGATAAATAAGAAGAAGAATTGACATAAAAATATTACTTTCTACATTTAAAGATGCCTCCTTATATCTTCAAGAAAAGTTCAATCCAAATTGACAACAGCTTTTCTTTAAACATTCATAATTATAATATACTTTTGAAACTGTTGCACGAGAATTCCTCCTTAAAGCTGCGTTTACGCGTTAATGAAATTCTTGCGAGAATCGACTGTACTTCAGAGCCATCTGGCAGTGTATTCGAAAACTCATTGGTCGAGTAGTGCTTCGGAACCACCACGTTATGGTTTATCGGTCCGTAAGCGCTGTGATTGTGCCGTAGATGTTGCACTTATAGCGTATTGCACTGCATAGTTTCGGTGCATTAATTTGTATCCGCGACATAATGCAATAGCTGGTAGCGCGTAGAACGCGTTATAATAAACTGTAAACCGAGAAAGCTCGGAAAAATAATTTACATTTTACGCGACAACGGCGATAAAATAAGGAACGTCGTTAGAAAGGTTAGATACGGCAAAAGGAACACGTCCAGCCGAGAATTAAATGCAAGTGCGATAGAACAGTCGTCGAGTTTACTTGCAGGCGATAAGACTGAACGCAAAATGGATAATGGCAAAGTAGACGATGATAATCAACGTAATGTTAATGACGGGGACTGGATTTGCCCTGACTCTCAGTACGTAAACTAAACAGTAACGTTTTGTAAAAAATTTCTTACAACTTTCTATTCCGTACGAGACGAGATTTATGCGTTGCAATCAAATTTCGTACATAACAACACTACTTGTCGTTGACCCCGCTATGTCAATATAATAATCCACCCGTACATAATAACGGCATTTACCGAATAATAACACAACCAGGTGGCGACGTTATTATCGTCATGATAAATTATTTAATATACAATAACGTTACATCGATAACAACATCGATTGTTAGATAGATTAATTGACAAATAGCGTTGTTTTATATTGTTAATTACCAGAGTTGTGATACTCAAATTCGCATTATAATAGGAACATAATGTGAGAAACATTTTCTTCGAATAAGAAGAATCATATTCAAAGAGACGTTCAAGTCTAAAGATATTACGGTCAATTCATTAAAAAATTGTTCAATCATTACTATGCCAACTGTTATCCAAGTATAGTACATTAAAAGTATTTAATCTTTCAGATGTGCCAATGTAAATTTTGCGAGAAGAAACTCTTGTAATCGATGTGGAAAAGGTATATAACATTTGATATGGTAATGTATGAAACAGTTTTTTAATAATGTAACTTAAAGTAACATTTTATTCGCAATTAGTTGTTTTGCTAGTAATAGGATCAATGTATTTTGAATGTGCATGGATTAATAAGATGTATTTTTGCACAGATAGAGGAGAATGCCCTAAGAAGAAAAAGTTAGGTCAAGAAATTGGTAAAGCAGCTGCAGAGAAGAGTAGGGGATTATTCAGGTATATGCTATCTTTAATTTTCTATGAACTGTACGCTCGTATAGCGTATTTACACCCAAATAAATAATGTCGGCGGACAAACGATTCCGTGCTGAAGTTCGCTTTTGTATTTCAGTGCTGACGATTGGCAATGCAGTAAGTGTGGAAATGTAAACTGGGCTCGTAGGCAACAATGTAACATGTGCAATGCACCAAAGTTCGGTGAAATTGAGGAACGTACAGGGTACGGAGGTGGTTACAACGACCGAGGAGTCGTTGAATACAAAGAAAGAAGAGACGACGACGACGAGTACGACGAGTTTGGACGTCGCAGGAAGAAGCGAAGACTCGAAAATCGCTCGGATGACGATTCTAAAGACTCTAGGTATAGCAGTCCACCGCGTAACAAATCTAAAGACGAAGACGAGAGGAACGCTGTGGACGAAGAAGACAGACACGAAAAAAATGTAATTGCGTTTAAATCAATGATGGCATATAATTTGGATTACTCCGCATCGAATTTTTCGATCTAAATTATAGTAACGTACGAATAATTTTCGAAAAAAAGAATGATACAGTTTTTTAGGTAAAATTGTCTGTTTCCTTTTTCAAAATTATTCGGATTAACGATAGGATCGAGAAATTCGATAGAAAATTAAGCCAAATTATGTTTTTATGGCTGTTCATGTAGCAAATTTCATCGTTAGCGTGCATTAAATTGATTGAAAAAGATAAAGCTAACAAAGCGTTATTCCGAATTCCAGGAGGAAGACGAAGAAGAGGAGGACGACGACGAAGAGGACGGCGACTTATCCAAATACGATCTTAGCGAGTGGGACGATTTTGCGCTAAAGAAAAAGTAAATTTTCACACGATTGATGTTTTTTTTATAATTAGTATATTACACACTCTTAATTTTCAGTACAAATGGGAGCACTGCGTCATCGGAAGAGCAATCAAGGTAATAACGATAGTAAAAGTAAAATGAAAGAACTATACAATTGTGGAGAAGTTTGCTGACATAGTTAATGATAATTTTTATTATTATTAAACGATTCGAAGAAGTATAAGTACTTAGTCGGTGAGAAAGTGTTAACAAATGTTTCTACACAATCGTAACGTTTTTACAGAGATAAAGACGACTGGCGCGACTCGGGAACATCCAGTCAATGAGATGCTTCGCAGAAGGAAAGGTTTGACTTGGGTTTCGGGTATAAAATTGATTGTGACAAATGAAATTGCAGTATCGATGAGATTTGCTGAATGATACTTTTTTTCTTGCTTTGCGTCCTTTTAGAAAGTGTACTCTATCGTATTCTATAATAGACCAGTAGATGTTAGATTATAATGGCATGGTCAAAGAGGAAGATATATTAGATTTAGAGAAAAACCCGAGGGGGATCGAAGTGTAAACGCTTGTTAAATAAATGGTTTTTTACAGGTGAGAGGAAATCCCGAGAGCGAAAATTGCTCGGCGAACTCAGAGATATACACAACGCAACAAATTTAGTGATTTAGTGAGCACCTTTGGATAAAGTGATGGACAATATATGACTTATTGCAAAGGGAATCGATTAACAATAAGCTTTACATTTGTGATTGAACTCAATAGCTTCGTTGACTCTATGGATTGGAGAGTGAAAAATGTAGGTTACCCTATTTGCGCAATATCGTCCTAAATATTGCATAGTAATGTGGAAATTCCGTAAAAAAATACTTGGCGCAGGTAGAATTATTTCGCTAGTGAGGTAAAAAAAAAAAAACAAAAGAAGAGGAACAGGAAAAAAGAGATACGAAACCTGTAATTCTTAATATAACTCTATGGACGATGTTACACACGACTCGTTGTAAAAGCTGCATTACGAATTCGTAGAAGAAATTCTTATTTCTAACTAATTCAAACGTATAAAGTCTCCGTGAAAGCTCTCTATCATTGCCACATCTTAAAACTTCTAATTACGTTATCACAAACGCACGACGCTCTCGTAGCTACACGTCACGATTCGCTTAATATTGCCTCAAGCTGCTTCGAAAAAAATTTCTTTTTTTTCTTTTTCTCTCTCTCTCTCTCTCTTTCTCTCTTTCTCTCTTTCATATTTTATTTCTTTCGCCTCGATCACTTTCTCTCTCTCTCTTTCTCTTTCTTCCATGCGTAACACTAACAATTAAATAAACGTAATGTAGTATTAAAAAAGAATCATTCCCTAATGAATACAGATATGTATTTGATGTCTTCGGAATGAAGAGAAAAAGGATACATTTTCTTGCTTTGACTATCACAGATCCGAGTAAGCTGGAAGCAGCCTGCTTAATTGAAAAATCATGACATGAGATTGTTCGCCATGTCGAAGCCTGCGCTCGTTTTCGGTCAGGCGAAAAAAGTAAACGTATCAAAAATCTCCGACGCCCGCTTTCAAATACCGCTACGAAAAACCCATTATCGATCAATTCTGATACTGACTTCTTGTAAATATCTTTATTTTTCATTTATAATAAAAATCATTCATCAACAACATAATTGTTCTTAGTCAATTATTCTTCTTTCTTCTTATTATCGTAAACTACATGGGGGTGGGGGGTTGGGGGTGGGGTCATGATTATGCACAGTTTGTTGGTCACGAAGGGAACGGTGAGGGGGCAGGGGGGGGGCAGGTGAAAGGGACGGGCGATACTGCAAGGAGTATGTTGCAACAGGTATATATAATATATATATATATATATATAATATGTATATCGTATATATGTACAATTATGAATTTGAGCTTGCTTGACTGCGTTTTTTTTTCTTTCTTTTAAGTATTTAGTGATAAAGAGGAAGGATGATGAATTATGTTCACCGGCGTATATCATTTCGCGCGTCGCTCCTTCGAATACTTCGTTAATTCTCGCACAATCACTTTATCACGAGCAATTGTTCGAACAATAAAGGAAGAGGAGATACAATACATATCCGCCTGTACTTTTTTTTTTTCCCTTACCTTTCGTTTTTTTTAATGATCCACGAGTCTCTAGCAATGTTGTGTGTGTGTGTGTGAGTGTGTGTCTTTTTTTTTTTATCCCTTTTAGTTACTATCGTATATTCCGATCGACGAAATAACGATTACTACGAAGAAACCAGATTTTACATCAGTATTTACACGATTCGCGTAAAACGTACTTTACGCGACTTTCTTTTTTTCTTTTCATTTTTTTTTTTCGTTTCGTAAAAGTTTCGAATTTACAGAGAGAGAATTGTGATACGAAAAACCGATACTCTCTTTAAGACGATTCGGAACAAATTCGGAGACGCAAGACATTAAAGCGACTTAACAGGGGCCATAGACGCGGCAACGATTTATCGCGCGACCAATCTCGAAAGTCGATTTAGAACGAAACAGTCACGTGACGACGCGGTCGCGTCGCGCGGCAGGTTATACAACCCCACGGACTTCATGATAGAACCTCACATTTCACATGCACTCGTGAAATTAAAGTTCTACTCGTTTGAACGCGTAATACTAATAAACAGACACACCCGTTTCAATTACCGTTCCTTGTTTCACGCGTAGCCATAGTCGAGCGTATTTCAACCAGAGACTTATATCGCTATTTTTTGATTATACCTTCGTAATACTTACAGAAACCAAAATATAAACCTATACAACGAACTACCGGTACAACGTCATACAGTTATATGAAAATACCGGTATATTTACCGGTAATTCTTTCGGTTTTCTCTATTTCATTACAATTCCCAGGACTTGTTTTAAGTAGAGATTTAAAATCGATTTACTTCGAGAATTTTTCCTTGTTTTTGAAAAAGTTCGACCAACGATTTCTGCCACAGCATTCTAAAACGATACAAATTGGTTCAATGTCATCCGTTACAAAAAATTTAATTTTCTAAATTGTTAAAACACGCAAATATAACGGTAGTAGACAAATAACAAATGGTAATTTTGCATTAACACAATAACAGTGTGTGTTGAAATGAGCTCAACCATAACACTTTAATGGCCGCACGTATTACACGAAGTGGAAGCTCTCTAACTGTTTTTTTCGACCCGACATTTTTAAACTGAATATTTTATAAATATTCAAATATTAGTTCTGCATAATTTTATCATTAAGCAAACGTACAAATATCAATTTTATTAAAATCACATAGCTCGTCGATATCGTTGTAAATATCAAAGACAGTATCTTCGTATATTTCTTCATTCTCAGAAACTTTCATTATCTATTATTTCTGAATTTATGGGAATCGAAGTTTCTGATTGACGCGTTGACTGCCAGGTCAAATTCGTAAAATTTTCAACAAGATCAACATTTTGTTTTTAGACACTTAATCAAAAATTTGTCGTAATACTTATTCTTGTAACCTTATCAAAGTTCATGAGATCCATTCAGATTCGTTTTCCTTAATATCTCGCTTTAAGGATTAATTTTTTTTAATTTTAGTGGAAAGTTCTGTTATCTATATATGGGTGACGTGGCGGCCAACGTGTTAATTTGTTCAATTTTAAGTTCTAAAGTCGACTCGTCGATCGACTTCGTACGAACAGCTTGAAATAACTTTCTATATTGACACTATAGATCAAAGTGAGGCACACAAAGATGCTAAGAATATTATTATAAGGAATTATAAACGTTGGGATACCATAATGAGCACACGAGATAAAATTTGAACCTCGACAAACGTAATAAGTTGATGTGGTGACTGAAACAATAAAAATCACATACGCGTGACAGCGGCCGTCAAAGCGTTAAATACACGTAAAATAAGAAACACTGCTACCTAGTTACGTCGCGTGAAATAAGGGTACACGCGTACGCCAATATACGTACAAAAATCGTAAGTTCTACTTTACAATTGTCAAGTGTACAGTCGTATCGACTAAAATTGTCTAACATATCGCGGGATAAATCAAATAGCGTCCGTGGCCCCCGTTTACGTCGCGATTCAATGAATTCAAAGACGCTTATCGGTTATAACACGTACATAAACAACACCGTAAATAAAGAATCGAACGAGAAAAGCGTCTCGTTACACGCCAGTCGCGGTAACCATTACGGTAAAACGGTTACGTGTAATTATTCTTGATAATTATCATCACATCAACATTAGAACCTTAACAAATTCGACATATCTCTGTCCTTTACAAGATCGCTTAATTTAATAATAAAGTGTACACTCTCCAGAAATATTCCCCGTTCTCATGATCGGATCAGGTTTATGTCCCCGTAAAAACGCAATCGCCGAAAGGACACCGTGAAAGGCCACCACGATCGTAATCATCGCCGTTACGATATATCAATATCTCTCTTTTTCTCTCTCTCTCACTCTCTCTATTTCTTTCTCTCGCTCTCTCTCTCTCTCTCTCTCTCTCTCTCTCTCTCTATTTCTTTCTTTCTTTCCCCCTCTCTCGATCGATCGAGCATACGTTGTTTTATTTGGGCATGAAAAACTGCTGATGCGAATGCGAGTTCGGCGGCGGATGTAAATTAGGATGCGGCGGCCCGCTACCTCTCGTGCCGGTGGCATATAGTTGCTGTTGGAAGTTGTGGAATTGTTGAGCATAGTTTGGATCCGACATGCTGGGCCCGCTACCGACGAACGGGCTGTTTTTGAAATTACTAGTAGCACCACCCATGCTCGGCGGTAGCGGTTGGGTCGCCTCGGGAGGGGGTCCTAGACCCATGGGGCTGCCTTTGCTGCCGGACACGTACATGCCGGGGTTCGGTTGATTGGGGACTTGCGACACCATGTCGGGCGGGAAGACTTTATCTGGATCCATCGAGCTGCCTGGAAAGACACCACCGCCGACCATGTGCTGCATTCGCATTAAGTTAGGCTGAGGTCTCATGTTGCCCACTGGTCTCATCGAGGGATGCACGCCGACCGACGCGTTCATCGACTGGCCGTCCATCCTCGGCGAGCCACCCATTCCGGGCAGTCCGCCGCTCATGGCCGATGGCATGCCGCCGTGCGGGCCCATACTATTTGGTACACAACCGTTCGGGAAGTACTGAAGATTTACAGAGGGTGTGCCCATCTTTGACTCCAAATTAGAGAGGGGATTCGTGAATCGTTGAAGGAAGTCCAGGCTAGGGGGTCCCCTGGGCGTGTGACCGACGTTCGGCCTCGCCGGTAAATATTGTATTGTGTTCGGGGCGCTTGGTTTCACTTGCACGTTCGCCCCGTTGTAGGGACTGGGACCGGTTAGATGTCCGGTCATCAATCTTGGCGGCGGCGCGTGAGGATCACCACCCGGATACGCGCCGCCAGCGTTACCCGAATGGCCGCTCATCATGCCATGACCCATGATCGGATGCCCCATTTTACTGGGCACACCGGGGCTTCCCGTGTGCGACGTCGTAGGACTATAGCTGGTCGGTGGCCCCGCCAGACCCATGCACATTCCTCCCACTTCGCCCGGTTCACTGGTTGGGCCGCCCATGTGACAGCTCCCGTTCATCTCGCCGCCCATTTGCATCATATGCATGCCGTGCGGGTTACCGAATTGCATCATCCCGGTGTTGCCGGAATGAATGGGTCCCTCGTTACCTAACGAATTGCTGGCCGCTGTGTTGGTGAGTTGTTGGCTCATCTGAGCCAGGGAAGTTATAGGATCAAAGTGATTTGTACTCATGGCGGTCAAACTGCCGAGTCGACCTCCGATATTGTTGGGATTAAGAGGCACATTGTCTGAAGGTTGACTCACATTTATGGATGGCCTACCGCAAGGGAACGAGGGGCCCGGACCTCCCCCTAGCGAAGGTACTACTGTTGGGTTTCCTGAATTACTTTGATTCACTACTGATGATTGCTGTTGAGGTTGCTGCTGCTGCTGCTGCTGCTGCTGTTGCACCTGCTGCTGCTGTTGCTGTTGCTGTTGCTGTTGCTGTTGCTGCTGCTGTTGCGCCTGCTGCTGCTGCTGCTGCTGCTGTTGCACCTGCTGTTGCACCTGCTGCTGTTGCTGTTGCTGCTGCTGTTGTTGTTGTTGCTGTTGTTGCTGCTGCTGTTGTTGTTGTTGTTGCTGCTGCTGCTGCTGCTGAGACTGAGTTTGCTGCTGTTGAGTATCTTTCGTCGATGGTGGAGATGTATCGGGTTTTGTGGTAGGCGATGCTGGGATTGTTCTCGGAGGACCCATACTGTCTGGCATGTTCGTGTTATGTGATGCTGGGCTACTTTGTGCACTTGCACTCGATTTATTCCCAGGTTTCCCAGGATCAACCGGTGTATGTGGAGCACCATTACCCGGTGTATGTGGAGTATGAGGAGTGTGTGGACTGTGCAAGGAGCCCGTAAATCCACGGCTCATGCTATCCATCTGAACTGGACTCGCGCCCTCCGATCTAGCTGAAAATTGATTACTGCTGTCCAAATTTCCTGGTAAAATTCTGTTTGGTATCTCGGTGTTGCTGCTCGCGTTTCTAAACACATAATTAAATACAAATATTCATTTGTACCAGCGTTGCATTACCGTTATTATGATAGTAATTAATACAAATATCTGATGCACTCACGTAGATAAATTGCCATCCTTCAGACTCGTATTTGGCTGTTTTTGTATAGTCAATTCCTGGCCCTCGAACGTGTTCAGATATTGAATCTGCTGAGGACTTGGAACTGGCATCAAATTGGCCTCCTTAACACCTGCTGCATTCACTGCTCCAGTATGTTGTTGCTTTTGTTGGGCTAAGGATTGCAGCGTGCGGCAAAACATACCATCCACTATGTTGTAACACATAACACGATCAATTCACCGCGCGACATTTAAACAGTGAACTTTTAAAGTATTCTAAGTAATATTATAATAACCATTGTTACTTAGTTCTTGTATTAAGATCCTTCGATTGCAATTTAATATAAAATATTATTCAATGTATGAAACAGCGCTTAAAAAATAATTCAGCTGATCGTTAGGTTGAGTTACAAGTTCGTTCACTTTTTCACACGGCACGCTACTCAAGAATTAAAAATCTAGGAATAACAGTCGATGCGCTTCCAAAGGAATGCAAACGGACTTATTACCCAAAACCTAATATATTGTTAAAATAATTACTTTAACCCACGACTTACCATTAGGTGGTTGACTGGCGGGAAAATCTAAAGAAGAATCTTTTTGAGTGGCCGTTCCGCTGGGACTGAGCGTCGAGATGTGCGAGTGAGAAACTGGCGTTCCCGGATTGCTGTGATTTAGTCTTGTCGTGGATACGGCCGTTGCGTTTCCAACTGTTGGATTTGGAGAATCTTGACTGGTCGGACTTTGTCCTGGTAAATGGCTCGTTCTCTGGTTACTAAGTTGAAACTGTCTGTTGCAGTCTGCCGGTGAATTTAACGCTGAACTTGCACGCGGCGATGGTAACGACAAATTACTAGTCGGATTGTTAGGTGAGGATGGATTCGGACTTTGTATTGCAATTGGCACGCTCGCGGATCGGGTCGTTTGATGATACGGGGGTGGTGGTCCTTGACTACGAGGGACTCCAACCATACCAGCACCACGTAACGGAACACCAGCACCAGGACTTCCTACACTGGCCTGTAACAGATTATCAGTGCAACTATTACATAGCTACAAAACTCTATTGCCTATAAATTATGGGCACTTCTTGGACAGTTTTTCTTCTAAAAAAAATATAGAAATCACTAATTTAATGCATATTATATTCTACGTTACTCTACCTTGTTCTTTCCATCTAAAAATTGATGCTGTAGCTTATGCCAATCCATGGTTGGAGGGCACTGAGTCGGCACAACCGAAGGAACGTTTGTCGGGGGGCATGATGATACTGCTGTTCCTTGCGTTGCATCTAATGGATTAGTAGGATCTTCTTTGTGTTCAGGAAATAACATCATTTGCATTTTCCTTATGGTCGCTAATTGAACTTCCCTATGCTGCCTTTGTTGCGGGGTTAAATTTTCATCGGGAACTTTAACGCCTTGTAACGATGGTTGCAAACTGCCCGGGCCTGGACTGGTGGTACCTCCTAATAAACTGGGACTATGGCCCATCGCTGTACTACTAGGAGGTTGTGGATTTGCTGTAATATAAAATGTAATTCGAATTAAATAATACAGATAAAAAGAAGTGAAGTTCTTTTTTAATAAAGTAATACGTAAAAACGAGGAGAAATGAATATTACCTGAATTACCAGGTGAGCTTGGTACAAGGCAAGGCACATCTATATTTGCATCATCCAGCGACGGTTCGGAGTTACCCAGAGAATTGCCACCGTTTATGTTTCTCAGATTGGGCTGTTCGTTCCAAAATGGAGGGGCGTTAGGGTCGAGAGCTGGCAGATCGGGTGGTTGTTCAGTCGGAAAGGTATTATTCGCGCCTCCCTGATGACTTTTTTGTTTCATCATTGCAAGATTGTTCAACCATTGCGCGGGATTCTGACGAAACTGGTTTACTTTGTTCGGATGTTTCTACAATATGAGCATCGTACATTAATAAATATAAACCTGGGAAAAACACTGACGACAGATATAGATAACTTTTTACGGTTTTATTTATCTTTTATTCGTCGTACGAAATTTATTATTTGGATGGGAATTATGATCATTTGTTTACAATTTTGGTACGTACCTCTAAATACTTTTTAGTGCCCGGCTGCGCGCAATGATAAGCGATAATTGACGGATATTGCCCTTGCAACACAGCATCCGCACCTTTGTTCGCTAACGTCGTAGAAAATACAAAAATCTGACTTTGTTGTTGCATATATTGAGCTTCACCGCTTCCTGTACTAGTTCCCATTTGTTTTCCAAGGACATTACTGACTAGTGGCTGAATTCCATCCGCGGTGATTACATTGCCACTGCAATCTGTAAAAAAATAAATAAAGTAAGCGATCGTATAAAAATTACCAGAAGCAAATTACATTTCAGTAAAATCCACTAAAAAAATATAAACATCTTTTTAATTGGAATACATAGACGTATCATTACATCAATGAAATTCAACATGAATTACTAATGAATAATATTTAAGAATTCCATAATTTTAAGTTGCGGAATTAGGAATTAACTTTACAAGATAAAATTGAATCTTTTATTTGTACATATAAACAAGTTCAATTTCTCACACCTTGGCTTTATAATGGCGTCAATTTAATGGTTTCACAAATCTAATATTAAATCTAGCTTGTGTTTGCTCCAAATTCAAAATGCAAGCAGCTTGAGCAAAATATACGCTTAAAAAATGGTGTTACAATTCGACCAATTACATAAAATAAATCTATTTGTACCAGGTAAATCGTCCGTAGGATTATTATGATCTCCTTCCTGCTTCACAGAATTCAGAATTGGCTGATTTGCATTGCTATTTTGATTCTCTCCTGGCAATGTACCTTCTCCGTTAGAAGGATCCAAACATGGATCCCTTGGACACTCTGTTGTATCCTCTCCAGTTGTATCATCATTATTACCTCCGGTACCTTCTTCCTTGATCTTGACCGGATCAGTGTCTGGCTCCTCTTTGACAACAGTGTTAGGTACGCAACTTGGTTCGTTGGGCTTCTTTTCTGTTTTCATGTTTGAAGCTTCTCGGATGGATTATCCTGTCAGACCTTGGTCAGCTGTACGAAAATCAGACGCATGGTCACTATTATCGTCCGCGGCGCGCGGAGTAACGATGCATACAGAAATCGTTGAGGTTAACAACGAGATATCGTCGACCGGTGCACTGAACCTGTCCTTAAAGAACGGTGCACGATATCGTTCCCGTGGAAGGCATGTCCGTTGGATCGTGTTATTTCCCCGATGGTAAACGTTCTGGTGACCGTCGGTTTCGCACGTTTTCAGTCATTTAATTGGGCCAACCGATCGGATTCCTACGCATGGAGGAATCACGGTTGTCAGCAGTCGACTGATAGACGAACACGATAGCGAGAGACCAATACCACGAAAGTATCGGGAACGATGAAAATATTCTAAATGTCAGCCCCGTCTCCGCGGCGAGCACATAGCGCGCCTCCGGGCTCTTAATGTCGCACGGAATCACCACGTTGTAACCGCGTTAAGACGTATCCAAAACATAGAACTGGGGGGCCAATGCACGCTGCACTCAAATTTCCTTGCCATTCGCGAGCATTGTTCTCCAACTTTATTTGTCACTTCATGGTCGCTTTGATTATTTATTTCTTTTACGCACGGCTGCCAACCGCCCGTCGAAAGTTAGACATCGTTTTAACGCACCTCGAGACAACAAGGAAGCGTTCATGCAACTCCCTGCGATGGAGAGAAAGACGGAAAGAAGAGCGCACCCAGGCGTACTTGACTCGTTCCCTTACACTCGATCGCCCGCAGGGTTACTATTTTGGTCTTTCTTTGCTTGTATTTTCACCATTCTTTCGCACCTTTATCGTGAGTATCCCGCATAACCGATGCGCATACCTTTGTCCATTTCCTTGGCGAAGCGGACTTATTATTCCGCGGCGATATCTCCCTAGGACCGGGAGCCGTGCATTTATTTTACACAGAATCAAAAAACTCTGTGAAATTAAATTTGGAATAAGCGAAAGGCAGGGACGGCCCGCGCGACGACGTTGCCTGGGGTTCGTTTTAACTTTCGTTACCTTTTTACCGTAAGCAGTCGGAACAGTACGGTTCCCGTATATGGTTATACTTTCGAGGCGGTATTTTTAAAATCGAAAATCAACCACGCCGCAAAAAAAAATAAACATTTCGTTTCTCTTCTGCCTTGCTTAGTTTGTATCGGAGACGGACAAAATTTTATTTCAATAATAACCGATGAACAAAAACAATACGTAGAGATTTGGTCGTGATGCTCGTTCGAACAAGTAGTCGTTTAGATACATTTTTATTCGTTCACTGCGATATGTACCTTCCATTGCATTATTTAGATTTTTATTTTTATTCGATGAATGATTGATAAAATGTTTATCAATGTTTTCGAGTAACTCTTTACAGGAATAAAAAATATAACAAAGATGTAGCACAAGTTAACAATAATATTTATAATTTCATCGACTATAACTTTCATCACAATTAATATCGTATGAGTATTATTAAAATTTAAGATATTTCAGACACATTTCTTTGACTGTAATTAATATTTAATCTTACTATTTATGTTGTGCCAAACAATGAAAAGGAGACAGGAGAAGCATTTCATCCAGAATCTTCTAGCAGAACCTGCCTTACAATTAGAAACGGTTAATTAATATTTCAATTCTGATACACATATGAGCTGATCATTGATCGATAATTTGCGAGAAACAACAACCAATCTTGATCTTTGGCCCTCTCGTGGTTATTTTATGCTTCATCAAGGAGGTCGCCACGGGTAATCTCACCCTAGTGTCAACGATACATGTATTTACAAATTTTAGTTCCCTATGGAGCATCACGCGTCTATAACAATATTTTTTTGCTTCTTTTCACTCTTGGATCTTTTCTCACTTTACAATTTTTATTGCATGTTATTTTTCATCCTCATCGATTGACAATGTATGTTTTGTCTTTCCCTCTTTTTACAGATGTCTTCTTTTCTTCTCCTTGGGATTAAACACTCTTAATCAACAAACGTGACAATATATAAATAAATTATTATTTATGTTATACCAAACAGCGAAAAAGAAATTAAGAAAAGTTTCGTTTTAGTCTGCAAGTAATGTAATAGACTTATCAATGAGGCATTCTGGCAAACCTGATTTTTCTAAAAAAAGATTGTTACCTTACTTTTTGCTGATGAAGATTTATCAATAAAATAATTTTTACGTAACTTACGAAAATCAGCTTCAGGGGCATACAATTAAAAGTTCAAGTTAATCAATGTAATTGCGTGCAATTTAAGAGAAGTGTGCTGTTAATAAATTATTAATAGCTACTGATAGCTGCAAACCGGCGACAATATTTTAAGTCTATCATTTTGTTCTATGTCCATTGTATTTTGTACGAATGATCTTTGTAAATAATATATAATACGATGAATGCATAAAATATATATATTTTTTTTAATTTTACGATACATGCAAATATATAACGTGATTCGTCAGTTTGTTCCAAAATATACTTAATAATTTCTTGCACATAATGCTCGAATTGCATATAAAATAATGGACGCAACGTGGGCGTTGGTTGAAAGAGTATAATATCGATGAAGGAATCTTAAATTTCTGTGATCCATTACAACCAAATTATCGAAAATAAAAATGTTTTCTACCTCGTATTCGAACGTGCGCGTTATTATTTAAAAACTGAATATCTTATGTACGGACAGAACGTTATTAACGTTAGTCGATCGATCCCTAGACACAGCAAAAGTTTATAATCTACAATTTTAATAAACCTGGCGCATTCGATCGCAACGTATCAACAAACCAATTAAATATAATAAAGAAAACAATAGGTAAATATATTATGAGAAAACGTATACTTCCACGTTAAAATAAATTTGAAGATTCGCGATTAAATATTACTTGAAAACTATTTGTTAACTTATCGTATTACGTGATTTAATGCAGTAATCGTAGTCACGGATATTTTGTACAAGGTGTTGCAACAATAGATGAATATAACCTACGATATCCTATTCACTGTTTAAACATGTTCTGTATAATATCAGTGGAACCATTTAACGTGGCAAAAGTTTCCACTATGTAACAAGTTTCTTACATAAACGTTTTATACATTGCAGATTAAAATAAGCCTTCCCCAACATGTCACAATTGGACTTAGATCCACAATTCATGCAAGGCTTACACCTTTTACATTCCACTAATAAAGATTCTGCCGAACAGCTACGAGCTCTTCTAGATGAAGCCATTAAGCAAAAATATGGACCGTCTAAAATGTTATCAAATGTATTGCATAAAAAGGTAATCGAGCATAATGTAATTTAATTTAACGCAGCGTGCAGGGTTACAGAGAAAAAGTGTACAAAGCCAAGGGATTTGTATTAATTAAAGATATTATACTTACAGAGTTAGTTCTGATATCAGGGCACTTGCGAAGCATAGGAGATTTCGTTCACGTAAAAAGATGTCCAATACTTGCTCCCTCTGTATGCACCATTATTGTTATAATCTTCCCAAACTTCTATTCCTTGAACATTCTGTTTTTCAGTATATGATGGAGGAACCAGTACTGAGCGATCACAGTAGCAGCAGCAGCAGCAAAAAAAGTAAAAGCTCCGGATCTTCTTCCAAACATTCGAGCAAATCGAGCAAGAACAGTTCCCCTGTGAATCTACCGACGCGCGACACACCGCCCGATATTATACACACTGATAACACATTGGCATTAGAAATCTTGGAAGATGATCTAACGTGTGTTATTTGCAAAGGGATGGATGTTGGTGCAAGGAACAGACTCGTAGAATGTTTAGAATGCCATTCTTTGTATCATCAAGAATGTCACGTTCCACATATTTTAGACTCGCAAATAGATGTTCCAGGGTTGGTGTGGTATTGCTCAAATTGTTCTAAATCTCAGGTGTGTGTATTCACTCGCATTATAATTTATTGCTTCTTCGTATTTCTCCCCTTGTTTCTGTCCAAAAATCTTTAAATAATGAAAATAATATAATTAATGTCACTGTAAATTACTGTTCCTTTAATCTGCAGGTCTCAAAAGAAAGGAGTTCACCAAAAACAGTGATAGAAAGCAAATCCAAAGAACAAAAAAAATCTAACATAAGTAAGTTCGATATTAACGTCGAATATGATCGTTTTACGGGAGCAAGTTGCTATTGATTTTTATTAAAGCGATTATTATTTGTTTAAATAGGCGGTGGAAACAAAGTTACGCCAAATATTCATATTGTAAGTGCAGACAGGAGATTAAAGGATATGATGAAGAAAGCAAAGCAAGACAAAAGAAGTACAAATACCGCCCCAAGTTCAAAGAATTCTTCGTCCAGTACACCAGCATTGTCTTCGACAAAGTCTCAGGAAAAGTCACTGTTGTATAAAATTAAGTCAGGCGTAGAATGAAAGTCTTAACTATACAACTATCGTGACAATATTTTATAATACGAAAGGAATTTAAACGAATTTTATAATATCGACTTTATAAGACGATTATAAGCGATTAGCCAATTAAAAACCAGTCATACTTGTAATTAATGTTGAGCACTGATAGCAGAATCAATGGAAAACACTATACTATTTCATGCCAAAGAGTGTATGAGTGATCTTTAAACAAATATCAATTTTATATAAAACTACGTACAGTATCAAATATCCAGATGTACCCAGTTGTACGAAAGACTTACAAATTTTACCATTTACATTGTTTTAATTAAATTTGTTATGAAAATTGTATGGAATGTCGCGCGATGTAATTTGTTATTATATAACTTTTAGCTGAAAAAATATAATTTTTGGTACAAATGTATGTTCGTTTAAATACAAATATAGATCAACCGAGCTTCGGACGAAAGTCGAATTACAGAAAAGAAAGTTTTCCCCGAGGATCGTAATCGGCCACAGGTATTTCGAGAAGAATTATCACGATTATCAGATTCATTTATAATACCAATATATTTTTGCAATTTTCCAAATGCTTATTTGTTTGTCCCTACGTCCCATTGAAAATTTGGCAAGAGTCATTTCGTTCTCAAGTGTTACTTAAAACCTACTTATATGCGAGATGGGGGGTTGAATACTATTTACACAGGGGTTTTTTCATTTCAGGGTTGCATTCTGCACACATACACACATCTATAGACTCGCACTCGTACAGCACACGTAAAGCAGTATCGCACACAATTTGCATTCGTCGTTGACATACAGCCAGTAGAAGAGATTTGATGAACCTATAAATTAAACAAGGTGTGACGATTGAAAAATGAAAATGCATTTTCTTTATTAAAACAAAAATATTGTAAAGAACGATGGACATGAAGAACATTGAATATTTGAATCACTTTAGTCTGGAATATACAGGGTGTTCAGTCACCCCTGGGAAAAATTTTAATGGCGGATTCTAGAGGCTAAAATAAGACCAAAATCAAGAATACCAATTTGTTGATGGAGGCTTTGTTAAAAAGTTATTAACGTTTAAACTGCCGACCGTACTGAATTTTTTTCTCGAAAATGCGCAGGATTTTGGAGGTATGTCTATTCACCAAAAATGATTGTATATGACCCCCGCAACCGAAAATAATTTTTCCAGAACGATTTGAAATTTTTGAATTTAATTGTTAATAACTTTTTAACGAAGCCTCCATCAACAAATTGGTATTCTTGATTTTCGTCTTATTTTGGCCTCTAGAATCTTCCATGAAAATTTTGCCAGGTGTGGCCGAACACCCTGTATAAAACTCTTTTGTAAGTTTTGCTTATAAAGGGCATCGATTGTATGTATCGATCGAGTACGCCTTGAATAGTTCACCGTATCTCTGCAGCCAGCTATACATACACATTACGTGTAGGCTACATAACGAGAAAAAGATGCATTAGAAATTTATGGGAACGAAGACGCACCCATTCAACTTTTTTTTCATAGACATGGTTCTCGACGACGGATACGCTCAAGTCTATTTTTTTAGGGACCGAATCATCCCCCCCATCGCTTCCGAAGCTTAACAAAGAATAATTTTAATTCGACACGACGTTCGGATTTGTCTATACTACGAAGCATGACATTACTAACCGACTCGTAAAACCGCTGAACATTCCTCAGTTTAATTACAATACAGTACATACGTTGAATGCGGAATTGACAAGCTTTTCAGATGGATGGAGTCAACTGTCGAGCGTGCACGAAATAATCGAGAAATTCTGCGTCGAAAATTATTGTGTTTTCGAGAAGGAATTACGAAGAAACGATATATCGATAACGCATCGCAATGTGACACTAAAAGTTGGTTCACGAGCGGAGTCAACATACTCTGCGATGCATAACTCAATTTGCCTTTTTAGACAAATTTTATGTACAAAGAATTAATTATACAAATTCTTTTTAAAAATCAACAATAAAAAGTAATTTCGAACTAGCAGTTTTTTGGACGACTCGCTCTGTACACGCGGCCATTTTGAACAATGAAAGTAAATTTTTGAACCTGATCGGAAATGGCGAGTTTTTTTTCCCTTAAATGTCACATTTTACATGAAGTCTGTACACATCGAACAGTCAAGGAAAAAAGTAGCAGAATTTCGTCGAAATTTGTTTGTACACGCATACGTTAAAAACAGTATATAGCAAGTTGCACGGGCCTTCCATCGAATTGCGCTCGAACGTACGATATTATACTCGACGTACCGTATAAGATATTCTGCGCGAACCTTCGAAACGAACGATCATTAAAGATGTACCACACACACTTGTCAGGAATCCGAGTTCTGATAATAGCGACAAGATGTATATGCGAATATGTGCGCACGTATGCAAGCGTACGTCAATCTGCGCTATGCACGAAGGTATACTTAAATCAAAGACTTCGTATGTCCCTTAATAGAACATTTTCCTTACATTGTGGACGTTACATACTTTTCACGTTGAGTTCCTTCCTCGTTAACGAATGGACGATAAATTACTACCGCTATTATCGCTGTTAGTAACCACAATGTTCGTTATTTTAGTGAACTAGGAATGAAAATGTTTTAAGTTTATAAAAAATACAAGTCAGAGAATCTTACAATTCCAGGAGCTTCATTTTACGTATCTATATTTATTTGTATTTCAATAGAACGTATTTTTATAGAGATAACTATGAAAGCTTCCTATTTTTTTTTCTTTTCTTTTTTGTATGCATTTCGGTAATATAAAAATATTAAATTAATGTAATAATGATAATGAACAGATTACGAAACGGTCGATAATTTCTTGGATTATATACGTATTCTTTATAATAAACGTATCATCCACAATTTAAGGGGTTGTAGTATATCTGTTCAAATATACACGCACATACACTTTCATTAACTAATTGACTAAACGTGTAAACCGTTAAAATATAATTAAGAAATGCATATTCGAAACTCAACATTAGTAATATTTGTTTCGAGATCAGTATGGTAGGTGAGATTAAGCTCCTTTTAAATAACAGGAGCAGCGACTTTCAAACTAACGTTTCGCTTTATTTCGCTGTGTAATTTGTTCATTAAATTTCAAACGATTTCTTAATATATCTTTCTTTTCCATTAACTATATTTTGTGGGCAACATAGTGTGATAGTAACTCAATGATGGAATTTAAAAAAAAAAAAAAAAAAAAATATCTTGTAATACCGTTTATAAGTAAATTGTGTATATACGATACATAATTTGCACAGTACTTTCGTTTAACATAAACATTTGCATCGTAAAATTCAAAATATCAGACTTATAGCAGCATGTTCGTTACTTTGAATACGAAGATAAAATCTTTTTACAGATATCATCATTATAATTTCATTGAGGCTATAATCCAATGTAGGAAGACTATCCCACGGTACGACGTAAGAAAAGAATATAAATTTAACGTCAACGCTATTTGTAAGAATATTTTACAAATTTAGTAATAATAATAATTAAAAAAAAAAATGTATCATTTGCGCGAACAATTCGTTTTACTATTTGGAAAGACATGTATTTTTTTCAATTTTCTAAAATTTCTATATAATCAGTATGTATTGTAGTCTACACATAAAGTTGAAGAAGAATATACTCGATGCATTTGTAAATATAATCACTGTTTTCATCATTCCTTTTATACATTCATTTCTTACACAAAGAGCGCGTACCTAACTTACTCTTTTTTTTTCAAACGTGGCCGCGTAAGACCTAATATTCTTATCTGAAGAGACGTTAACAATTTCGAGCAGGCAGTACATTCTTATTTTTTTACTTTTTCTTCTTTTTTTTTTTCTTTAACTAGAGTCAAGAGTAGCGTTACTTTTTTTCTGGGAAACCTTCGTGGAATCATCCGAATTAAAAGAGCCTGCTTCTGCATTGTACAATACATAATCCAACTAGCTTGCAAATATATTTATACTTTTAAATTACAAAACAAAATGATCATTATACTCTTCACTCACTCGGGATAAACTCATTGTACAAATAAAATATGTTCAACAAATAAGAATACTCGGCAAAATAATTCCCCCCGTTACTTACAATACACGGGATTCAATATACAAGAGAGACGATTTTAATTGCTTACGAGTAGCTTAAATACATATAAAAAACTGTGTCTAGAGTATCGTAAAAATGATAACAGAATGAATTTTATAAATAGTAAAAGTTCATCGATACTTAAAGTTTTTCGTCAACTTGTTCATTCTGTTATCATTCGTTACCTATATTCGCAACTAACATTTTTGCACAAAATGCAACATTGGAAAGATGTAGCGTTTACAAAATTAAATTATTACATGGCTTCATGGTTATAATGCTTATAGGTTTCTCGAGCGTCTTGTAACTTTCTTCCTGCAAATGACCGAGAAACTCAAATACAAAAAGCAGCAAAATCTAATGTCTCAAAAAAAAAAAAAAAAAAAAAATTGCAACACGCACGTTGCACGTACAAAAAAAAGAAACAAAAAAATACAAAAAGAAAAAGAACAAGTTTACAAACATACGCACAGTCTCGATACGCAATATGCATATATACGTATGAAAAAAAAAAAAATAATATGCTAAATCACATAGGACAGATTGACGTACAATTTTCTATAGAGTTAATTTGTTCGTCGTAATATAAATAAATACAATTATATATAATAGAGAGATACATAGGTTGGTGGTCATGAAAAGGAAACCGGGGGCCTGTAGAGTAGTTGAAATACACGAGAGCGTTAATTAAGTACAAGAATGAGCGTGTCCCCAGTTCTTCCCAGACCTACGTCGACAAAATTGTCAAATAATTGTTTTCCTTTGTGGTTCGAACGTTTAAGTAGGTCTGTTCAGGTTTTGACAGTTTGTAGAAGCGCATGGAGAAACTTGGCAGTGCGCAGTGGGCAGTGAATTCAATAGTTAAACATTTCTATTTTCACTCGGAATAATGAACGTATCCGGAGGCAACGATCAGAATTGCTTCCTTGAAATGCAACGTTAAAAATCAGGCAGTCTTACGTTAACTAAACATGGAGGCGTAATTCCAAGAAATACTGTTCGTCGTTGTGTCTCGTTTAAGTTTTTCTCCCTTCGATGCGTTCGACTTGTGATTATTGACCAAATTGCAGAAACTTTCGAACACTATGAACCGGCGAGAAGTACGACCAGACACGCGTACAAAAAATTTCCCGTTTCTGTTTCCTTTACTTTCGATAATTCGCTTTCAACGCCTCGAAAGAGTTTAGAGATTCCCCTCGCCGGTGTAATATAAAAGATTCTTTTTTTTTTCCGCTTTCGCATCTATTACACGTGTTTTTACGCTTAACAATATACGATATAACCATTGTTGAATTTATAATTGTACCTATATAGATAATAATACAACTTAGTTATAATAAGAGCAATAATAGGTATAATATAATCCGTAAAATAGTCGTAAAAGTCATTATATAATCCACATAGTGGCCTTAAAAATCATAGCAACAGTCGTACTTTCACGTATAAATGCGTAAAGTAAATAGAAAACAGACTCAAAAAAACAACAAAAAAAAAAAAGAAGAAAAAAAAAATATAGAAGTACTTAAAAAGGAAAATCTTTTTCTCTACGTACCGAATATACGTAGATAGGCCTAGAGTAGTCCGAACTGCTCTCATAATTCTTAGTTCTTCAATTCTTTCCTTTGTTTAACATTACTTTAATTGCCTTAATTTAATATTATCTCTTATTCTCTCTGAAAGGGTTCTTCACCCCAACTTATAATACATATATAGACCCTCTCTAACTAGCTCACTACAATCCGTGGAGGTGTATGTTGCGTGATCTTTGCTTTATATATATATTTTTTATGTATATATATATAATATATAACATATTAATAATTATATATCGTAATGAAGATAGTAGGCATAGCCACTCGTGCTCGGATCACAGACTACTCGCTGCCGTACTTTTCTCGTACAGACAGTCTGGTGGACACTATGGCTTTCTCACTTACTTTTACACACGTTATTTTTCTTTTTTTTACGTTATGTATGTGTTCCGTATTTACGTATACACGTATAGACATTCGGCCAACTAGAAATCGTAAATGTTAATTTTCTTTTTTTTTTTCTTCCAATGTGGTAAGTATTTGCACAAGTTTGCATCTCAAATCCTTAAACGTGCGTATGCGATCAATACTTGGCTAGATCGTCGAAGAAACGTGTTCAATCGAACGAGTACATCTTTCATAGCTACTTTGTAATTTAGTAGAAATATATACATTCAGTAGTGGACAAAAGTTTAAAACAACTGCCTTTGTCAGGGATGTAATCGTCTTAAATTTTTGCACGGCACTGTGTGTATATATATAAACGTATTGTATATGCATAGTAAAAATAAACAAAACTTACAATATCAATAAAAACTGATTAGGTTTAAGGGTTAGAGTCGCGTTACTCACCGTTCGCTGATATCTGTACGTGTGTACGAGCGTATTTCGATACGGCCATGACATAGAGACGCAAACACTACACCAGGACTATTTATCCTGTAAAACTATCGCCTGACTAGCCTTAACGAAATCGCACGTATTTACGGCATTGTTATTCACATGGTGCGTAGATTTGTACATATGTAACGAGGTGTATCTGATGCATGAAGTGGAGGCACTAGTCAGTGTTTCTGGAGAGATTGACGGGTCCTGGGATGGCAATGAGGAGGTTGTGTCAGCAGGCACTGGTTTCTTCTCCCTCGAGCGTGCACGCCACATTTTCTAGCCTGTGGGCTAGGTGTAATTTGCGACAGCCAGCGTCTGTCTCCAAGGCCTCAAGAATCTACAAACACACATCCGTCCATTAACCTGTTGAACTGATTTTAAAAATGATAAAATAAAACTCGTTTATTAATTGTTTTGCTCGTTTATCAATCTTACAGTCATCTAAGCGTAGAGGTACATGCCACGCTACTACGGATGGTACTCACTTGTTCATAATACTTGCTGACGTAGATGTAGAGTTCCTTCAGTGCCGCGATCACGTCGAACTCGTTCGCGTGCGACGCACTCAATTGTTGCATGGCACTAGACATTTCTTGATCGGTAATTTGTGGCAATCTCTGTACATCTGTGTAAAAACGACCCACTTTCTCTCGATAATGCGGTATGTCCTTAGCGAAGAGCAATTTATTAGAGGGCGAATCTTTTCCTAGCCTGTGCTCGGTCATCGAACAAGAGTCCATGAACGTTTGCGCTATGACGGAGAGACTCGAGTCGACCGTCGTAGATTTATTAATATCGAACATGAAGTCTGGATTCTTAATAAAATTCACCCAAAATCTAAGTGGCAAACTGTTCGACTTCCATGCGTGCGGCACTTCGGGATCGACGATTCCGTGCTGCTTCGCGGCGTCGTCGAGGAGATCGAACAACCATTTTACAGCGCTCGGCAATGTCTCGTTCGCGGTTAGTATCGTGTTCAAGAAGTCGTCGACGAATTTCTGAACGGTGCCCTTGGTCGACAACAGTCTCGTTAAAAATATCTCGGGTATGGCTTTGTGCGTTCGTTCCGGATGATGATGCTTGCTACCAGTGAAACCCATCCCCGGCGGATAGTGGCTCTCTTCTATAGGCCTCACTAAATGATATAATCGTTGATTGCCGCCGTGGCCGCTCTCCACGTCGCCGTTCGCCGTTATGATCGGCGGCGAGTGTTGGGACTCGAAATACAAACCGCTAACGGGATGATTGTACATTACAGGACTGATTAAATTGTGATTGGGCGTGGATGGAAGATGCGTGGACGAACAGTGATTCGCGTGTCGATGGAGGTGGTGGTGGTGCGAATGATGATGGATCGGTTGTTGTTGGTGATGGTAATGCGACGGTTTGCAATTGTGACACGGCGGTTTACACGCGACGGAAAATCCATCGTTCTGTCTGGGGATCAACGACATCACCGCCGACTCTTTCACGCCGTAATGAGCCAACGTGTTTATCTTCTTCCATTCCCCGTTGCATTTTGTCGTCAGATCCTCGTCCTGTAGCGTCAAATGGCCGCCCCTGCCGTGTCTCCATTCCAAATCTACGTCGTGCACGGACGGTCTCAGCGAAAACGGAGTGTTCTTGTAGAGGGAGTCGAGGATCTTGGATTTCACCTGATTTATCGTATCACAATCTAAAACTTTGCACTGTATCTTCTCGTCGAGATCATCTTGGACAACGTGCAACGTGACGACGTTGTGCTCGATCTGTTCCCGGAGCAGCCTTTCCTCGGACAGAGAGTATCTCGCGTCGTGCGAGATCACGTCTACGGGACCCTTCTCTATCTGGTGTTTTATGGCCTTGAACAGTAAAAATAGAGAGGAACCGGCATAGTCTTTCAGATAATTGTACATACAAAGCGCCATCCAATTCGTTAGCATCTTCTCCACCACGGATTCCGTCCTCCTCAGCATCAACTGGGGGTGTTTCGTGTTCACCGCCTTCTCGATTAATCTGAGTAAAAGATTCATAAGTATGTCGGTCGCGTACTCCATTTTACCCATTAAAACTACCATCAGCAGAGAGGCGACGTTTACTTTGTCTCTAATATTAAAATCTTTCTGAGCCTCCAGGGTCTCGATGAACGTTAAAACGAAGCACTTGTTGTTGATCAGCTGCTCGAACTGTATCATAGCGGCGTCGTAATTCGTTCGGGAGATGTTACTGCGCGATCTGGGATCGTTCAATATCGGATGATGCGTGACGCCAGGAAAAAATACTTTCATAATGTAGTTCTTGTGATCGAGGGTCGGAATACCGGACGATTCCAAATCCGCCGTCAAGTCGGTCATGTCCGTTTGTAACTCGGCGAACGCCTGTTTACATTCCATCCTCACGTTGCTCTCGAGCGTATCCATCTGTATTTGGATTCGTTTGTACTCCCTCTCCGCCTGCGTGCTCTTTCTTCTATAAATTATCAGTACCAGAACGAACAGAAACACGAGACCGAACGTGCCGGCCGCGATCCCGGCGATCGCTTCCGGCGGAATCGGGTACGATTTGATCACCTCGTAACGAAGGTAGCCGATGGGAAACCGTAGACTCCTACCCACCCGCACCACGACCAGCGGCAATCCGTTCTCGGTTTTGATACCAAGCTCGTCCGTGTCGGCGGGCTGTTGGTCGGGCGGTATGCATACCAATTGGGTCGAAGCGAGGGACGTCACGTTGCAGGGCAACGTACCCACCGTGACGTTCACGTCGGACTCGTCGCTGGCGTAAATTAGATTCTCACCCTCGATGACCAACGTGTCTCCTTTGTACAATTTTATGTTACGCGGGAACGCGAGGAACTTGGGATCGTCTACATACAGCAAACGATTCCTGAGGCTCTGAAAGTATTTCTCCAAGTCTCTCACGCTCTCCACGTTGTCCATGATGAACGCTATTTTCAAAGACAACTGAGAGTCCTTCAGTTTCAACGACTGCGCCGGCGTACTCTGCCCGTTCACCGCCGCGCGTTCGTTTCGCCGCAGTGTCATGAATCGTTTGGCGACGCTCGGGCTCGGGCATTCCATTTGCGTGGGATTCAACACCGTGCAGATGGTTCGGTTTATCGGCAGCAGTTCGTTGTCCAAGTACACCTCCATCTCGGGTTTCTGAATGGTGTCCAAGTTGGTACCGTGGACAGTGATCATACGACCACCGGAGGCGAAGCTCGTCAATGGTTTGATTTCCATGATAGTGGGATCGTTGGTGTAATTGTACGGATTGCCAACCAGCGTGCGATTCGCGCCGTCAATGCTGAGCGTCAGTCTTTCGATTCTCCTCACGCGGTCCGATTTACTGGTAACGCAGGTCAGTCTGGTGCTGCTCGCTTGCGTCACGTTCACGTGGCACTGCAGCTCGTCCAAATAAGCCGAAATAACGCTGCCGATATTCAAGAACATGCCGGTGATGGCGAGCTGCGTGCCCCCGCTCTGCGGCCCGACCGATGGATAGACACCGGATAGCCGTATGTCTTTGTAATTGAACAGCACCGCGCTTTCGGTGTATCCGGCGTCGTTGCCGACCACGACGGAAGCCGTATCAGTGGCCTCGTGTCGTCCGGTGCGGCAAACAATGCGCACGGACACTTCGTATTTGACTAGAGTGCACGGAGTGTTGCCAATGTGTATTTTGCCCGCCACGTCGCTTTCTTTCAATCCGAGATTACTGCCTTCGATGGTCACCAGCGTTCCACCCTCGATCGGTCCGCTGAGAGGTTTTATCATGTCTATCCTTGGCTTCGGGCATTCGGTGAACGGCGAGTGCAAGCAGGAATGTCGATACACGCAACTGTTGCCACACCAAGTACATTCGAAACGCGCGTCCCTCGTCACACAAAGCGAACAATCTGCATGCTCGCGATGGGAACCTAACACTTCACACTTGTAGAGAATTATAGTGGTCTTGTCGACGTGGTGATTGATGTTCCAGACGACCGTCACCTCCGCCTCGTATTCGCCGGTGACCGCCTCGTACGAGTAGACCGTTTTGTCGCAAACTATCAGACGGCTGCTGTCGACGCGTGCTTGTACTTTCAGGTTCGCGCCCTCGATGGTCACAATGCATTGGAAACCACTGTGTCCCACTTGCGGATGCGGTAGATTCTCAACCTCCAGCACTATCTCTTTAGGTACGCTGTTGGGTAACATCAACGGTTCGCTGCGTTGGACGAACCTCGGGCAATACTGTGCTCCGTGTGCGGCGAGGCTCGCTTGATTCTATAAACACAGAAAATCGTTTAGTCGACGATCGTTATTGAGATTAAATTAACATCTAATATAAATAAAATCATAAATTAAAAGGGTGCTTCCTATCTGGTGATTATTAAAATACTTACATTTTCCCCGGATATTATACCCTGGCAACTTGTATTGTGCGTACATTTGTTGTCGTACACGCACCAGCTGCATGCCCACTGAGATTTTACACACTCTGTGCACACAGTATGCCTGGAGCAGTCGTAAAACGCAAAGTTTCGCGAAACAAAGTCTTTGTTCGTTTCGCTGGACCGTACGGACAGCGGCACTAAAACATGGTCGGCTCCTTCCGGTATACTGGATCTCTCCGTGACGGGTGGCGTAGGACACGACAATCCAAAACCGGTCATTAAAGCGTCTATGGGTTCCGCGTTCCCGAAAACGCATTTGTAATTAGCGCCTGCTGGTAATTCGGGAAGAGTTCTGATGGTCAATTGAACCGTAGTCATTTGATTGATAGGCATACGGTCCGGTAGAACTTGCTCAAAATCAATGCATTGCTGCCCTGTGCCTAGAGACAGCCATCTTGGACTGCTGTGACTCGCTTTTTGACAATCCCCTCTAACTGTACATCTGTAAAACAAATAGTTGGAATGTTAAAACAAGTAACTGCTTGAAATGTTCGAATGTTTGGCAACGTCCAAGGCTGGATCTATAGATCTGTTCGAATACTCGAAAAAAATAAACAGAGATACATTAATAAGAAACACATGGTCACCTTTTTTCCAAGGAACACCATCCGCAATAAGGATCTTTCGCGTCGAGACAGCTGCTACAATTAGTATAGCTGCTACAATGCTCGACTTGAACTTTTGAAATTTTAGAACTCGATAGAACGTAAATGTGCTCTCCGTCTGGTGAAATTAAACTGTCGGGCATTAATCTGTTCCCTTCGTCGATTACAATGCTTTCGTAGACGAATGCTTCGGTTCCGGAAAGTAAAACTTTCTTCAGAACTCCATCGTTAGTTCCCAGGAATGCTACGGTATGGCTCTCGGTATTGGCTATTGTTACAGAGGTAACGAATTCGTCGGGAAAATGTAGAATCGCTTGTCCAACGATCGGCGACATTCCAGAGATCTTTAAGCCCACCTCGCAGAAGTTTAAAATATTGCCTGTTGTCTGGATACGAAAGCGAAAATAGAATTAAAAAATTACATTTAATCTTTTATTAATTTTACAAAGTTTTAAATGTAAGTTTAGTCTTATTTGAAAGGCTCTGCACTTTGAACAAAAAAAAAGTAAATTCGATTTTTTTGAAACGTTTAGAATAAGGAAACTCTGTAAATGACTCGCTCTGTATTACAGACATACAATGCTTTTGTACGTGAAAAAATATATCAGACTTTAAACTTACTCCTGCTGTAGGACACTTTCCGTCTTGTATAGGACCACTGACATAGCCCATGTTTCTATATTTGGTGCTACCGTTGAAACACATATGAATATTTTCGTTGAACTTCGTCTCGATTTCTTGTAAACTGTATACGCAAACTGCCGAGCGAGTTAACGGTTCGTTCGTGATACCTCTACTCGGCGAAAATACCGAGACGAAGATGGGATCACCGACGGAAATGCCGAGTTGCATCGCTATATCGCTTCCGGCCGGCGCCACTTTTGCATCTTGCACTAAATTATAAAAATGTTGCTTCCCGTCTCCCAGGTCGATGGTACATTGCAGCGTCACTTCTGTGTAACTGTCGTAATTTGGATCGCTTATACAACTTCTCGCCAATCTCGACGTGTAGCCCAGCTCCTCTTGTTCGGGAAGATAAGATTGTTTTTGTACCAATACAAAATATGCATAATCGCTCGCGTTAAAACCGTACACGTATTTGACCAAAAAGTGATCTCGATACTTGACATCGATATACACGATCGGCTGTTTGTTGAATGTATATTCAGCGAACTTTAAATTGTGAAGATTTCTGCTTGAAATGGCTGGCACGTCGTGCCTATATTCTCCCCTGTTGGTAAACGTGGTGCCAACGTACAAAATATTCGTTTTTCCCCACGCGTTGTACTTTTCAGGACCGATAAACGCATAAGTGGACGAAGTTTCGTCGTTAGCCGCTACGCTGTAGGGAATGAACTCTGGCTTGATGGATATGTTCGACATTTTGTACTTTTCGCAAGCACCTTGAAGAAGGGAACCACAAACGATCAATGTTTGCGATTCAAGATCAGCGATTAATAGTTTGTTCACATTGTCCATCAGAGACGTCGTTATGTCTCTAGAGGGGCAGCCTGTCGCGTGACACTGAGGATTATCCGCTCTTGGTCCTGAAAATAACGATCGATCGATAATTATTTTCTAGCACATTTTTTCGCGGCCATATCTTTCTACAAGATGTAAAAGTAATATTGCGAAACGATAGCTAACCTGTAATAACATATCCTTCCAGTCTGAGATTAGAATCTAACTGTAAAAGTCTGTTAATGGCACCTGCATACAATCGTCCTGTAGCAGGATCTATAGTGAGGTGATTAAATCGGAGGGCACCTTCTCTCGTTGTATTTGGATCTAAAGGATAAAATCCATATCGTTGACTGTCCCCCGAAGGAAACTGTGTTACCACATGTAGAGATTTGTTTTCTTGAGCAGGTGGAACGGTACTAGTAGGTGTATCTATGGCTGCTGTTACCAATACCACCATAAACCAGGTGGCAACAGACATGGATGAAAGGGATAATCGATGGAATGGCAATGGCAGCACAGAAGACAGCAGCACAGTAGGCGAAGTGGGAAATGATACAAATCCCAAGAATCTCATGATGTGTAGACAATAGTTGACAAAACACATGCGCATACGCTACGCGTGTGCGTTTGTGCATGTACAAGTCTAGGGTAGGAAGCGTAGAAGGTATAATAAAGGTCTGAGTCCCACTGGTAGAAAGCCAGTATCAATACGGTACTACCAGCTGTAAGAGTATCCAGGCACCGACATGATGCTCATTGCCCGGTACCTCTGAAACATTTAAAGAACAACAAAGTTAAATTACAGATCGAAATACTTCATAATATTTATCAAACTTAACTTTTCAACTTTTAACGATTTATTAAAACAGTTAATCGAAATGCTATTTTATTTCTATTGAAAAGCAATGACTATGAAAAATTTCTCTAAAACTGTGCTTCTAAAATAATCACTTTACCACAGAATTAATTAATGATAGGAAAAGCCTCTACCGAATTAATTTCACGATTTAGTTTCGATTAATTCTACTTGTATGTAACAATTAAGTAAACAGGTACAGATATATTATAGAATTGTTCAGAAACGCCAAGAAGTTCATATACCCAATGTTTTCTTTAACTCAAGCATAATATTGTTACTCGCGGTCGAGTATACTCGAGTACAACGGGTAAAAGATTAAAAACATATTACCTGATACTAAAAACCGATAAATTTTAAGAGAAATAATAGTTTCAAGTTTGACGCATTATTTACTTGTTTTTCTTTCTAAGATAATATGCAAATTTTTCTTTATATTATTATTCATCGTTACTCATCGCCGCTCGGTAAAATAAAATATAAATACATAGTTACGAATTATGAATGGAAAATATTAATTTCATACGAAAATAAATTTTTAATGCAATGGCAATTTATTACATACTCGAAAAAACACGGTAATTAATTGTTTTTACAGAAGAACTGGGTTTTAAATCTTTGTTAAAGGGCAGATTTTCATACACCGATATTTATTCAAATCGAACCTGAAAGTTCCTCTTATTTTGCAGATTTAAGATTCTCATTATCGTCGTTGAAACTTTCTTCCGAACGTGAACATTAATATTGTCGAGGAAGACAGTTCGGAAACGCAGAACATATTTATCAGAATATTTTATCGGGATGTATTAGTTGCTTGTGTTTCGTCGTATTCACGTTGTTTTTCCGAGAACCGAGCATGCATGATTAAGCGCAGTCATTCTTTACAATCCAAAAGCAAACTGTCAAAAATGTAAATAATATATCACTGACCGATTTCGGTACTAAAACATCCCGACGACGATGTCAGGCTAGGGCAGATGGCTCCACACTTTTCGAGTAACACCGTTGCACGCACCGCCCTTCATTAGTGTGAGCAGCATAGCTGCACTTGACAGCTAAGGCCAGTGTCTTCGCACAAAGGCAAGGATATTCTGCTCCTCGTCGATAATCGCCTGGCAATAACGCGCATACAAGCGAAATTAGTCGTGTCTTGGCGATAAAATGCACAATAGCCTTCGTAAATAATCCCGATAGAATCACTGGACACGCATACGTATCCCGCGAACGGTTGTTCGAAAAGAAAAAGAATTACCTCTGGGATGAAAAAAGCTCGTAGCTTCGATTCGTTTGTTCTGATACGATCATCAGACGGCCCGTACGACCCTCGTTAGTTTTCACGACGAATGCACGTACACATCGATACGTATATCGAGCCAAAATGAAACTAGACACCCCTAATTTGTCACCTACGATCGCCCCCTTTACGAAAAAGCCAAAGCGTACAACATGACCGCACGATGGAATGTTCGTACGCGAGGGTCGCTACGACACATCGCGGATATGCACCATGTCCTTGATAAGAGCCCCGATACGAGTCTTTGGACGATGGAACACCGAACCGTGCACCCAAGATTCACCGGACCACCTTATTGTTCCTTTCGGTAACATATAAAGGGATACAAATACCATCCGTCACTTTATAATAACACTACTAAACAGAGAGAATCGGAATGAGCCGCCATTAAAATTCGACCGACAGCGACAGGCTGCACGAGTTTAGAGCAAGTTGGGGGCCGTGGCTGCGGCATGCGCCGCTTGTTCATTATCTTTCTCTCTCTCGCTCGCGCTCGTCGCGCTTTTCCCACGGTTCAGTGTCTCTTCTTGGCTAGTTCTATCACTCTCTCTTCAACTTTCCTTTTCTTTCTCCCTGGTGCATGGGCCACGTATCAGCGTCCTCGTGCGGCCAAACGCCCGTACTTTTTCTTCGATGGTAAAACGTATCTGCTTTGGCAGATCCGAATTTATCAAAATGGCTGCTGCCGCTCGTACCGAACCTAAAACTGCGCGAAATTTGAAACGAGGGATACGGCGCACGGTGCGCAATGAACAAAAGCAAAAAACTGAAGTCTAAAATTCGTAGTTTATTATATCTTAAAATACTGATAGAGGAACACAGATTTCAAAGAAAATAAATCTGGACAAAAATTATGAATTTCGACGTCGTTAGAATAGTAATTATAACAAATTTTTACGATTATCTAAAAATAATATCAACGTATTAAAGGCCGCACCCCTCAATTTGAAAAATGCTAATGTAGATTCCGTGCTGGACTTTTTTGCCTACTTGCTCAAATTGTTGATTTATCTTGCTCATTCTCGATGTTTCGATTCATCGTCAGCTTTGATGGCCTGTTCAGAGTTCGATTAGTTGGGGGAAAAAGTTCTCTACCGATCCTCGGTTAAAGAAAACTGACGGTCCTAATTTTTGATATAAAAGCAAGGAATTACTGTATCGGATACCATAGTATTCGATTAACTGGTTAATGCCCAAATGGACGGATAATACGATTATTATTAAGTGGTGAAAATAATTTGTCATACAATGAAACTGTAAATTCAGTAACACGAAGAAATATGATTGAACTTGTTTTCTAATGCACTTTATATTAACCCTTTCAAATCTAAAATGTTGGTAGCTTTCGGTATTATTTTAGCAGTTTTGAAGAAGATTTAAATGAACGAAATAATGAAATGTTTTGCGGAAATATCGTTATACAGGGTGTTCCACCAACCCTGGGACAAATTTTAATGGAGATTCTAATTTAATGGGAAATATCAATTTCTTGACTGAGGCTTCGTTAAAAAGTTATTAACAATTAAATTAAAAAATTTCAAATCGTTCTGGAAAAATTATTTTCGATTGCGGGGGTTAATTGCAATCATTTTTGGTGAATAGACCTACCCCCGAAATCCTACCCACTTTCTAGAAAAAAATTCGAGGTGTGAAATTTTTCGACGGAAAAAAAAATTTCAATTCGTTTTGGAAAAATTATTTTCGGTTGCAAGGGCCAATTACAATCATTTTTGGTGAATAGACATACCCCCGAAATCCTGCGTATTTTCGAGAAAAAAATTCAGCACTTGCGGAACTTTAAACGTTAATAACTTTTTAACGAAGACTCCATCAACAAATTAGTATTCTTGATTTTCGTCTTATTTTGGCCTCTAGAATCTCCCATTACAATTTTTCGCATGGGTGGCCGAATACCCTGTATAACTTTATGAGTATAAATGTATATACAACTCGTATATGAGAATGAGTATTGTACATCATAAGATTATTAAAAAGGTTAAGGGGTCTGTCCAGTTTAGAATTGAAAAAAATGAATTTTTTCTTTTTACATTCTCTTAAAATTTCAAGTCTTAAAAACATTTGTGCTGAATAATTATGGTGACATTCGAGAAATTAGCAATTTTATATAATTGTTAAATGAATTCTATATACCCTGTCATTGTACTACAAACATTAAGGGGCCTGCTTAATCCGAAAGTAAACCGATATTAATCTTTTTTTTTTACATTTTCAGTCACAACTTTTTTGCTCACCAGTTACAATTTTGAAATTGATGTCCAATAATTTCCTAAAACAAAATTACAAATACTATCAAATCTTTCCAAACTAAACAAACCCCTTCAGGAAAATATGAGTTCCATCTAAGTGTCTTGAAAACTTACTTCGAGAAGAAAGTGACTGTCATTATTGTTTATGATTAAAACATTATTCATTACATTATTATCCCGTTAAATAAAATATGGCATCATTGTATGTATAAAATAAATGACACATTTTATATATTTAAGTACTAGGTGATTTACCCTGAATAAAGTAATGAATTTAGAAATACCGTAGTGTTCAAATGATCAATTTCACCTTCACTTTAATCTCTAATCAATTACGATTAATCGATTAATAGTCGTGTAGCAAGTTTTCAAGACTTTTGGACAATACATTTGTCAAAATAACTAAGGAATTTTCATCTTATATACAAATACGATACAATCACTATTATTTCAATAATAACAAGATGCTTACAATGAAATTTGACTCATAACTTTATTGGGTACAGCACCTCTCATATTTTTCTCTTTTTTCATAGCTTTCAGTGACGTCCAATTCTCATCGTGCCTTATAACGAAGACTTCGATGTAAGTTGGTACACACTTTTCTTTTTTTTGTTTCCTCTCTTTTGTACTCACATTCTTCACATACTGCACAAATAAAAACCTTTTCTATCTTTCTCCGTAAGTCGACTGGTTAGGTAGTCAAGTCCAAAGTGACTCGTGTGGTCACGATTTATTACTGTAAATATCATGTTATTTACACATATACCTAAGCTTCGAACAACTTTATAACATTTTCGCATTATGGAGAGGGTTTGAATTTTTGGCTGTAGTATCCGTTCATATTACATGTAACAAATACAATAGATAACTAATATAGCGGGTCATAGAACATGATGATTGACGCGTAACGTAACTATATAAGACTGGATTCGTACTATCGTCCCTCTCAACGTGTTTCGATCGCACTTTCTTAAATTCGTTATATAATATATATGTAAAGCTGTGTATCAGTGTGTCTAATATTTACTTAAATGTTAACTTCTTACAGACCGGTTACATCATTGAAAGGAAAATCCCTATATATTTCTATATAAGCCAAACTTAGCATACCTAAGTAGACACTTTAATATCAGAGATGTTTTCTTAGATAGAAATACACGCTTTAAAAGTCTTACGTTTTATGTTTGACAAACAACAACTTGTCAGTTATGAAGGAAGGCTTTTCCTAACACCGTATCAAAATTATAAAACAGAAAGAATGTTTAAAATTTACCGCCTAACAAGTTATTATACACGTGTCTGTGAAAGTCGGTGCTATGGCCAGCCTCCTTAGGCCTTCGATATACGACATCAAAATTAAAAATCGAGGGTGAACCGCCTCAACTCCTTTGTATACAGATGGAATAATTTCGTTTCTGTTTGAAACAGTATTTCACTTGGATTTAAGTAGCTTCAAACTATCATGTAAAATGACTATATCTTTTGATATTATATTCCTGCTGGTCCGCTTTAAAGTCTTTCAGCCATATATTTTTCGTCTAGTATTGATCAAATTCACAATTATTAACAAGTCCATGAATATCCAGCCTCGTTCTTATTACTGTTCATCTGCGAACTAGTGTTCGTAACTAGTTACGGACAAACTCAGTTGTTACAAGTACAAAAAAGGATCGTGATCTATATTTTGTTCATATCATGCGACTTTTTATGTGTACGTCAACGTGCCAATATGTAAGAGCGCATTCATGCGCTATGATTTATTTAGGTAAATTACGTATCTCATTTTGCAAAGGTGTACTGTATTATGCATTTAACGTTGTCACTGACGCAAAAATGTTGATAGTAATATTTTTTTAGTATTAGTGGTAATTTTATCTGTGGTAGTAGTACTGATGATGGTGGTAATGGTGGGATACTGTGTAGATGATGAACGAAACCACCTATCCCAATGATGGGAAGTCATTTTCATCGTCTACTTTTGGAGCGTTTTGACGTCCACGAGGCGACCTTTGCTCAACTTGTGGAGGCTAAAAAACGAACAAAATACTGATTAATTTTGTTATTATTAGAATATTGCTGATAACGATATAAAGTGTTTCGATTAAAAATTGAAAATTACAAAAACAATATACGTTTTTTGTTCATTTATAACGATGTATTTATTACTTCGACGTTACTCAAATTTGAAATTAACAGGTATATTCTAAAAAAAATATTATGGTTTATAAAAAAAACTTACAGGACCACGTGGTTCTCCATCTCTTGGAGCGCCACCACGATTTCCAAATCCACGGCTGTTGGCGCGTTCCCCACGGCCACCTCGTCCTCGACCACGTCCACCGGCACCACGTCGAGAGTCACTGAACTGTATCTCGATTCCTAACACACGTTTCTGCCTACCAACTCGTTGTGGATATTCCGCTGCTGCGTCATAGTCTTCTTCGTCTTCTTCGTCTTCCTCGGCGCTTTCCTTCTTTTTTTCGAGTGCGTACATCTTTTTCCAGCGAGTCAAATCTTCACCTTCTCCAGCTTTGCGTATATTATACTGAGGCTTCGCTCTATTATTACGCAGAGCTTTCCATTCGTCCAATGTCAATTCACGCGATTCTTCTTCGGCTGGTTTTTCTTCCACTGCGTCCGGATTCGTTTCCCCTTCTTTTGTTTCCGGGGATGCTTGTGGAGCATCTCCGTCAGGTTTCTCGTTAGGCCAATCTTGACTCTCTGGATTCAAACTTTCCCTGCAAGTAAACAAAACAGAAATTTCAAGATTCGATCGCTTCTTTCAATGACAACAGTCATTAAACAAATTTTGCTAGTTTCCTTTAATTGTATACATGTTTCAAACACCATACTTACTCAATTTCATCATTGTGGGTACCCCAGTTATGGCTACCAGCACCATCTTTTTTATCCACTGGTTTAATCCCGCTGCTTATGTACACAGAAGAAATTAATTATAAATTGTACAATTACCAATAAACTAAACGATAAAAATGAATAGTAACAGAAAATTACGTTTTGTCGGAGCCAGATTGACGATCAAATTCACGTTTTCCACGGCTATCGTATCCACCACGTCCACGTGGCCCTCCACGTCCACGTCCCATTCCACGCATTCCACCACGAACCCTACGCTCTCCATATTCCCCACGTTGTTGAGTATCATTAGAATTTCTAAATTCTCGCGTTTCACGTCCCTCGCTAAACAAAAATACAAAGAGAAACGATAACACAGTAATACTGCTTTTATTTTGTATCTATTAATCTTAAGACAGGATGAGATAGTTTTAAAGCAGAGAACTTCAGAGTATGTACTTTATTCTAATTTAACAGACTGCTGCATATATTTTGCGAGAATTTTCCAATTTAAGATAAATATTTACGATCGACGAATTGCTTTTATTTGGGTAACTATTTACAATAGGGCCGACCTTATTGATTCTAAATGATGTTGTAGCAGAGATGCGTAAAATTTTATTCAAACAAACTCCAAAATCTATGAAATCGGCAAGGGCAGAAATGTTATAAACAATTACCCACTTTTGTTTCTTGTACCTACCCAGGAGGTCCACGTCTTAATTCTCCTTGTCCACGAGGCGTCCTTTCGCCATCTTCACGATTGCGCCTATTATTGCGTTCTTCCCTACTTTCTCCAGAAAATTTAACGATGCGCTCTCCACCACTAGTTCTCTGTTGCGGAGGCTTTTTGTCTACTAATATATACATACAATTTCAAAGTCATTTAAAATACTCTGGAACATTATATTTAAAAAAATCATATTTAGATGTATAAAAATGTTTCTTTTGCCAAAAAGATTAAAAATAAAATTTATACAGTAATATAATATGCAAATACTCCTAATGCATACAAGTCTTTACATTTCATAGACGGTTCATGAACTTGCTAATAATAGTTTACGATGTATACATAAAATATGAAAGCACATGTATGTATAAACACCTATTTTAATTACAATCTAACATACGACCAATGCATCCATATAATTTTACTACAATATATTGATTATTTGCAATAAAAATAGTTATAGAACTGTCCACGATTACAGAGATGGATTCGGTTTCCGTCCACAGTTATGTTCTCTTTAAAATTCCGTATCACGGTTCGTTTCACGATTAATAGATCGAATTTTAACAATAAATCATAGAACTGATCGTTAATTATTTGTTAAACGACACGTGGGGTCACCATTGGTAAATTCTATTTTTACGACACGAAATGAACCCCACACTGTGCGGTATAAGAAATTGTTAAAAAATTGCCAAAAATGCGAGCGTCGAAGTGGAAATTTCCTATTAAATAATTTCATATTGAACATGGAACAGGAATTAATGATAGATATCTCATAAAACGGACGCCGATGGTGATAGTAACTCGTTTAACGTGCGACAAAATATCAAACGCACATGGACCCACGAGGGGACCAGCGCGACGGCCATAATACCGCGCACGAGGCAACGATCGTAATGAAAAATTACTAACCTTGCTCTTTCTTTGGATCTTGCACCTTCACGGCTGGTGGCTGTGCATCCTTTATCACTCGAGCTTTTTGCGGTTTGTTACCGGGTGGCTTTTGAGCGTCCGGCTGCTTACTCTTATTCTCCTTCTCTGTAAGCTTCTCCTTTTTCTTAGCTTCCTTCTCTTGTTCCCGTTGCTGCATAATCTCGTGCAGATCTGCGTCATCACCCAACAACGGTACCGAGAATTTATTGGTAACGTTAATGCTGTACGTATTTTCCATGATGTCTTTTATCCTCTCTTCGTCGAGGATCACGCGAAAATTTCACGGCTACTCTTGAGCCCTTGTGTAACAGAGACATTCAATATTTCAATATGGCCGAGTCCGGAGATAGTTCACCACGAGGTCTGTGCTCAGGGAGGGACCGCATAATTGTCTTGCACCCAGCGCGCCACCTCCCCACCAATATCATTTATACCATCAATTTTACACAGTTTAAGGCCGCAAAATGCCGTTGAAAATTCAGTTTCTAATTTTAATCGTGTTATATTTTTAAAATATCAATTGCCCGATAATAAAACGACGCGATTTCTACAGACGTAGTTCTCAAAGAAACCGGCATTATTTTCATGAATTACTTAACGCCCAACCGAATAGATTTTCTTATCTCTCGTGCTTTATCTTATTGCCGTACGGTAATATTTATGCATCTAATGAATACTATTTTCGTTATATATCGTATTTCATGATATTTTAACGACGAACAAAAACTACCGGTATGCGGTGTTGATTTCCAAACGTTTTGATATAGCCCGCGAATCGAAGATTTTGTTAATTCCCATACCACGTTCATTTACCCAACATTCTTTAATAATTCATACTTCCGGATTAGTTTTTGTTTTATTACTGTGGTCTACGATATTTCTTGGAGAAATAAAATCAGCCGTTGATAAAAAAACATTGATCATTGTTTATACATACCCTCAAATGATCCCCATTACTCCATAAGTAATATCCAAAAATTTCTATTTCAAGCAACACATTCGTAATTTTTTACAATTTTTCTTATTTACAATCTATGTAATCACAAATTTGTCGTTCGTACATTTATAAAAGGTACGTAGTTTTTAAAATATTTCTATATCACTCATGAACTCTGCTGTAAACCAGCCACTTACAAAATCGTTATGCGGCATTTTCATATCTAACGCAAAAATTCGAAACAAACATGTTTCGAAATTAAACTTTTTAAATCACAATATGTAATATTGGTGTGTAGCAATTTGTAATGTACAAAAGAAATGGTATATTCCATCAATATAATTATTTTTATCGACGCATAATTTTAATACATACATATACACGTTCCCATCTATAGTTTAAAAGTTTCAGAACGCGTACAAACGGAATAATAAATTATCATTAACGGCTAGTTAATTATTAATTTATACAAATCGTATAAATCCCCACTCCTGCAGAATTTTTTATTTAAATTATTGCTGAAGAAAAAACATACAATAGTTTGTCCAATATCATACTATAATGATTGGGAACAGAGGCAATCAATGTCTATTAAACGAAATTTCGTGAAATTAAACAATACAACAGTAAAAGCAACAAGAAATAAACAATTTTAATACAAAAATTTAATGCGTTTCACGAAGAACACTATTAATTAGTCGACTTCACGAATCATGCTTTTTTTTTTCTGCGAGCCGGTGATTGGTTGCACGATCGCGAGGGAAAGGATGCGCGCGCATCGGGACCAAGCCGCGTGTAGAAACAGTCGTTACGACAATGCCAACGACACAAGAAGCGGAACGAGGTGTGATTCTGTTGTGGGTGCCCTGCAACGAAGAAAGTTTCATTTCTTAAAACCCTATTATTCTTCCATTATTGTGAAGCGAAGATTAACTTTAACGCGTAGTTCTCGATTATCCACCATACGTACTTACACGCGTACACGTGCATCGCACATCGCGCCGGGTACACTCGTTTTGGCGGTTTACCAGTTGCACGCGGCACACGGAGGGTGCCAACCCAAGAGGGAGAGAGAGAGAAAGAGACAAAGAAGGACAGAGGATAGAAGGTGGTCGCGGTAACACTAGTTTTTAAGGTGGCTGGCCGAACAGCGAGGTGAAGTGAAAAACGTGAAATGGAATTGCACACGCCGAAGCGTGAATCACGTCCTTTGACGGAAGCATTGCCGTGCAGTCCGCCGATGTGCGACACCATGCTTTATCCGTGGAATTGGGGCGAGGAGGCGAGAAACGTGAACCTCAGCCCGGGTAGTTCGTGTTCCTCGCCGGAATACAGGGAGCATAGCGTGGTTGCCACGCGAACCGGGCCCCGTTCGCGTTCAGGAGGGTCGGAGAGTCATCGCCGTGGACGACCCAGAGCCGACGCTCTTTCGAATCTTATGATGCAAGGAAGTACCTCGCCGAGCAGCATAAAATGCACCTACTGCAATCGTGTCTTCCCACGGGAGAAAAGCCTGCAAGCACATTTGCGTACCCACACAGGTACGTTTCGGCGTTCGTTGTTTCGATTTTTCGGCGTTCCACGGGAACGCACGCATCATTTCAGCGGAACTTTCTGTGAGAAAACTTGGCGTTTGTCTCGTGAACAGCACGTACGGCCGTATGATTACGAACGAGGTTGGTGCGCGGCTTCTCGTGTGGTCACGCGTCCCGCCAATCGCCATCATGCGCACTTTAAATAGTTAAATGGCTTATTTGTGGAAATAGCGAATCAAATCATGTGAACGGAGTTACGCTATACTACCGACTGTGAAATAGTAATTTTTTTTCTTCTTCGTGTTCGCTACGTACGCGTAGCTATAGAAATAATAGTTCTTTATCGTGTTGGAGTATTTTTTTTCTTTTAAATATCGACGTGAAATATATTCTTTGTTCGGAGAGCATAGAATCGTCGACTCCAAATTTTTTTTGTTCGAATTGCCGGTTGCATGGCGAAAACAATTGTTTTTCTCAATCTCGTGCGCAATTTAAACGAAATTTCTTCCGATTATCAATTTTCCAACCTTTATCTTGTATTTATGTTTGTTATAATCAGGAACAAGGAATATATTTTTTTAATTTAAGTCAGAAGTTATTGAATAGAAGAACCAAGTATTTATCTATAAAAAAAAAGTAAACTAAATAACACAAATGACATCATTTTTCAACAATAGTCTTGGTAGATGAATTTCTAAATTTCATACAAGAATAATTTTTTCAGGTGAGCGTCCTTATCCATGTGATTATCCAGGGTGCACGAAAGCATTTACACAATCTGGACAACTAAAAACTCATCAACGATTGCATACAGGCGAGAAACCTTTTTTATGTACAGAACCTGGCTGTGAAATGAGATTTACGCATGCAAATAGACATTGTCCAGATCATCCGTATGCCACTCTCACGCGCTCTGATGACTTTGTATTAAAGCCAGTATCAGAGAACACTGAATTGCCTCACGATGTTACCAGATGGCTAGAGCGTTATAAAATGTCTAGAGAACGAGAGGACAGAACTCCTACAGGAAAAAATGAGCGCAAGAAGAAAACGTGGAAAAGTAGTTCCGAAAATCACAAAAGAGTCAAATCTAGAAAGGGTCTGATGATGGATGCAACAGGGGAACAGGAAAATTTGGATTGCAAACCTTCCAATCAACGATTGTACTGCGGTGAAAGTCAAGATAGCCAAGAGGAGAGCCAGGACGAAGATCCCGCGGAAACGTGTGCTGTGTTACAAACGTCCGAGGACGAGGAGACATCGACAAAGTTGGCGATAACTCCCTTAAGAAGACCATTGGATAGACTTCAGCCAAAGAAACGATGGTTACGCGAAGCTTGCTTGGAGCAACAGTTGGCTAAACCTTTAAATTGGGATGCCAAACCAGCAAATACTCCGGTAATCGCTTCATTTAAGTCCAATTGTTTAAACCAAATGCAATGGAACACGCCCGTTGATAATTCGTCCGTCGTGACGGATACATCGTGTTTAAACGCGTGTAAAGAAATTGAACTCACAAAATCAGAATTAGATCCTTCTTATGTGTCTGGTCATATATCTTGGGACGTAGCCACCGACAATGAATCTCCAGAAACGTGCGTAAAGAAAGAACAAAAGTACGTGTTTCAAGCGTCCAATACATTGTCTCAAACTATTTGGAATGCGTCGCAACACAATACAAATAATTTTTCAAATAATGCACACCAAATCAAAGCTAATATTAACCACTCTACCTCCGAGCTCGAATCCCCCAAACACCCGAGCCATATATATTGGGATAATGATTTAACAAAGGATGCTTCTAATTCTTCATTGAATCGATTGAATATAAAAATTAAGAATTTTGCTCAAAAAGATACGATTAAGCAGGATACGATCATGAGTTCTTGTATCAGCGAGAACATAACAAGACCGACCGTTTTGATGTTAGCCGGGAGTTCTAATAATAATAATAACAATAATAACAGCAAAGATATTATTTCAAAAGTACCGTCGATGGCGCCCGAGACGGGAGTAAAAGTAGTAGTTGTTAAACAGGAAGATAATCTTATAAAGTTACCAATTCCAGAAGATAGTCAAAAATGGTTAGGCGCTTTAGCTTTAATGGAGCTGGCTAAAAATCAAGAAGAAATAATAAGAGGTTTAAGTCTTAAACAGAACAAAGATGAATGCTCTGTGAATTCCGAGCTGAATTATACCCGTTTATAGACTGTGATTAATGGCTATTCTAATTCTGATTTATGTTATTTTTGTATGGCAGGCAAAAAACAAATAAAAGTGCATTTATTGTCATAATGCAATCTTTTGATTCACAAATGTGGAAGAAATATGTTCGGAATTACATTCGTTTTTCTTCTTGCACGAACAAATAGCATTTTTTACAATTTTATTTTTATATTTTTCTAACTACAGTATCGTATTACAATTTATTATGTTCAACATTTATTCTCATTTTCTACAAAACTACATACTTACAATTGTGTCATAAATATTAAGAGTAGTGAGAAGTTTCAATTTTTTTCGATCGCCTTTAATTTGTTACGAAAAAGTGAATTGATATATGTAAAAGAATACTTTCTCTTTGTAATCGATATAATAAGTTACATAACTATTGACGACCATTTACATATAATTTATATACGATGTTTAAAATTTCCACTACTCCTAATATTCTACAAAATATTAAACAGGGAAAATAAAGCTACGACCTTCATATTTCTTTTTTTTTGTCTGTTTTTCATGGTTATTTCTCATTGTCAATGATAAAAAAAAGTTTGTGTACTGTCAATGCAAGGAGAAATACTCTTCATAGACAATTTCTTTTAATTCTAAATTTATACGAACAATGAGAACATACCATTGTATAATGAGAGTATGTAATAATACTTCGTGTATGTTTCTGAATTTTTACAGTTTGAGCAGATATATTTAATATTGAATGACATTGATCAATCGTTCTGAAAAATTGTATTGATTTATAATATAAATTTATCAATTTTTTTAAATTTCAAAACGTATATAATGTAGGGCACAAATTAATTACGGAAATATTTTATTTAGTCATTCATTTTAAGCAACAAAAGTTTCAAGTTTTTGTCATAGATAACTATTACATCAATGTAATACTTTAATTTTGCAGTTGTTTGAATATCGCTTTCATTAAGTATTCATAGTATTTCTTGTTGTAACAAAAGTTATCTTTATGTAATTGAATTCTTAATACAATTTTTTACGATTGATTTTCCGTTTTCCATTCTACGAAATTATGACAAATATCCTACGTAATTTTCCTTTTTAGGCGATAATGCAAAAATTTATTTATTATTATCGGCCATACTATCTAACAATAAATATTTGTGTGATACTTAGAATGGTAAAAAATTTATGAAGAAAATTTCTTTTCGAAAATATTAAACAAAGTTTGTAAAGTATTTAATTGGAAGAAATACAGTTATTATTTATAAAGTATAATAGGTATAGAGAAAGTAATGGGTAGAATAAAATAGAAATCTACATTTGTAATATCATTAAGTAATTTTAACTCCCAATATTTTTTACTCGACGTGTATATATGTGAAATATTTTAATAAATATTTTCTAAAATTCTAGTAACATTATTCTATTAATTCCTAACAACTGACATTTAAAATATCAAACACGATAAACATAATATATTAAGATGTTTTTTGTTATTTATAATAGTACATTTATTCTACATTATTATTCGTTCTTTACAAAATATATAATATTATAATTTTTCTTTAATTATTCATATAAATGTACAAATGTTGGCAGTGTTGTATTATGGTTTCCTTATTTTTGTATTGTGCGTCTTCTTACTTGTAACACTGTTTTTTGTAGATAGTCTTGTACTTCGTCTTGTGCTTTCGCTCGCACTCGGTTTTTTCAAATTATCTGTTTTATTATATTGCCCGATACACGAACTTTCTCCCGATCTTTCTACACTGTTTTTCTCGTTTTCTTGTTGTTCGTTGACATCCAAGTCTTTAAACAGTGCAATCACTTGATTAATCTTGGTACAGTCGCTCGTAGTTAGTTGCTTTTTATGTCGCGTTTTTCTGACATCTTTGTGCGAGGTTCCGTTTATTTTAAGATCTTCTATCCTCTCGATTAAGTTTTGCACGTTTTCGCTTGTAGCCGGCTCGTCTACGTTGTCTACTGCTTTGTATACATATTCGGAGACATCGGGCACTAGCGATACAATTTTATTTAAAATATCTTTCATAGAAACGTTGTTAACATCTTTCTTTATTTCTATAAGCTCCTCCGAAGACGACCTTTTTTCCGATTCTTTGGTTTCTACTTCCGTTTTATCAGTATCGTCCGAATACTTGTCGTCCAGGAGTTTTCTTCTTGTTAATTTACCACGCAATCTCGTTCTTCTGTGTCTAGAAGGCGGCGAAGAATTATCTTCATCGTCGCTGAAGTTTATACTGACTTTCGTTAGCTTCAAAAGCGGTGGAGTTCGGATTCGTCGGAGACTGATGGGTTTCTTCGATCGAGTATTATTAACAATCGGCGTGATGCATGTGCTTTCTTCAACTTTCGATACTTGCACATACTTGGATATATTAATGTCAGATGTATCAGGAACTGTGAACACTGCAAGATAAATTTATCCAACTGTAGAAAAATTGTAGTCAATATTTGAGTTTAACTTGAGTCGTAATAGGGACTAAAATGAATTGCTTAGACGAAGAACATAAAGGGAAAATTTTCTAGTGGCCAAAATAACACGGAAATCAAGAATACCAATTTGTATATTTTCCGTTTGCCAGTATAATCAGCATGTGATACTTACTTGAGTACTCGGTACTATCAAATATCCTTTGAAAATGTTCGTCGAGAATTAATTCGTTAACTGACATGTAAATTGGGTGTCCAATTAATTTGTACGCGTTGCATACTCGATTTGCCAAGCGAGCGACATTTACTACTTCGTCTTGTGTTCTGTTCGAATAGCTCCTAAGGAAGTACGAGAAGTTAATCAACAAGAGCACGTAATCTGTACTATAAAAACGTTCTTGCCAAGAGAGATATTTATTCTTATCTTTCAATGTGAATGCCTTCATTACGTCTTTTATTTTAAATGCACCGTGGAAATGCTGCAACGATATCGAAAAATTTTGTTGCAACGCATATAGTTGGGCTCTGATATGCGTGCTCGCGAATATTAAATAATGATACGACACATTCTGGCATGCGTAACAATTACAATCCGTATGACCGAAGAATTCCGGAAGATCGAAAACTTTGTCTCTGAGAACTGGCGAAGTATCGTTTTGCGGAACGTCTCTAATCGGGTCCACGGCTCGAATCGGCGTTAACAAAATGTTTCTCGAAACAGATTTCGTTAAATTACTCTTCATGGATGCTTTGAACGTTTCGATATTTAAAATATGCTCCAATCCTTGCAGTTTCACTTCGCAATCGTTTAATTGTGAACGCAACAAATCGATATAACAGAGCGACTTTAATATTTCTGCAACTCTTATGGTTGCTCCTAATGCTTGTGATGTTTTTAGCCGGTGCACCAAGTGGGCGACAATTTCTTGAAAGGACAATAAACTATTCATTCGTAAAGATAAATTTACGGTTGCGGATATTAGTATGTCGTAGCAAAAAAGACGTTTGTCGTGGGGTTTCCCTACAAAAAAAAACGTAATAGTTCAATTTAAAAATAACCGTAAACAATTTCCATGCACAGGGTATCTTGTTTTAATCTTTCTGCGTCGTTATCATTGAATGTGGTAATGGTTTGAAGATATGTTTCGGATTAAATTTGGTGAGAAGATTAAAATGAGAGACTCTGTATGCAAATTGAAAAATAAAAAATTTACTTGAACTAGAAACTTACATTTTTTTGCTGATAAGTCCTCGTTTAAAGAGACCATAGAGTATAAAGTTTCAACAATGTAACGAGTGTATTCTTCGTGCGTTACATCCTCTTTGTACAAGTAACAATTGTACAAAATCCTATCTAAGCTGTATAGATATACAGCTGTATTGGAGAGGAAAGAGATTCCTGATAGCTTTCTGGATTCATCGAGTAAACTTTTAGCTTCGTCGTACTGAAGATAAATAAATACGTATTTGGAAAAACAATACTCGTCCAAGAACAAAAAATTTTAGGATATACAGGTAACCCTCCTATAACACGGTAGATAGGTACCTGGAAAATGCCGTGTTGTGTGAAACCGTGTTATATGAGACCCAGAACCAGTATAAAAAGAGGAGTTACGTTCCGAAAACTTACTGAAAACAATTATTTTTTTTTAATTCTACATAAGCATATTATTTTAAGTTAACGCAACCTTAATTTAATCAATTATAATTTGCTTATACAGGGTGGTCGGCCATACCTGGGAAAAATTTTAATGAGAGATTCTAGAGGCCAAAATAAGACGAAAATCAAGAATATCAATTTCTTGACTGAGGCTTCGTTAAAAAATTATTAAAAAATTAAATTAAGAAATTTCAAATCATTCTGAAACATTATTTTTGATTGTGGGGGTCAATTGCAATAATTTTTGGTCAATAGATGTACCCCCGAAATCCTATCCACTTTCGAGAAAAAAATTCCTTACCGAAAATATAGTCTGAGGCCTGAAATCGTACTCTAATCGTACACTATAGTTCATTATTCCTTCGCGTCATTACTTCAAGGTAATTTAGTTTTTAGATATGTTAAGCAAAAATCATGTTATCCAGTGCTGTAGAAGTACAGTGTTGTACAAAGGTTCTCGCAATTTATTAATCGTGTTATAGCGAAACCGTGTTGTAAGAGGGCTACCTGTATTATGGTAGTGTTCGGCTTTTGTTGCGCAGGCGTAAGATAATCGTTAATCGCTTCGACTATGGTTATGATTATAGTCACATTAGTTCCACTTACGTGGAAAGCTCCAGAACGAATTAACCACGTAAGATAGGGACTAACTTTTGTAAAGTTACTCAGAAGTAGAGAAACGGCATGTGTTCTGGCTCATTGTTCTGAATTAGGTTCGATAGGTGTTCGATAAACGTTCCAAAAGTCGTTCGACGTTAATTCCGAAACATCTATCGAACTATATCGAACGTTTCTGAATCGACTATCGAATATCTGAGACAAACACCACGCTATACTGCAACTGTAATGATATACAAATAATGAACTTACAATACTACTTTCGAAATAAAAATCTGATAAACTTATCCAAAAGATAGCAATTGCATATTGTACGTCTTCGTCGTTTGTATCTTTGAGTTCGACAGCAAGCTTCTTGGCAATAGTAATCCATTTATAATTGATATGTCTCAATGAGATACTACGACCAGTAACTTGAAAAAAAAAGAAAGGATTTTGATTATTATCGTATATAAATTTCGTCCGTGCTACCGAAAAGTATATTTAAATATTCTCACTATAAATGATAGCGCGATTATCTTGCAAGTCTAGTGCTAATTTATACGCAAGTGTCCATATATTAACTTCACATTCCTGATAACGATACAAATGAGCATATTCGCCGGCTATTATCAAGGTGTGAAGTGTTATCGACGGTTCACAGCTTTTAGCAATTTCTTCCTGTTAATTGATATTGTAGTATTTAACAGAAATACATTAAAATACATTAATTGATATTATACTTACAATGTTTTGTTTTAAGCATTTATTCCATTTATTTAATGGTGCTTGCAAATACGTCTGGAGCCTAGAATCTTCTTTAATATTTATCATGGTATAGGCAGGTACTATAGAGCGAGATTCATTTTCTCCAATTTCCGATAATTTTGGCGCGCACAGTGCGAACTTTGTATTTTCCATTTCCGTTTCAGTCTTCTTATTCATAATATACAATTGAGTTACAAAAACATAAAATTCTAAATTCGCTTGTAAACACAAAACGGAGCTACTTGTTCTTAGTTTTTTCAAGTCGGATATGGCACGCCGAAGGCAATCTAAACTGTCCTTGTCGTAATCGAAATTTAACAAATGATATACTAACATTTGTACCCCGCGAGCATATTGCATCGGAGTTACTTTTAACGTCGTCATATCATCGAGAACTTTCCGAATGGCTACCGAGAGATTTACTTTTGCTTCCTGCAAGCCTTTTACTTCCCTTAAACATATTTCAACAAGATCATATTGCGACAGTTCAATGGACAGTCCTAGCTCCTCTATCTTCTCTCTGTCCGCCTTCAAACAAGCCAACATGGTTATTTCTATTATTTCCTCCGATGTTATAGATTTATGTTTAATTTTTGCCCACATAGAAAATGCTTTTGTATTCGAATTGTTGTAGCTTAGCAGACCGTTTAACGCAGACGCGGTCATAGCTTCTCTGTACATGTCGTGATTATAATGGAGTAAGCACAATCTGTGTAACGCAACGGATGTAGGGTTCTCGAGCTTGATGTGCTCAGACCTCGGTTGAACACCTTCTAATTTTATGATTGAAGTGAATAGTAGACAGATCAAAGAGACGCTTTCTTTGTAAATGCATTCGGACATTATGCCCAAATTATAAATTAAAGAGCCACAAGTGGACCATAAAAATGTCCAGGACTTACATTTGCATTGTTTCATTTCAAATATATGTGCTACATTCTGTTCTAAAAATTTTCGAGCGAGTCTACAAATGTCTTTGGACAAATCCTTTTCAGAAAGCTTGTTAATTACATTGATGCATTTGGTTTTTATTACCACTACATTGTACATGTCTCGTCTCAATGTACAATTATTATCCAGGCAAATTTTACATTTATACGATTCTTCTTTGAGAAAACATGTAGTTACACAGGTGATTAAATTCATCGTTTTTAATAACATGCCATTTTCGAGGAATGTTTTCTTTCCTATTGTTATACATGTGCTCCAATATATAAATAATGATTCTAAAACTTGAATGATACTAAATGTCATCCATTTAATAGATCCCTTATATCCATATTGTTTTGCAATTATTCCATAATTATCGCATAGATCTTGAATGCTCTTGGCATTAGTTTCTACTAAACGTTCAACTGGTTTCAGAAGAGCAAGGTACAAAGATTGAAACTGTTGGATACATTGGTAACATTCCGTATCTTCTCTTAGAACTGTTTTAAAATAATTAGTCAATGTATTCAGACCTTTAATCGCTAATTCATACAACTCGGACTCTAGGCACTTTTTGTTAATGTTTTCGCACGTAATTCTGCTTAATATGTGAAGCATATAACGAAATATATTATACTTTTCATCTCTGTTTAAGAAAATATTTATCCGATTTAAATAATCAATTACAAACGTACAAAAATCTGTGAAGTAGGTATTTGGTTCTTCGTTTATCGATGCAATTTTTTCCAGATATGAACTTATCTTCATAAGCAAGTGTTTTGTGTAATTTTTATGCGTTACTTGTATTATTTCCAATTCTTGCCTTATAACATCTTTCAATTTGTAATAATGTTTACGATTTGATGAATCATTTTGTAAAATAAGAAATGCATTATTCACTGCAATATACCATAGATAAGCTATTTTGACTAGTATATCGCTTACATCATCCTGAGAATGACACAATGCTTCAGTCTCTAAATGAGAACACACTTCGGATGCTTCCTTATACATACATAATGCTAATAAACAACGAATTATGTGAAACAAACTAGATACAAATTTATGACTATCTGGTATCTCTGACAGAATTGAACACAATAAACATGTCAGTTTGTGAATCTCATTTCCCATGATATAATTTTGTTTATCACATTTGTCCGCGGTATGCGATAAATATAACAACAGTTTAAAAATATGTTTGTTTATGTTTTCTTTTAAGATTGGAGAGATATTTGTCTGGAAAAAGAATATAATTTTATTATCGATATGAAATTAACATTGGTCTTTATTTGCTTCGAGTACCATTGAAAGTACGAAAATAAGAAATCAATGTATTTCAAAATTAGATTCGGGTAAATCATAAATATAAAATTTCATTACGAAAATATAGTTAACCTGAATATCTTTTGTTACTGCGTCCAGTTTCTCCGCTTTAATTAATTCAATCCATATCTTTATCTTTGCTTCTATATTAGTCATTTTTCGGGTTGAATGATGAATTTTTTAACGGATTGTGTATAGATTACACCCTTCATGAAGGTTATAAATCGTCTTCACATTTACGCGGCACAAACACGGCACGAATTAAATACCTTATAGTATGCACAACTTGTAGAAAGATTTTTCTATGCTACAAACTATACCAGCATGTTCTGCTGCTAAAAATAAATCACATGTATCTAGTACTAGAGTCGACTGTGACCTTGATTCAAATACATATATTTTTTTTGTGTGTTAGGATAATGCATAAGGTCCTGTAATCTGTAACAACAAAACTGTGACCTTGTATATTTAGATTCAAAGTATCGGTAGAATCACGTCTCTATATTTCGTTGATCTATGCTTTTTAGGCCGACAAGATTGAGTCATTTTAAACGCCGAAGCACTCGTACACGTGGCTTTCTATTAGTGTGCGTAAGCAGTGATGGACATTCGTGGGAATTTTGGTCATGCGCATTGGAGCGCATAACTAGAATTTAGGGTATCGTTGGATCCCAGTAAGGAACAAAATTTAAGGAAGTTACAGGGAAAGAGATAAAAACAAAAAATTTCCTCTTAATCTACATGAGTATAGCTAGAGAAATACGTAGGGGATCTTCGATAAGTTAATTTTTGTGTGATTAGCGAGCATTTGCACCTCTTTTTGCGCTAAAGATACATCTATGGTAGCGGACGACAGGTAGCTGTGACGTCGCTTACGCATGCACAAGAAAGGAATCTCACGAGGGAAAATTCCCACGAATGTTCACACTGTGCGTAAGTGGTAGGGGGACAGTTTTCTCTGGCTGCGGCAGACCGTCTGCCGTTTGGTAACACTGGGTTAAGTGGAGTTCTTTTCGACCCTAACCTTGGTGACTGACAATTATTCGAAAGCATACGCTAAAAGCTTGTGTTAAATTGGAATATATCTTGGTTTTAAAATGAATTCAAGAACACAAACAAGAAAGATTCCCGAATCGGAGCCGCGTATAGATTATGTTCAATGCGACGGACTGGTAGTTATGAAAATGGTAAAACATTGTCACGAAGAGTCCATGAGTAATATGGATGTTGCTCAAGGTGCTCTTCTTGGTTTGGTTGTTCAAAATCGTCTTGAAATCACAAATTGTTTTCCCTTTCCGAAAAATGACGAGATCATGGATGAGGAAGAATATCAATTGGCCATGATGCGTCGTCTCAGATGGTAAATATTTTTCTAATTCAAAATTTCTGTTTCATCACCTTTGTCTTGATGCATCTAGACGTAATAAAATGTTTTTACAGGGTTAATGTTGATCACTTTCATGTTGGTTGGTACCAAAGTGCAGATGTTGGAAACTTTTTAAATCTATCGCTGTTAGAATCACAGTATCATTATCAAACTTCCATAGAGGAATCTGTAGTGCTTATATACGATACGGCTAAGTCAGCGAGAGGTTTCTTGACGTTAAAAGCATATAGACTTACTCCGCAAGCTATACAAATGTACAAGGAAGGTGAATTTACACCAGAGGCCTTACGTACCTTGAAAATTGGTTACGAGAGTCTTTTCATTGAAATACCAGTTGTGATAAAAAACAGTAACTTGACTAACATAATGATGTCTGAATTGGAAGAAATGATACCTGAAGAGGAAGGTACAAAGTATTTAGACCTTGGAACAGCCACTGTTCTGGAAAATCAACTACGTTGTTTAATGGATAGAGTAGATGAATTGAATCAAGAAGCTATGAAATTCAATAGGTATCAACAGCTAGTTGTTCGCCAACAGCAAGAAAAGAATAGACTTTTAGCTAAACGAGCCCAAGAAAATGCTGCTAGGGCTGCAAAAGACGAGCCCCCGCTGCCGGACGATGATATCAATAAACTCATGAGACCTTTGCCTGTGCCACCAAGGCTAAATCCTATGATCGTAGCTGGACAAATTAATACATACAGCGAACACATTTCGCAATTCTGCGCTCAAAGCTTAGCAAAATTGTATATTACTCAGAGTCTTCAAAATGCAAAAGAGTCAAAATCTTCACATTGAAAGAATATTCCTTATAATTTTAAAATAAAATTTTGTGACATTGTCTATATGTACATTTTAAGTTTTTATATACTTTTCCTTCTGCAGTAAATATGTACAATACATCTTTACATAGTTACAAATCGTACAAATAAAAGCTGTATATGTTAATTTAATCATTTTGTATTAATTAGTTATTTGAACATTTATTGTATTATTAATTATAACTTCGTTAAGTTATCAATATTTGAAATAAAATGATAATAAAATTGGTTTTGTTGAATAGATTTTCTGTTACTAGAAAGGAAATTATATTTTGTTCAATTTCAAACAATAAATAAAAGACTAAAATGTCGGAAAGAATCATTTTTTCTTTTATTCCGTGTATATAATTTAAATATTATTAAAATACTTGACTGTTTGAATATTTTATGCAGCAATGTAATATTTAAATAATCATAGCATTTGAATAATGCGACGTGACTATAAATCAAGTTTTTTAAGTTCGTTGTCCGTTTTTAAACCTTACTTTTGTAGAAAGCATTTTGTTAATATTCTGTACATTTTTAATTTGAGAGGGAAGAATTGATAAAATATTTACACTGTTTGGTTGTTGGTAGCTTTTTTTCTTAGAATATTTTTAGTAGTATTCAAATAATGATATTCGAACGATTAATATTCAAGATATTTGAAGCTTTCACGGCTCGGGTTCTGATAGTTGATGTTAACTTAGGCTAAATCGATATTCGAGTAGCAACGTTCGAATGATATTTGAGTATTCGATTACTCAATAGGTATTGGTGTATTAAATAATTTGAATAGTTTTAGCTCTACTTCGAAGTTGAAATTGTACACTCTCGGACAAAAGTTTCACGAGCCACGCGAATTAATTCGAAGAGGTGGATCCAAATTTCAGTAACGGATCGTAATTTTACGCGCCCTGTGTTCTGCGTCTAACCTCCAACCAAAAAACGGTTACGAATATCCTTAGCGGATCAGTATTTTCTTTATTTATTACGGTTAATGCGAAAAATGTTCGTCCAACTTGTTGCGTCAACGTGGTTCACGTGTAGGAAGCACAGTTTTCTGGAGTCATGAAAGCGTGTTATGTTCCGCGGACAGTAGTGGTAGTACAGTCGTTTAAAATTTCCATTTATGTGGCACAGTATCGCACACACGTTGAAGCGCAAATACGCAAATGTCAGTCATACGGCTGAGTAGATCGATGTAGGTATGTGACCGGGTGTGATCAAACAATTTGAAACAGAAAGACGAAAACTTGTACCGCTGGTTGGAATTTCAAATAACTGTTAGTGGATGTACTTACAATGGAGGGCCACCAGGTATGTAAACGTATCGGAGAAATAAAAACGATCGATGATCGGCACCAAGTTTAATCAACACCGCTTTGTGACTCATTCATTTATGTGGCAGTTAAACATAATTTCTTTGTGTTTCAGATGATATCATAGAAGCGTTTTCGTTCAATTATGTGTTGTATTTTTTTAGGTAAGGGCGCTATACGACTTTACAGGAGAATCAGGGACAGCAGAATTGTCTATCACAGCAGGAGAAGTTTTAACTGTCATGAGAGATAATGTGGGTGATGGGTGGTGCGAAGGTTTTAATCAAAGTGGAAAATCTGGATTGTTTCCAGCCGCATACGTTCAAATTGTTGAAACCACAGCATCCGTTTCAAGTATTTTTACCATTTTATCACGCGTAGAAAAAAGTTCTATTTAAGCAAACTTACTTTCTCAAACAATCACCGTATTCAAATTTTTTTCATGCATCAGATGCCATGACATCATCGCAACAGAGTTCTGGAGATTATTGGGATGATGATTGGGACGACGATTCTGAAGTTAGCCAAACCCAGGCTTATGTTCCTTCGCAACAGCAACAACAACAACCACAGCATATGACACAGTTGACTCAACAACATAGTACTATTGATTATGGTGATATAGTTTCTATGCAAACTATTCATTCTGTGATACCCGAAAGGCCTATACCGAATATACCAAAGAAGAATAATAAGTTTTCTACTTTAATAAAATCTGGCGAGGATAGTTTTTTATTAGGAATCAGAATAACAAATGTTCCTGAAAGTGAGAAAGTGTACGTTGAGGAGATCGACGGGGGACATTGTAGATGGGTTCCCAGGGGAGATTCTTACAATTGTGTAGTTACATCTCCCAAAAAGGAATCAAAACTGAAGGGGCTTAAAAGTTTCATAGTTTATCAACTGACGCCTACGGTATTTCTATATATATATATATATATCGGTTTATTTCTTATAATTTTAAGAAATAAATATTATCGTGAATTTGTTTTTATTGCAGTTTAACAACATTCAAGTGTCAAGAAGATATAAACACTTTGATTGGCTACATGAACGTTTGGAAGAAAAATATTGTTTTATTCCTATTCCGCCGTTGCCAGATAAACAAATATCGGGAAGATACGAAGAACAGTTTATCGAACATCGACGTACACAGCTACAAGAGTTCGTCGATTACGTCTGTAGACATCCTGTGTTGGCACGCAGCCGCGTCTGGGAGCATTTTATAACTTGTACAGATGAAAAACGATGGAAAGCCGGCAAGAGACAAGCGGAGAAAGATGAATTATTAGGTGTAAATTATTTTAATGCCATTCAATGTCCCGAAACTCCTTTGGATGCTATAAGAGTGGAAATCCAAATAGATGCTTACAGTAGATTTATAAGCGGATTAGATCCGGTAGTTAAGAATTTCATGGCTATGGCTGTTGACCAAACAAAGAAAAATCAAGTTCTCTACAAGAGGGAATTTCAAAAAATTAGTCAATCTTTTAACGCGTTGAGCCATGCGTTGGAAGGAGACGATAGCAGTCGAGGTAGATTGACTTATGCGTTGAAGATAACGGGCGACGCTTATAACGATATAGGCAAATTGTACGAAGAACAGCCTAAGTTTGATTGGGAACCTCTTGCTGATAAGTTCCATATTTATAGAGGAATTATCAGTAGTTTCCCAGACGTAATCAGTATACATAAGGTAATCGAATGGGAAAATTGAATCCTTTATGCATAAATTTTATTAGGGTGTCCCAAAAAATATTGCGCATTTCGAAATTTTAATTTATCGATTGATATCCACAACAAAGCATAATTCCAAACATGACGATCTATGGGCTTCTACCGTCGTTCTGAAAGCAATCACATTCTTCTGCAATCCTATTCCGATACTACGGACGCAAAACAAGCAGTGACTAAAATACGCAATATTTTGAGACACATTCTAATAATTGATAAAGTATTATGAAAACAGTTACTGACGCATGTATATATTTTCTTGACTTGTTTAGAGTGCCGTGCAAAAAAGGAAAGATTGTGAAAGGTTAGTAAGTGAACATAAAATGGAACCGCAACAAATGCGAGAGCTTTCTCATCGGACGGACATAATAGCGCGAGCTCTTCTTGCCGAAGAAACACATTTTCAAGCAGAACAGGAGATACATATAACCCAAGCCATGAAAACGCATCTTGCTGAGCAAATTACGTTTTATCAGAAAATTGTAGATAAATTACGAGAGGCGTTAAATTCATACGAAGGCTGAAACGCGTGACTATCGTAATTTAAGAAGGCTTTGCACACACGATATCATTTTATATAATCAATAATATCGAAATACGATATTTAGTTTAAAATGTACGAAGTGCATGAAGTGTAACAGAATTTCTATAATAGAAAGAATTTAATACGTGATTTGAACACGAATGCAGACGATTTCGAATGGATTTATATTTAATCATGGATAAGCACAGATCGCAAGAGCAATAACATAAATAAGATCAGAAGGGGCCAATAGTTTGTTTTTAGATGTACCAAAAATCACACGTATATAAAAATATGAAAAATATATTTTCTATTTATAGTATTTTTTTATGTACATTTCAGTTGTACAATCCGGTATTATTTCAGCGACTGAATAAACAGAAAAGAATGGTATTAAACTGGACTGGAAGAGGTGAAGTGTAATTTTCAGAAATCAGATAAGTAACATCAATTAAGCGGTATTATTAATGATGCATAGTAATATATTACATGTTAATTTTTCATGGCTGCTACTTTTAAAAATTTAAAGATCTATTTTGTAACTTTTTTTTTTTTATTATTTTTTTCTATAGATATTTCTCATCATGAATGTTACTTTGATCATTAACTCTTTCCTACAATACAGTTATATACATGTAAATCATTTATAATGCTTTTTACAAGTGATATTAATATGTGCTTGAAATATAAGCTAAATTTTACACGTATTACATCGATATTAAGAACTAAATTCCTATTATCTATAACTCAGCATAAAAGTTTACATTACATTCTATAAGGAACATAAAATTTCTGTTATTTTTTATTAGCGGTTTATATATTATAGTTAAAAAAAAATGTTAGTACCATGTATTAATATGTATCTGCAGATTATAATATTATACGTTATTGTATCATATATATATATATATATATGTATATTTCAGTATGAACACGCTACAAATAATGGTTACAACACAATAGAAATATTTATTGTTTCCCTTATACATAAAAAATCAAGTAAAAATATACTTAAACTATATGAATGTTATACAGATAAATCAATTAGATATATTTATATATAATCACAGAAAACAAATTATTCGATACTTTAGTTTCTATAGAATGTAATGCAAACTATGTCTATAATCAAACTATTCTTGTGCTCAAATTAATCGACCGATTTATGTTGAGAACACCAAGGATTAAGTACCTCGTATGATTCGTGTATTGTTGATCCGTAATATTGTTTTGTAAAGGCAGCCACTGTATATTGATAAATCATTAACATAAAATGTAACAATTTTGTAAATTTCCTATTTAACGTATTTAATTGAATGGGAACCGAATTGTTACAACTACAGATCGCTAGTTAACGAATTATAAATTAAGGCATACCATTGTTACTGCATTTAAAATAATTTGTATAAAAAGGTAGTTTAATTTTAAGCACAAACACATACAATTTTGTAAATGTTATTATCATCATCATCATTATCATTATTTTCGTCAACCGTATTTTCCTTTTTTTTTTTATCATCGAAAAGGAATTCCAATAAATGTGTATTAAATTAAAGTATAATTATTATTTTACTTACTCTTTAATCTACAAGCGTTGTAACACTTCCATTATTTTTAATCTTTCTTACAACGTAACGTAGCTCTCGCAGTTCGTAACAAAAAGTAATTGCACTAATGTAACAAATTGAAAAATTAAATTGATTGTATATATGTGTATATATCTTTTATTCGATCAACATTCTACGAAGTAGCACCTCGTACGAGAAATTGAAAAACTGTTACAACTTCAAAATTGTACCGTTCGATATCGATCTTTTACATCGACCTTTCCATAGTTACAAGCCAGATTTACGAACAAAACATGTTACATTTATTAAGCAATTCGCACTATAAATTTAATTACACCTATTTTCAAATCGATGGTTGTTCAAATTTATGATGAAGTTTACAGAAATTTTATATCTCCGATACTGAAAATAAATCGACAATTTTAACCAATTCTTTAAGAGGTAAGAATATATATATTGGCACTGTAAACTAGATTATCGTATTCTGGTTACTAACAATAAGGTCCGTCGCATAGGTGTGAGAAATTTGTGTAATTATTTTCTAGGAGCTCAAAATCTCCGTATTATATGTAATTTAATAATAAGACATCCGATACTTATCTTCACATGCACAAATTCAAGCATAACAATTGCAACGCTTATGCGATGAGGAAATTACAGTAGGAAGAAGTTGTTCCTGTATTAGTTAATAAATATAGGAGCGTTATACGCTTAATTTATAGGCAACAATTAATGTATTTTAATCAACAGTACATACTCCCTCCCTCGCTCTCTCGCTTTCATACTCGTCCTCTCGCTCCATACATACTCTATCAGTCTGGCGTTTATATTGTTTTTCCGATTTAAGACTGCAAGTAACGAGTCGTTTTCATTGCTATTTAAAATCAGCTTATCTTTACATCACATTTGCAATGTTTCTGCCGATATGTTTATTCGCGTGGCACTGTCTCTTTTTTTTTCTTTTTTTTTGCTTTTAAATACAAGCTAAGCTCCTTTTACTTCCTTTTAGAATTTTAAATTACAAGCTAGTCGATAACGCACGAACGTTGGCATAAAAAAATGTTTTTCAAAGAACCCTTCTTATTAGATGACACGATGCTGGCAATGAGAAAAATGTAATAATTTCTCTTCTTTTTTGTAATTCATTTCGCTGTACGAATACAGGAAAGTACATTGGAAATGATAAAAAGAAATCGGAAAGTATCGTTTGCGTTAAGTAGCAATTAGTAATATAAATTTTTGCTTAATGCAGTTATCATCCGTGTAATTTTTACAGGCAATATTTTCTTTTATATTTTCCATTTTTTAATGTTCCATCATCGTGTCATCCGAGGCACTTTAGAATACATTATACTGCACAATGAAAGACCTTTTATCAATTTAACTTGAATTAATTTCGATACTAAAATATTTTTGACAGGAATAAATGATGATCATTGCATTGTTTGTATCCATAATTTTCTTTGTATGTGTTTTTCGCGCTAAATTCATATTTGTTTGAATAACTTTAGTAGCTACCTTATAGTTAATATAATTATTATCAATTTCAAAATTATTTTTATAGTGTTATACGAATCCATTAAAGTTCTTTTATATTATTTTTACTATACGAATAGTGCCCGGTACACGGACGGATGTCTAATATGATAGTTCAAAGTGATTATCATATTTATAGTTTATAAAGTTAAAGAGAAAGAGATAGTAGTTTATGATAAAAAGAGTGCCCGCTCGATAAACAGCAATAATTCTCTCTACGTGAGTACGCAACACATGATTTTTAAATCCATCAAGTATAATTTAGATTTATTTCAAAGCACGTTTCAAAGAACACGAAAAACATTAAATTTTTTTAAATACAATTTGGCGCATCAATACACAACGCACGTTTTTCTTTGCGTATATAATACAGCATTTAAATTTAAGTAAAAATATCCTGAACATTAAAACCGATCATTGCAATAAATTATTTTACGCATTCCAATTAAGATATTCCATTTTAATAAAAATTCTCAACATTCGTCGTTATTATTAATATTGATTTACTATTGAGTATAACCATAATAACATCATTATCACAAGATCATGGTATTATTGCACTTGATTGCAATCATTTATAAAAAAATAAAGTAATACCACTGTGTACTAAAAGTATTCTTGAACCTTTCGTTGAAGTATTTGTTACAATTCAAATACTGAGTACTGCGTACGATTAATCGATTTTTTTCCATATCATAATGAGATACAAATATAAATAGCTAGATTATATTTCAACCTTTTGGAACTTATACGACGATACCATTATATCGTCGGCGTATAAAGAAATATTTAATACAAAAATATTTATATAAAGTTTCTCGCGATATATCGATGGCGTTTAATTTATACATAAATGTGACGTATATAAATAACATGTACATTTTTGTTGCAACGCAGGTTCGAATACGAATAATTAATTCTTAACTAGCCCAATATCAAGTTTGTGCTTTACACATTATTTTTTTAAACGCGTCAATTTTGCTTTACGTATCAATTTACGAAATTTGATTTTCGTATTGTCGAAAGAGACGAAGAGAAAATGTAATAAAAATTCATGAAAAGTGGAAACAGATAAAACTTGACACTATATAATTTGCTTTTTATATTTGCATCTTGCAAACAGACATGTGAGGAATCGTGTATGCATTATGTACACTTTCCTTGAAGTTTCGGTGCAACATATTGATAGAAATATCGGTAGAGCAATATACTTGTACGTGTACATACATTAAATCTAGTTTAATAGATCTGATTTAGAGTTCTTAGAAATATACTAATATCACTATGTAACAGAAGGAGTATACTGTGTACACAATGTACATTTTGTAATACAGTGCACTGTACATGGTTTGCTATAAAAACACTCGAGTCTAATTAGGTCATTGAATCAAAAGTGTATTTTAGTTCTCGGTGAAACGTGAAAAAAAAATATATTAATAGAAATCAGATCTTATACAGTTTTGCAACGCGATTCCGTGCGACAAGATCCCTCGTTTATTGAGAGTAAGCCGTGTTACAAAACATCGCTAAGTTTGTCTTTTCCTTCGTATTTCTCCAAATGCTAATTAAAAAAATGTTATTATACCGCCGCACCGATTACTCGGGAGCAGTGATGGGACTAATACAGTATCGATACTATCGATACCAGATAATGAAGTATTAGTTACTGTATAAATTGAGTAGATATCGATATTATCGTGAATAAATTCAATTGCAAACAGATAGAATTATTATACAACTTATTACCAGAAATTTTTCTTTATTCTTTTCGACATCCACGCATTGACAACGAAGTTGAGGGCAAACTCTAGTTTTTTTTTATATATTTTGAATGAATAATATCGATACTTGCTCCGTATTATACAATATTGGCATTGGTCAGTATTCGTTTCAAAAGTATCGGTATTGAAAGTTACTACCGAGTACCTGAGATTTTTATACCGTTCGATACTTCCCATTAAGTACTTTGGTATCGAATTGCTCGAATATTATCAATATACGTCGTATCAGTCCCGTTGCTACTCGAAAAGGTATCGGACTAAAAGTTGCATCGATTTATGGAATTTAAAACATATTTGCCAGGATACAATAAGACTTTAAGTCGCAAAAAATCATCTAAACAACCACTATTCATTACTCCAGACTTTATAAAAGATAAAAACTTGTCGTTGTACTGTTCACATTAGTTTTTACACATTTACTTAGATTTGATCCAGCAAGATTCTGTTTGTTAACAGTTTTATGAGATTTCGCATAGCTTTATCTAAATACGTAACTATACATCTCACTTGATCAAATCAATATTACAGTAACGCACATTTAACTTTCCTAAGATTTGGGATCCAACAATGAATGTTACATGTAAAGGATAGCGTATTTTTTGTAGAACCGAACCCGAACATTGACAAAGAATGAGAACGAGTAAAACTGTGCAATTAACAGAATTACAGAAACTACAAATCAATTATGTATATTAATATTATATATGTTAAGTTAGCTAAAAGTAATCTAATTTATGTGGTGTTTGAATTTGTTTCAATCGAAAGAGTTTCAGAAATGCATTGGTATCATTTTTAAAAAGGTAAAGACGAAAAACAGAAAATACAAACTTGTCTTATTGCATGATTATTAATCTTCTTACGGCATCACTTTGTACCGCGCATGCGCTTCTTCCTTTCGTTTCACCAATTCTCTTTGCTTTGTTGCTAGATCAGGTTTTGTTGAGCTCGAGACGCCGAGTGGAAAGGATCGGGATGGAATGAATCGTGGAAAGTTTACTGCGTAGATTTCAGTGACAGTTAATTGTGCATTACTGTATTAACATATCGCATAAAATTCTATCGATAGCTACGAATTCGTTTTCTATTGTTAATATGTACCAACACAGTAAAGATCTATTTATAATTGTTCGAATAGAGCCTGCAAACCGAAGGGGAGCGACAGAACGAAAAAGACTCGGAAAATCGCCTTATATCGTGCGGGCCGTTATATAGTTTGTAATGTACATAATTTAGTGGTGACCGTGTCACAGGTGACCACGTATAAAGCAGATTAGCTGGAAATCTATACAAACTCCTGCCCAGATTAAATAATATTGGCAAGAGGATAAACGCCATTCAACGGCTTCGATATTTGTTCATAGACGAAAATTTAGCAGCGTAACTCAGCTCTTTTTATACTTCCTTTGCTTTCTAAGATACGATACATTCGTTTGAAAGAGAGTAGACAGAGCGGTGCGTGTGCTACCCCACAGCTTGAAGCGTTTGTTGCGCAAGTATAATGGTGAATTTGGAGTGATTGGAATGGGGAGAGGATTTGAGGCCACCGAGCTTGATACGGATATCGGTGACTCAAGTATTTGCTTCAATTGAGGTTGGTCTGAGGCTCCACTGATCTGGGTTGATGACTGGGGTTCGATTGCGATTGATCGAGGTATGGCGTGGGGTTGCCGCTGGAGGGGCCTGTTGACCCTGGGCCCTGCTGCTGTTGGCCGCTGTTGAGTGTCAGCCGTTGCATTTGACGTATGACCGTGGTTGCGTGGAAGGCTTGCTGCAACCATGAGAGAAGAGGAAGACTTTCCTACGGAGCCTGGCGAGCAAACACATACAATCAGCAGCTTGATAATTATCTAACCATACTAACCTTCCACCTTGATTTGGCGAAATTCTTTCTAAGTTGTTCCGATACAGTACCGTGGATATTTTTATTGCTAGCCGCGTTGCCGGAAATCCTGGAAAAACCAATTACACAATACTGTATTAAAAGTGAATAAATAATATAGAATATATGCTTAGTCATTGAATACGTTAAGAAAGCAGCCTGGTAATCTCGAATAAATACATGCATCTTTTTTTGTATTTTCTTGGAGATTATAATAGAATTCGTAAAAATAGTAATGTCATTCGAGGAAACAAAAAGTATCTCGTTAAACTAAATTGAATGAGCTATGTACCTACTAATTTCTATTGCGATATAATTCGCGTAAAATCGAAAATAGCAATGAAACAGCAATATTTGGCCCAAAATACCAGACTGCCCCCTTAACCCTCTCGTGCACATGACCTTCACACAGAGCGCCAAATTTCTTAAGAACAAAGCCTCGTTTATTTTCATGGATACATACTGTTCTGTGATGCCAAATATCGATTGAAATATAAACTGTTATGCAAACACAAATTATGCACACGAGAGGGTTAATTATTTTTATGTATTTATGTGTTTATCAGTCTTTGTGTTAAGAGATTAAACTTTTATCGAAAAAGATCATTAACAATTTTTATGAAGGGTTATTTAATTTTTAATTTGCAATATGTTCTTGATTACTGTGCATAGCTGGGAATTATACGAATCTTGAGATGTGTTAAATTAATGAATGACAAAATAAATATAATTCTCTTACTTACTTAATCCACATCTATCTTAACATTAAAGGCAATTCTGTTCCTGTAATATTCTTACTACGTACTTGAATACTTTAAAACATGACTTTTCAATTGTTCAGAGCCATAAATATGCTCTATAAATTTTATTGAATAATTGCTAATTCTATGATTTTGTTATTAGATAATTTTATATAATTGCAAGTACAGTCGTACCCTGAATTTTCATAAGTTAAATCGTATATTAACATTGTATCAGATTAAGAGAAAGGTTCATTTTTTAGTAAAAGCGACTAGGGAGATCAAATTTAGCTATATTTATATTTACAAAGTATATAAAATGAAGTACGTGAAAAAAACGTCTATCGTGTCGCTACTAGAAACAACATAAATACGAAACTACGTAAGTCGATGAAACATAAATCGGGGTATGACTGTAACAAAAAAATGATATGTAATATATTAGAGTAACGATAATCTTACCAGGGATGCGCAAGGGCTTGTGTACAAGTATAGCGCTCTTTAACATTGACACACATCAACTTGTGAATGAAATCCTTTGCTGAGTCACTGATATCGTCCCAGTACGGCGAATCAAATTCAAATTCACCTATAACAGTCTGGTTAGCTCTTTGCTATAGAGTAGACGACTTTATTATGAAGTATTTCGTTTAAATCAAATATTTTATTTGGAAGAAATACTGTTAGCTTCACACTTTGTACAATAAATTCAATTTTTTTATGACTCACTTTAAACCCTTCTCGATAATCGTTGCTTCAATTGTACGACAGTAATACTGTGACCGAATTTGTAGTGCTAGTTTTTGAAAAGGAACAGCTAATAGCTTTTTACAAGAAACGCGGACGCGCACAAAATATCATTTACTTACTACACTAGCATGTATACAGCAGCATACAAAAACTAGAATAGTACCTTAAAAATGAAAATTTCAAGTTAATGTACAGCTGCATGTGCTTGTCGATCCTAAAAGTAGTAACTAAATTGAAGTGATAGTATGGTCCTTCCAAATGCCAAAAACTTGCACTCAAAAGTAATATTATTACCTTTCATTATTTGTGCAAACAGATTGGCGTCGTTTTCGTCGTAAAACGGTGGATATCCACACAGCAGGATATAAGAAATGACCCCTATGCTCCAAACATCGATAGCCTTCCCATACGGCTTTTGCGCTAAGACTTCTGGAGCTGTGTACACACATAATACATTTTTAAATCTTTTAGGAAAACAACAAAAATTGGACTAGGTAAAAGTACGCAATTCAATGTAATGATAAATAAGATAATTAGAATTTATAAACATACCAACATATCCGGGAGTACCACAAGCAGTTGCCATTATACCAGAATCCTCCATTTTTGACAGACCAAAATCACTAATCATAATCTTACTATCTTCGTCTGGACTATAATATAAAAGATTTTCAGGTTTAAGATCTCTGTGCACAACACCCTGTTCGTGCATATAGTGCACAGCTTCAAGGACTTGTCTTATTAATCCTGATGCATCTTTTTCTGTATAGGAACCTTTCTCAACAATTCTATCAAAGAGTTCTCCGCCAGTTACCCTAATACAAACAAATAAATGTATGTAATACCATAAATTGCACATTTATCATTTTTAATCTTGCATCTAATCCTTTTAGGACCGTTGCCCGGTATTATATAAAGTACTTACAATTCCATAACTAAATAAACTTTGTGTTTGTCCTCAAATGTTTCCAGCAGTTGTACAATATTTGGATGTGATAACCTGGTAGAGAACAGATATTGTATAATAAATTTTCAACAGGTACAAATTATTATACTATTTACCTTCTTAACACTTTGATTTCATTTTCTAAAGAGTCTTCTTTTCCCTTCAATGCTTTCTTGTCGGTGATTTTCACAGCATACATTTGACCAGGTTTCTCTTTACTTTCTGCCAAATGTACTTCAGAGAAAGCACCCCTATAGAAAATATTGTGTATTTAGATCAAGTTATACTTTTGTCCGAATATATGCAGCAGATATATATTACTTTAAAGCATTTGTAAGAAAATATCAGACATTCGTAAGGAATAGGAGTAGAATACATATAATAAGGTAATGAGGCTTATGCAATTACTCATTATTGCAATATGCTGTAACATTTATGCCCAAACTTTTGATTCAATAATGGACTGAGTATAATTAACTCTGACATATTCTTATGCAAATGTTTTCACAAGGCAACAGATCCATTAATATTCACGATACAGTAAATGTGTGGCTTAAATAAAAAAAATAATTTAAACAATTTAATAAAATATATAAAACATTATTCTTGATATTGTGAAATACATGTACAATAGTATGTACATTTATTAATTGTATTTATTCTTATATAAAATAATTTATCAATTATCATAAATTAAGATATATATATATATATACGTGTATAGTATTATATATATATTTTTCTTTAATATATATATATGTGTATAGAAGGAACCAAGGAAGTTATACAATAAGTACTTCTTATTGACAGTAAGTACTTTTTCATTTCGTATTTTTCAACACAAGATGAAATAAAATTATTTGTTGAAAATACAATTTTCGTATGTATATGAATTACCGATTCTGTACGGATCAGAAAAAATATGATAGAACATTTGTCATAAACGTCGAGATATTTTAAATGTAAAACATTTTCGAAACGATAGAATTCGTAAAAAAAAATTTAAAATTCGAATTAAACGAGGAATTATATCTATTCGAAGCCTATATAGAGTCAAAGTATTTACACTGCATTCAAGCAACAAATTCCCCAATATTTCGAGATGTGTGCGTATTATCGGATGGTCTTCGGTAAAATACAATTAAATGTGCAGACAAATTAAACAAGTTGAAACGTACAGGATGACAGAAAACGAAAATGAAAATAATGTTAAAAAGTTGGAAAGTGTGAATACATTAAACCATTTATATAAGCGTGTTTGATAACGTTAAAGAAAATGGTACATTGACAATGTTGCGTATAAATTTTAACAATAAGCAATATTTAGTCTTCGATACGAAAAATTCGTTGCAACATTTTAATCGTTATTGGCCGCGATATTCGATCGATTCCTTAAAAATTTCTAAATATGCGATGCAAGCAACACGCATTCAAGAATTCCAAGCAAACCATGTTCTATTACTTTCCAATACGCAGTCCGTATCGATATATAATACGTACGTTCCGAGCAACTCCTTCAGGATATATTTGTCCTCGACGGACGGCGACTTATCGTCTTTTCCATCCTTTTTGATCTTCTTGCTCGAATCCTTTTTACCGAAGAGCGGCATTTTTCGAGGTTTGATATTGCAAAAAATTATTAACAATCACACCACTTTCCGACTCTCTAAACGTGTTTTCTGTGGCTGCGTGAGCGACCGATCCTGACAGGTTATGCGTACGTCGAACGAAGATCGCCAGAACGAAAGTTCTTGGTCCGTCTTGCTTATGAGTTTCCGATCATTCGGCGACGAAAAAATAAGGGGGAAAAGACCGTCGTCAAACGCCTCGTAAAATCATCGTTTCGAGGCGCTGAATGATCATGAACTCTCAACCTTTACACACAGTAAACGATAGCGGACACCCGTGTGCACCACACGATGCTCCACTTTGCTTATCCGTGGACCGAGTTTGACACGTATTTGTTCCGCGCACTATTCCGCTACCGAAACGCTCTATTCCCCGTCGCGCGTATCGGGCTCAGGGTCGCGGCCTCGCGCCCTCGCGGTACTGCTAGTACCACAAGTACTCTCTGCTACAACCAATATGTATAGCACTATGTAGACAGATAGCTCTAACGTGTACGCGTATCGGTTCTACTCCGTTTTATCGTTATCGTGATATTCCGTTTTGTCGTTCGTGATAAACGCATGCTAATATTCGGACGGATCATAATATTTTGTGACGAATACACTGACGCTTCTGGAATTCGCCGTCAGATGGCTATCAATTCGTGGCTGATTCTCGCAACTTGTGCAATTGCACTTACCTATACCTAGTGATGGGATTCGAAATGTTTTAAATCCTATTACCTATTCCATTTAGAGTGTGGCTTCCCGCGTCTGGATATCGATTAAAAAAAATCCGAATTTATAATCGAAGCGTAAACAGAAATTAATTTACGAACGAATCTAAAGTTTGTATTAATATTCGTGAATAAAATTTACCTAACTCTGACTTTATTGTTTGAACGCTTCCGCGTCGGACGTGACGTGTTTTCAGCGCGTGCGCGTAGAAAATGGCATCCGAAGTGCCTTAGGGCCAGTGTTGGGCAGAATATAATTTAATTACATTTGCCACAATAAAATGATATATAATCATATGATATTTGGGACGAAATCGGGTTAGACGTTCGTAAGAAACAGTTTATGCTTGTAAGTATTCTAAACAGCCGTTCGGTTTCACTTTTAATCGTTCACGCTTGCTCATCGTAATGCTCGTTTGTTTTGAGGCTATGAGCAATTGCGAACGCGTCAAAATAGGAACTATACAAGGAAAAATAATGCAAAGAGGACATGATTTGTAACAACTCTGCAATATAATTTAAGATGTGGCAACTGAAAGAATCGATTTAGGAAACTGCCCATTAATTGCCCTGTTGAAAGGAACTTGTTCGTCTCTTACTCTTTTGGCCCGGCAGCTTGGAACCCAAGCCTTAGATCAGTCTAGCCAAATCATAATTATACATATAATATACCGGACGTTTCGTGAAATGCGTTGAATACGATATTGAAAAGAGATAACACTAGAATCTCGCTATCCTTCTCTATGAGTGCATTTGGTGGGAGAAAGATACGTGATGCGAATATTTAGGCAACAGTAAGAAGAAAGGGGTGATAAAGGTCACCCCTTTCTTCCTACTATCCCCACCATCGCTACCGTGCGACAGAAAACGCATGTCTGCAGCAGTATTTCTATCCTTCAATGTCGTCTTCAATGTCCGCATAAGAGCACTTGTTCTACGCTTGTATTTAACAAAAAGAGTGCAAGATCTTCGGGACGCCGATTAAATTTTACTAATCAGGTACTAAATACAAAATAATGTATTTAGTACTCGATGATGCATCGAATACAAGTTACACAAATAGTTAATATTCGAAAGCATGGATGAATATAAAAGAATACAATATTAGGTTGCTCGTCGCTTATTCTAAGCACTAAAAAAACATATATTTGGTATTTTAAATGTATTTCAATTACAACATCGTTCGAATGTGCTTAAATCCTGTTTGGACACGCGTTATTTTTATCCCAGTCAGCTGATTATGCGATTGCACATATACACTTGCATACGGGCACCTATGTCTATGATGCTCAACACATAAAAACTTGAACTGCTTATATCTCGAAAATGAAGTTTTGAATTACAAAATGGCAAAAGACTTAACTATAGAACGAATCGAATTACCTTTCTTTTTTCTGCATTCTCTAATTCAAATTCCAAACCAGAATTATATCATAGACCAGAATTAACATCACAGATGAGGTATATAATAGATCCAGTGAAATTCATTTGTATCTACTAGCTCATTAATCATTTAAGAGTTATTATGTACCAAAATAAAGCCAAATATTCATTTTTCTTCAATTGGATGCTAAATCTATTCTACGTCTCGTCTGTGTCCAAATATTCGTTTCAATTTATAGATATTAATCGTTCGATTCGTTATCCCTTTCCCGCTGCTTTTCTCTCATGATACTGTAGAATTCGAATCGATATGTTGATGATAATGCAGCGAAGCGCAGTATGCCGCAACAGCGGTTCTCAAATGTTCCTTCTTTGTCAAATCATTTTGTGAGATTTTTCGATATTTTACTCTTATAAGATACGTAATCTAATAAATACGTACAAAAATGATTGTTTCCTTCAATTTTATGTTTAAAGGTTTTTCTGTCGAATCGAAAATTGTCGAGCAAACAAAACCACATGATTTGTGATAGAATCAACATGGCGGAATGATGTGTCTCGAGTAGATATAAATTGAATAAAAATTATACAAATCGTTGTTTACGTATGATAATTGCAGTTTTGTAGCGAAAGAATCGATAAGATATATTGCTGGTCTAAGGACTAGCGGACTAATGAAATTCTATTTTATATGATTTTGTTTATCCATGATTTTTTTCTTGCTGAACAAAATGTAGACTCTTTACGTCTTGTATCAGTGGTTCTTACCATTCTTATTCATCATACCATTTTTGCGCGATTATTAAGAACCACTGTCCTATTCCACTTGTAACTGTTTTGGCGGTAGTTCTACATGCAATTATTTAAATTAGTTGATAGTTAGTAGATTATAATAAATTTAATAAATGCCAATGTTTTACTAATCTTAAAAGTAACTAGATTTTAAATAGTGATTACTTCGTTTTAAAATTTTGTTTTATCTTTGTGATAGAAATTTAAAAAAAAAATGGTTTATACCCAACAACACAAAATACTTCTGCAAACTATCATGCACGAAGGTCTTTTGGATGAAAACACAGCAAAAAATTTGATTATTAAATTATTTAGTAAGTCTATTTTTCTTCTGTATTCAATTTAATATAGACATTTTGTTTTGTACGCATATTTTGTGAATAAAATTCGGCATTTCAGACGATGATAAAATATCGGTAATTATGAATCAGATAAATGAACAGTTACAGCCATTAAACATGTTAATAAAAAAAGCTCAGTGTGAAATTACAGGCCAGCTACATTGGGTTTTAATAAATACTGTACTTGATGATGTTATTAGGTATATGTTTTTAATTTTATTAACACGATAATAACATTAAAAGAATGCTTGTTGAAGTTCACTGAAGTTCCTTTCGAATGTTGATTATTACAGCTTTCAGGATGAGTTTTCAAAAGCACAGTTAACCTTGCTTAGAAACATATTTTCTGAAATTATAACATCAAGTAATGGATGTGTTCAAAGTACATTGTGTCTGAATTTATGTTCTTTGCCAGATGTTAAATTATCAAAAGCAGAAGCAGAGGAATTTCTAAATGATATAGTTAATAGGAAATGGTTGGTTTACGAGGTAAATAACACGATTAAAATTTATATTGTAATTTATCCGTAATTTATTTTTATTTTATTTACAGAATGGCCATTACTATATGGGTGTAAGAAGTATAACAGAATTAATGCCATATTTTAGAGCTACTTATGATAGTAACTTAGGTACCTGTTGCCTCTGTAAGCAAGTTATTTTTCATGTAAGTTTTAAAGAGAAAACTTATAAATTATATATAAACATAACTATTAATACCGTTTTTCTTCTAATTAGGGTGAAAAATGTAATCACTGTGAGAGTTTGTTACATTTATATTGTTTAAAACGATTTGCTATGGTACACAACCCTGTGAAGTGTCCCAATTGCAATACAGTGTTTTCTGATTTTAATGTCTCTGGTAATTTATGTACCTACTTTAATGTATTATTCAAAATTAATTTATTACAGTATAATTAATATCTTTCTTTTTTTTTCATTAAATATAATATAGGTATAACAATTAATTCGTTGGAATTGGCAGATGAAAATACGAAAGAAGTAAAGAAAACTAATAAAATGTTTTGAAAAGTAAAAACCATTAACATGTAGAAATAAAATGTTTTTTTTTATTATTTAGTACATATTATTTTGTTTTATATAAATATTTACAGTATCCAGTACAATGTACTTAATCTTTTGTACTTTGTCATTTACATGGAAGGTAAAAGTATTCCTTTTAAGCGTAGGTGCATAAAAATGTTATTTACAAATATGTACAGTACAGTACAATGAGGGCGTCATTCTTTTTTTTAAATATTCCGTCTTTCTTCAAATTTTTCTCTTAAATATCGAAGCCCGGCTGCAATACTCGCCTCGTCTATACTTCTATTCGGGTTCGTTTGATTTTGCAGCGTATTATTAGAAACGGTACTTGCACTGTTAGACGAACAATGAGTCGCATCGACCGTTTGAGGGCAATTAAATTGGCTGTCATTTTCTTCGATTATGTTATTTGTATTATCGTCGGTATTAAAATCATTTCTTGTCAAAGTAGGAGGAAGCGGTATATCGTAAGAATTTATATCTGTTTCAGTATTATTTTGTATTTCATTTTGAACGTTCGTTTCGTTCAACTCAAGTTTAGTAGATGCGTCGGTATTTTCAGAATTTAAATAGTTAGTCCCCATATAACCAGCGCTTTTAAAATTATCATACGCGGGCCCGAATTCGTTATCTCTAATTTTTCTACATTTAGCTACCCATTCTTCCTGTGACATTTCGTGCCAATGATTTCGTTTACCTAAAAGTTCTCCTAAAGCTTTTATTTTATTTTCTTTTTCTACTACTGTGTCCTCTTTGTTATTCAGCTTTTCATTGCTACCTTCTTCAATTTCAGTTGACTTTTGCTCCGTAGTACTTTCATTAGATACCTCCAATGTCTTTACATTTGATTCATTGTTATCCTTTTCCTCAAGTTCTTCTTCCGATTCTATTGGCAGCCCAGCTCTAATTCGTTGCCTGATTCTAGCTGCTTTCAATCTATTCTGTTCCATTTTTGCTCTTAATTCTTTTAATTCTTTTATTTCCTTCTGTTTTTGTTCAGTTTCTTTTCTTAACTTGATCAAATTTTCTTGTTGCTTAATTCTTTGTTCTTCATCTTGTGAGAATGCAAAGTAACCAACACCATGAGCTCTAGCTTCATCAAATAAGACATCCTGATAATGTATGTTCACTTTATCCGCCAATTTTGCAGTTTGTTCTTCCCACTTCCTTCTCATAATTTCGATTTCAGGCTCTTTCTCATCATGTATTAAGTTCTGTTCTGCATCAGTTTTCACGTCAATGCCTTTCTTGCTTATAATTTGTTGTTTTATTAATTTATCTTTTTCTTGCATAAGGGGTAAGTCTTCTATCAAACATTTCCTTGTACGACCAAAGCAATCTTCATATTCCACCCAATCATCCTCATTCCCTAATGTCGCATCATCCTCATTCTCTAATGTCACATCATCTTCTTGATCTTTCGGCAATGATTCTCCATCAGAATCGTCTGATTTATTCATAAAATCGACAAGGAAATTTTCATTATTGTGTTTTGATTTTTTTAATCGTTCATATAATCTTGATTTTGCTTCTAGCATTAGCTTAGATTTTTTATGGGTACTAACATCTTCGATATATTCAGATTTATCCGAAGACTCTTTGGTATCCTTTTCTTTACTTTTTTTCAGTTTTTTCTTAATCTTTGGTACAGCATGACTCGTTTGAGACCTTAACTTTGCCTCATTTACTTCTGTCTGTTTCCTTAAAAGTTCAGCTTTTAAACCTACCAGCGACGAAAAATTTACATTGATCTTTTTGCTGGTATTCATCGTGAAACAATTTGTAAAAAATTCTATCGTCAGTAAACAATAGCAAACTGACCGAATTATACAGAGAAAACGAAGGTCAAGAACGTTTACTGTTTCGATGATCAAAGTATTACAATTTTTCAGTATTTAATTTTATCATCACCGCAGTACCTGTTGTAATGTATAATCGCTTTATTAAATATTAAATATAGTAATAATTAAAACAATTGTAGGTTATGTAATATTAATAATTTACCTTTAGAACATTTTTAAGTATTAAGTACGTCACAGCATATTTTAAAATAATTTATTTTAATATTACTTTAAATAATCATATAATCATGTCTTTCGATAGTACTTGCAACAAGCGATTTGCATAACTTTTGTTTACGCGCATGCTACATGAATGACAGTTACAACATTGATATAGGAAATGTATTGGCTCGATAAGCTTTATCGTGATTCGAACGATAAAGAACAAAACTTGAGCAAAAATGTTTATAAAAATGAATCTACGTTTTGCATTTAATAACATTTACAGCCACAACGTATATATTTTTACGAACACTAAACGTGTATGTATAAATAAACAAGTTTAATTTTGCTCTGATGAGGGTAAAATTAACTTCAATTTCAAAGAAGAAACGTTATTTTTAAGTGAAGTTTATTTGAAACACTAATCGTATACATATCTTCATTGTTAATATATCTGTTCTTATTTACATTAGCAATAATTTTTATAACGAACAAATAGTTAATTATTCAATTAGTAGCTAGAACACAGTACCTCCTACCATAGGGGTAGTAGATACATTTAATTTCGATTCCTTACATATTTTATACAAAATAAGTACGACGTTCAGAAATTTTGTTAGATCACGTCCTCAATGATAACATTAGCTGTTAAAATTGCAAATAGTAATATTTATAAATGGCCTATCAATGAACAATTTAAGTAATATGCATTCGGTATCTGTTCCACAAGCATTACGTAGTGCATACATATTGTATCGAATACATCAATATACTAATTAATTATACAGACATTTTATCGAAGAAACATTTTCGAAATAAATGAAAAGTATGCCACGATTTCATTTGTACAGTTTCCTGTAATGTTTGAAGAACGAATCTTCCGACGTTTGCATTAATTATAAAGGGTGGAAAACGAGAGTCCTTAGGCTCAATTCTTAAGCGATCTAAAGATATTGCGCAGAAACAAATGACTTATCTGTGGATAAATCGAAAAATGTACTTATGTACATCCGGTATCTCTTCGTAAATGTCGAATGGCCATCGCGTCGAATACTTGCATCAATATAGAACTATATTATATAGAAAATTTTGTAGATCTCGTTGTTTAAACAACACAGGGTAATGATGAAAAATATGAATTCTTTAATAATTAATTTTGGAAAATATTCAAATAACGGATTTACCAAAGGGGCGTATTAATTACAAAAAGGTGCAAAACTGTAGTCCTTAGGCTCGATTCTTAAGTGATGTGAAGAAATTCCGTAAAAAAGAATTCACTTCGTTAATTTCGGCCTTGCAGAGTACGTAATGCGTACGTTTAATTAGGCGTTTAGCATTCTCATTAGATTTAATGAATCGGTTAATATCTCTGTATCATTTGTAAATCCGTAAATCGATTGTCGATTATTAAACCTATTTTGAACTCAAGATTGCCGATTTGCTACTATGTTAGTCATGTAATTTACGAACACCAGGAACCGTAGCACATTGGACACCGGTTAGCTATCGAGAGCAAATACGTGCGGCGTAGTGACTGGTTTGTTGTTGCTGAAACTCGTGAGATACACGAAATTAATTGTTGGACTTCGTCAGTTGTGTTTAGAAGTGGTTTTTTAATTTGTACGATTGCAATGGCACGCCGTAAAAATGCGAAACACGCCGATGCAGAGGTTGTAGAGAAAATCGCCGAAGCCGCCGGCGATGCGTCGCCCCCGAAAAGAAAAAAAACCACGGTGAAAACGACAAATAAAAGTGACGAGGAGAAACAAATTAGATTGCCAAGAGCGGCGAAATCAGCGAAAACCGAGCAGATTGAAACCACGGACATGACTTCTACCGTAAATAAGAACGCAAAGCCGAGAACCAAGACAGCAGCTTCCAAAAATGCTTCGGTGCCTGCAAAAACAAATTCAAAAACTAAATCCGTGGCGACGAAGAAGAATAAAGAAGCAGAGGAAAAAGCTGATCCGAACGCAGAAACGTTAAAAAATTCCGAAGATACCGAGGTGAAAAAGACTCGCACAAAGGCTGCGACGAAAAAGGCGGGAATGGAAGTCGACGAAGAGCGTACGTTTTCGAGCATTATTTTTCCACTTCAATATTGCTCTTAGCATCGAATAATTTGTAGTTAACATTGTTTTCTTACTTTTTACGATTTTATCGGTTATTTTATTTTACAATAACGTAATAAAATATTTATTACTCGTTGGAAACGTGCAATTATATTTTGTAACGTTTAACCGTTTTTATAAGTGCTGAACACGAGAATTTCCTTGAAAATTTTGTAGTATTTTATTTTGTAAATTGTTAGAATATATGTTTATTGTATATTAATTGAAAAAACTGATTATATGTTAATAATAGCCAAAGGAAAGCCCAAAGCAAGAGCCAAGAAAGGTGCTAATGAAAACATGGATGCAGAAGTACCGACCGTGAAGAAAAGAAAGCAAGCAAATGCCGAAGCAACACCAAAGGAAAATAAATCAAAGGCACGGGTGATGAAGAAGAAAAATGAAGCAGATGGTAATGCAAAAGGTAAGGTCGTTGATAAAAACAAAATTTTTAATGGTAATAAGACTGAAAATGATATTAATAAAACAGAAGAGTCGGCTAAAGCTGTGAAAGCAACGAAAAAAACAAACGATGATAAAAGTACAAATCCTACTGGAAGAAAAACAAGAGGTCGTAAAAATGAAGCTAGTCCAGAGGAATCCAAAGATGACGAAGAGTCGAAAGTAGTGGGAGAATCATTTTCTGTAGAACTAGTACAAGCTAGCAATAACGAAAATGAAGATGTAGAAAATAATCGTTCAGAGGGAATGGAATCGGCTCAAATGTCAAAAAAGGGAAAGAATGTAAAGAAGAAGGAAGAAACTGTACCGCCAAAGAGAGCTGCCAAGGCTCGCGGTAAAGCTGTTAATCGCAATGCGGACAGCGTCGCTGTCGAAGATGATGTAGATGCAGCGAAATCAGATGTCAGTGACAAAGGAGAAGATTCTGATGCTGAAGACACAATTATAATTAAGACTGAAGTAAATGAAAACAATGTAATAAGTACATCAGTACATGAAGAAGAAAATTAACATTAATGTTTTATTTTTATTTTACATGTTTCTTGAAATAATATATCATTAATATTTTAATATATTTCATAAGACAAATGTATTAATGAGTATTTCCATGTCAGGGAATACTGAAAGAAATACATATTGTAAAAATTCAGTAATATACTTCAGTTACATATCGTTTCGAAAATAGTTATTTGTGTTTTACATGATATAGTTAAAAATCACACTTGTTATAATGAAAACTTATACTTAATAGGATTGTTGTATTTAAAGCAGTTACTTGTATTTTGAATTTCAGGTAAGAGAACATGGATATTGTAGGGTGAACAACATAAGAGCATTCCATCAGTTTTTGACAGTTTAAATTGTTTTTAATATTAGAATGCCAGGTGTTTCTCGATGGTATATCGGAAACAGATATTTGTCGAACAAGATTCGTTTCATTTAAAAGTATAAGTAAAAAAAAAGTTATAAAGTATTTAAATAAGAAAAGAATGTGATATAATAAAGCATACTTTTTAATATTATAACGCACTAAATTGATGTACACTGTTATTATAGGATTAATGCCCCATTGTTGTTTCCAATATCTCATTACATTTATATCATTGTATAGTTATTGGACAAATATTTTTAAGTAATTTCGAAAAATGTTTGAAAGTGACAAAAAACGAATGATTGGATTTTATATCAATTTAGTTAAAGTTTGAATAAATATTTATATCAAGATTGATTATCAGTAATATTTCATCATTTTTTCTTTTTTTAATCTTTCAAGGTTGTTGATTAAACGAAACTCTATTTTGTTTCAATTTTGGACCCAATTGTGAAGTATTCTTAAATGCTTTGATAATTCAGTTATTAATATCAGGAACCGTAATTTAGACTAATTTTTAAGAAAGTTTTTATCTTAAGTAGTAGTATATGTACGTCGTTTTGAAGTAAATGAATATGTAATGAAAATAAAATTAACTATTTTGATTATTTTATGTATCCAGCATTTTGTAGTCGAATGAAAAACATTCTGTTTTCTGATTTCGATTTTGAATACGAAAACTTAATGTTTAGTCATGGAGTTTCAACTTCCGCGCCTAAAATCTTAACCTTAATTGTGTTTCGCTTTGACACCCATATAGTTACAAAAGAAGTACACATGTGTTTTGTAAACGCGGTTCATTTTTCATTCTTATATTTGTAAAATAATAAAAGAAATGCATAGAGTTTCACGTTCACGTGAGAATACAGCATTATTGAAAATTGGACAATGTCAAGATACAGAATTTTATAATAGTTTGGACGTATTTCGTTGGTTTTATTTCTAACTTATTATTTATAAACTAATGGTTGCGCGTTAAAACTGATCGCGTTACTAATAAAAAAGAGAATCAAAAGTTCTCTGTTTCGTTGCGTTAAATAATTTCATGTTGTAAGAATATTGCGGATGCTCCTTTACAAGGAACTCTTAAGAAGATGGCGCTCGATTAATTTGGACGTACATAAAGTGACGTAGTACTATCTATAGTATTGGTAGCAAGCTAGAACGCTCTCCGTTGTGGATCAAGGAAGCAGTGAGAAACAACGGCGGAAGTGGGGATCGTGCGCCATTTTCTATTTTTGCATAGCAGTGAACTAGTGTTGTGTGTGTACATTTTGTGTGATAAATCGATGGATTACTAATAATTGGAGGAGGACGTCTTGAATTAATGAAATGATTTTCGGGAACACGTGCTTCGAATCTCGCGCAATCAGTTTATTTTGCGTTTCTCTTTTCTATTATCGTGCGTAAAGCTGTAGTTTGTAGCACGTAGCACGTAAACACTTTTTCTTCATTTCTCTTTTCAACGAGTGAGAGTGGCCGAGCTGTCGGTATTAGAACCACACGGGCAATCGACGAACGATTTGTTTGCCCGATCGAAATTCTTTCCTCGCTTAACGATAAACCGCGATATAGAACGGAAAACCAATCTGTGATACTAAACAGTACTAAGATATATAGCTAGGTATAAACTCTACAATTAGATATACGTATGTATGGCGTATGAGACGTAGATAGATCACATAAAGGATCTAGAAAACATAAAAGTCCGTATAGTGTGTGCTGTGAATTTTCCTTGGCCGAGGACGAAAAGTGTAGAAGAGCAGAAGAATGTCTCAGGAATCTGTGACAAATGACAAGCAACTGCCAACTCCAAAAGATGAAGGTATGGGATTTGCTATTTTTCCTTCCTATTCCTTTTAATTATTCAGAAAATGCCCCCATTTCAAATTCAGCTCTAAACTTTCTTTTAATTTACCTATTTTATATGTTTGAGTAATTTTTGTTTCTTATGTATCGCTATTGGGACTTTAAACACAGTCTACAGCGCCATGATTTAAAATTGCAAGATTATTAAATGAAATTTGCTATATATGTTTCATTATCTAATAGCAGATAAAAATCAGCATCAAAACATTTAAGTTGTAGCTTATACGAACGATACCATGCTTGTATCTTACACGACTTTGATACTTTTACTTTCTATGTTTGCGAGCATGGTACACATTTGCGGATTCTTTCAGCTATTTCTTTCCCTTCTCTATATTTAAAACTATCATTGTTATACGATAAGCATCGATAGCAAGTATAACCGACATACATAAATACAGACATAACATATATGTTATAACCATGAAAATAAAAACTTACGATATAACATACACAGACAATACTCTGAAAATATTTAGATGTATTTGATCTTTTTAGTGTACAATTTATATTAAATGTATCCTGTAAACTTTGATGGAAATTTGTGTGTACTTGGGATCATATTTATAAAAACGTTGGTAACAAAGATCTGTACAATCACAAATTTGTCAAATTTGTGCTCGAGTTTAAAAACAATTATATAATAACTCAAAGATATTAATTGTAAGTATAATAAATTATACAGATTTATTTCTTAGTTTTCTTTATGTTTATCGAAAAATAAAGCGTAACACGATAACGGTATAAAATAATAATTCGTTTAATGTATTTATCGAATTATATTCGTCTAAATGTTTTTAATTTTATAATCATTATATTCTGGAAGTATAACAACGAAAATGAATATTATATAAATTAATATTTCTCTATTTAATTATTTGACGATACATGCGAACGTTTGAATGTATTCAGGTGGTATCAGTTAGAAATTACGTTTAAACGGTGTACAAAACAGAACCAATGAGACGTACGGTTGACAATAACGCTCTTAGGGACGTACTTGATTGGATCGCGGGGCAAACTCTGTTGCCGAAAAACCATCGGCATTTAGTCAGTTTGTATCGGGCTAAACGACGTGTAGTATCTATCAAAATTAAGAATTAGGCGCACCGTTACAGAGGCGTAAACAATAGTCGATGAGAGTTTCGCGTTCGAAACGATTTCGTTAATAGTGCACGAGTACACGTGTTGTCGGACCGTTTGCGATCTATTTCTTCATAAATACTCGCGGCTTTCCGGCAATTGTACCACGTACATTGGCGGTTTCTAATTTCGAGTTAATTCGATCTCCTCAAGGTGGAATTATTCGCGAGCAGGGAACTATAATATTTCTTCTCGCGAAAGAACGTTGTATACATTTTATCCTCGTACAGTTTTTCGTTCTAGTACATTGTTAACCGGTTCGAACAGTAATCCTCCGTCCGTTTCGTCCTTCGCGCGATAAATATTTGTTTGACTGTTTGGGACGGTTGGACGGCGACAACGGTTGACGGTTTATAAAAGAGCGGAATAAAGTCGATAGAAAATTTTGATAAAATGAAGCTGAAAGTACGTAGTATTATCGGTTCGAATTGGTATCGGCGACCTCGTAAACGTCCGCTGGTAGGACCGACGGGATCCCCTGTTCTGGATGCAACTCTAATGATGCAAACTAGAACTTGCCGATGGTTTCATAAAAACAAATCTGTTAACGCTGTAAAGCGTGTGACCTTTCGTAAGTACATCTGTAACGTACGATAATGGTGTATGTCTTCAAATTTTCGTTGTGTCGCACCTCACGCCAATGATCGAAAATTTATGTTCGTTATCTTGAACACGGGTTTGTATACACAAATTTGAATACGTTATGTTTATTAATAGCGATTTCTAATTCGAACATCGTTAACCGATTCTTTATATTATACGATAAGTGCTCGACTTGCACGGTTAATTATTGAGCATTTCGCGTAAGTCAAATTGTGTGTGTTGTTATTATAAGAAGAAACAAGATAAGTCCAAGATTAAGAATAATATGGTATAATCGGTAAGAGGAACGTGGATAACGTTAAGTAATGTTTCTTCAAAAATTAGTGAGCCTCTCCTTACAATATATTTAGTGTACATTTCGAAAATTTCTTTTGAAAAGAAATGTTTTTCATGTACGAACACGTATACACATACAAGATATATACAAGGACATATGAGGTGGGGGCATGACCGCGCGTATCTACGAATTCGCGTAACTCGAAACCTCGCTGTATTCGATTCTTAAAGATTTTCAATTGGTTCCAAGTGTTTTTAATTGTTTGTAATGATATTGACATCCGAAGACTTTCTTATTTGTATTTGTTAAATTAAAAATTGTATACAAGTAGATGTATATAGTTTTAATTATTTCTATATCTTTTGTTTTAATTATTTGCAGGAGATCAAGCAATTATATCAATGTCAGTAGCTGGGGAGGTAACTGACACTTCAATTGTGGAAGTAGGCCGATCACGACCTCAATTTCAATATTCCAGGGTAAAATATACATATTTTTTCTCAATGTAGCATTTATTTATAATGTACTTTTTATTTTAGGAGGAGTTAATGGTATTAAGGAGTTTGCCATTATCTAAAAGGAGGCCTGATTTCTTAGATACCTCATATAACAAGTATGTTTTGCATTACGTACAAGGTGTTCGGCCACTCATGGGAAAAATTTTAACGGGAGATTTTCAAGGCCAAAATAAGACGAAAATCAAGAATACTAATTTATCAATTGAGGCTTCGTTAAAAAGTTATTAACGTTTAAAGTTCCGCCTGTAGAACAGCTGCGCGCGCATGATAGTAGTTCTTACCACAGGTGAGGTATATGGGTAGATCTTACATCCAATGTATTTCTTCGGCCCATTATTATGGGGCTGTAGAGCTCCATTAGATTTTCGGTGAGGAATTTTTTTCTCGAAAGTCCGTAGGATTTCGGGGGTATGTCTAATCACCAAAAATGATTGTAATTGACCCCCGTAACCGAAAATAATTTTTTTAGAACGATTTAAAATTTTTGTTTTCCATCGAAAAATTTCACACATTCTCGAATTTTTTTCTCAAAAGTGGGTAGGAATTCGGGGGTATGTCTAATCACCAAAAATGATTATAATTGATCCCTGCAGCTAAAAATAATTTTTTTAGAACGATTTAAAATTTTTGTTTTTCATTGAAGAATTTCACTTTGTCGAATTTTTTTCTCAAAAGTGGGTAGGAATTCGGGGGTACGTCTAATCACCAAAAATGATTATAATTGATCCCTGCAACCGAAAATAATTTTTCCAAAGCGAATTGAAATTTTTTAATTAAATTTTTTAATAACTTTTCAACGAAGCCTTATTCAATAAATTGATATTCTTGAGCCTCTAGAATTTCCCATTAGAATTTTTCCCAGGGATGGTCGAACATCCTGTATATTTTTAATTGTATGACATTGGTTTAAAAATTGTATTCTAATATTCTGAGAATTATGTCCATTTTTTTTTTGTTTTTTTTTATCAAGTTCACGTGATCCTGAAGGTTGGCATTCAGGTTGGAAGCGAAGCGATACTCCTCCGAAAGAAGAAAGGACTGGACGCGGTGATCAAGTAAATGAAAATCATGGTAAACGTCGCAACGCAGATCCACGAGAACGAATTCGTAAAGAACAAGATGGCATAGTTTTGAGCCCTCAACGTAGAAGTTTTAATTCGGGTTGCTTTGTTCACGTGAAACTTAAACCTTTAATTCGACGACCGGAGAGCCCGATAGGAAAGACAGAGGTATTGAAAATTTATTCTAAAAAATCAGCGAAATCATTTATACGTTTATTAACACTTCAACGATCATCTGTGGCCTGTGTATGCTTGCCAATATAATAAATAAACAACTTGCACCGTGTGTAATTTTTATTTGCGCGGCGGAAAACAAAGCCATTGAATATTTTTCGAAAAATGATTCGCAGGTCAGTCACAGGGAACCTGTTCGACGAATCGGAAGTGGCAGGATTTTGACTCGTGACATATGGGACTTTAGAGCTGAGAATGAGAAACTGGAACCTGAACGTTCGGACCTCACTTTTCGATCTGGATCAAGCGGGGGTAGTTCTATGCGCGAGCGCGACAACAGGGACAATCGGGATGGAAAGGATCGAGAAAACGTACGGGAAAGAGATCGGGAGCGCGACAATTTGCGCGAACGGGATGACAGGAATGAACGTTACGAGCGGAGATCCTTTGGTCGCGACTATGGGGATAGAGAGAGAGAACGCGATCGGGACAGGGGAACCGAACGAAACGATCGTAACCATCAATCGGATCGTGAGAAGGATCGCGGGAGGGAACGAAGATTCAGCAACGATCGTAGGCGAACGTACAGCGACAATCGTACCGAAGCTGACGAACCAGAGTGGTTCAGTTCTGGACCGACGTCTCAGCACGATACAATCGAGCTGAGAGGCTTCGAGGATATTCCCGAGGAGAAGGTTGTAAACAACAATAGTAATACTAAAAGTAAGAGGCAGACACCGATGCAGAAGAAACGCGGGAAGAAGAATACCGTGGAGAAGGATGAGAAGCAAAGTGAAAATTCAGCCGGTCCGAAGGGGCGTAGTACGCCGACCACGATGGATCAACCTATAACCGTTGTCGCCGCGCCGCATTCTCCGATCTCTGAACAGAACGAATCATCGTCGATCGCGCAAAAAACGAATCACGATACCAGCGAGAGCGCCGCGACCGAACCGAGTTGCGAAATAACCGATAATTCAAGTA